TTTTCTCTAGGTTCTTGCGACTCTAAATCTGCAATTGCATCGTCAATTGGAGCCATAGTTGTTGAGTTATAGCGCGTTGAAGTTATGACGCTGAGACGCGCGTTTGGTGTTCGGCGTGCACGAGATGAATCCGTGCATGAGGTGCACGGACACGGTATTGAGCTATTTGCACAAATCCCCATTGGCTACGATTGCAACCTCGAGCCGAGCTTCACCACACCAGGCCAGTCTTTCGTTCCCACACCTTGACAACCGGTGTTGCCTTCAACTCAGAAAATTTGTCTTTGTGTAAAAAGACTAAACGACGGAAGATACGTTCGAGAAGTGCGCGCCGTGTGACCTCTGGAAACTTGCAGTTATTGCAAAGACTATCAATCTGCAAGCAGTCGATATTTGCCGCACCAACTGACGCCTGTTTATGTCAGAAATTGTATCAATAGGTCGATGAGAAGGCACGAGTATATACTTCGGAGAGGCCTCGCTGCTTCAGAGCTTCAAGGATACTTCCCCACAACTGAACCCCACTTAATGCAGATACAGCAGACCAGGAGCCAAAGAGCGATTCGATCGCCACTCTTATATGCTATGTATCGCGTTATTCTTTGATGACACAAAAGAACACAGTTCTCGTACCGGTAGTATATGAGCGAATACAAAAGGCATAGACTTTAGCTCGGGAAAAGCCTGCGGCTCCGCAATCACCTGTTCCACCAATGAACCTTCGATATCCTTCTTTATTCTCATAAAGTTGATAAATTGTCCAGGTTTGGGGAAAGCTAGAACAATACTACTCCGAAGCTCATCCTTTGTACGTGTCTTACTTTGACCGCCAAGGCCGCTTGCAACTATACGCTGGTTCCTATTAGTTATGGACACTCAGTCATGACAACGAGGAGCCTGAAAACTTGCCTCAGCTGGAACTCGGCGTTGGAGATTGTTCATTATCGTCTCGGTGATCTCCAAGTGGTCGTTGACACACATATTTGGCGTCAAGGAATATGTTCCCCACAACAACTGCAACACGGGCATACCAAAAGACTATAGAAGTTAATGCCAGTAATGTAAGACTTGGCTTCGTATTCTTACACTGTCAATACTATCATTGCCCTGAGAGCGGCTAGTGTGTATTTCGGAATCAGCCTCTATACCTAGGACTGCTGATCCGAGATCACGATCCTCTGTGGAGAAATTCCGCCTGACTACGGTAGCTAACGTTTCCTGGGTATCCGGTAGTATTCCACCAGAACCCTCAGCATCCTCGAATTTGATGATGGTGTTCTTACGCAAGGGCATGTCGTTATTTCTGATGCCCAGCTTCGACCGGCTTGGAGCTGGTGTCATAGGGGATAGTTGGCTATCGTTGACCAGGGAAATATTCGGTCGGGCTAACATTCCGCGGTCGCCTTTGAGTAGCTTATCCAAACTTTCAACCCACCCGTTGAATTCTTCTTGAGCGATGCTGCCCAGTAAGGACTGCATGTTAAGCCTTATCTCCTTTCTCGACGCTCTCAATCCTAGCCTGTGTTGGGTAGCGGGCAAAACATGATATGCGAATAGATCGGCCGTACGCGGGAAGGCATGTCTTATACTAGCTTCATCAGTAACCTGATCCGGTTTGATATTCCAATCCCATGTGGATGAAATCTTCCTATCCTTCTTCCTTTGAGAAATCGTATTGGAATTGGAGACGGTATTTTCTGTTCGGATTGTTGGGCGTTCCACATCCACCAAAACGCCGTCCAAGTTGTTATCGTAACCGCGTGACAGCGTAGCCTCTTGGAGCTCACTACTATGACTGCGCGTCTTTTTCTTCGGTGAACGAGATTGCTCAACGATAGTATTGCTAGAGTCCGTAGTTTCCTCGTCATCTCGAGTCTCGGCTTGTTCTCCAAGCGCGGCCTGTACAGCCGAGACTACCTGATCAGGCGTATCGAAGTACCCAGCCAGCATGCCTATCAAACGACGTATCATCTCCAGCTGAAATGCCTCCATTGCTCGCTATATATTCGCTGGCTTGGCTCGTTTTTCGCGCATGTGCTGCTCCACGACATGTTGTCCTAACTGCTTCAAAATACCATCAGGGAAGCAGATGCGGACAAGACCTTTGACGGCATCTCTGAAGAGATCGTCATTTAGACTTGTAGTAGTCGACAGAACTTTGATTCGGAACGCCCAATCCTCGTCTTTCGACAGGGGAGTGCCGGATCTACTACAGGTAGATGAGCTAGTCGAGTGTATGCGCGTCCGCTTTGGCATCGTTGCGCCGTTGTCTGGCGATCGCTCCTTTTGGAAATGTTAGTATACTGGGCGCTGCTATGCATTGACGAGACTGCTTACGCGTCGTTTATTCGGTGTGTCAACCATGGTGTAGAAGTAAAAGCTGGCTGGCTCTAAGAAGCTGATAGCTATTTTCTCACTGACAAGTTAATAGAGGAAGGTTGGTTTCACTCCGTCAGCTCGATTACATGATACGTCATGGCCCTCGCGCCTGCCTGTCTGCCATACGCTGACCTTCACCCAGACGTGATTAACAAACAAATAAGTGGGGCACTCACTTACACTTTCTGGTAGCCTTCACCGTCAACGAGCTTGGCGACTGGGTGAGCTTGGCCAGGGTAGGTTTGTTGCAGCCTTCTCTATCTTTTCAGCGGGCAAATAGCTATTCGCTTCTTAGAGCCAGCCAGCTCTTACTCGATTTTGTACCATACCACTTGAAGTCAGATCACGTATGCTTTTAGAGTTGCAACAAATCATTCCAGCGTTCAATACTATATCATTTCTATTCTATATCAAATAAGGAAGAAAGGATCAAGGTGCCTGCAGTAGGACCTCAAACTCAAACGGCTCACAAAGCAAGCTATACTCATCCAAAGTCCTCGGTCCACAGCTACCACTACCCAATCCATGATGCTGAGCATCTAACCTCAGCACTACCTCCTCCCGCTTGCTCTTCCTCAGCTCATGCGGGTGGCCCGCAGCAGCCACATCCTTCATCCTGTAGTGACTGGCCTGGAAGTCGAACAGCTTCCTTTCTGAATCCGCTTTGCCTACGAATTGAGCAAGCAGGCCCGCGCCACTGCCATTGGTGACGCTGACGTAGCGAGTGTCTGTCCGGTTTGCTGATTCTTGAGGGACCTCGTAATCGACCCATAGCTCGTCGATGTTAGAGGCGGTGTATTTACCAACGGGTTGAGAGAGCTTGCTGTCGCGGTATGACTCGCCGAAACCGCGGCCGAACCACTCGACCTTTTGGAATTGCTTTGGGAGTTCTAGAACAAGACCGATGCGCGGGAGTGTGCGCGGCAGGTTTTGACCCTTGGGCGTACCGGCAACGTGCACCGAGAGTGTTCCACTGGCATGGAATGTGTATGTCAGAACGGTATCAATGGACCAGGAGAGGACTGGAGGGGCCACACGCTGGTGCACGGTGATCTTCAGAGTGTCTGAGCCAGACTGCGACCACTCGACCTTACGAGTTGCTGCCTTAGCGTGTTGGAGATGCTTGTCTTTCCAGTCCCAGCCATCTTGCGGTATGTCGTTGTCGGTAGGAGCGCGGAACACGTCAAACACTGGGGCTTTAGAGATAAGCTCGGTAGACCCTTGTACCCATGAGGTGAGTGAACCATGAATCGTATTGAACTGCCAGGTGGCGCCATCAGCCGTAATCTTAATGACCGCCTTAGACTCGGCTTCAACCTTGATCTCTTTTCCCTTGGCCTCGGCTCGCTGCAGTGGCGCGACCGGGGTGACTGGGACTTGTGCGTTTGCAACTTCGAAGCCTGCCTTGAGATACGGCGTGGCTTCCTTCAACTGGAATGAGAAGTTGAGCAAAACTTCGCCTTTGGATTCATCAACCTTTGGAAGCTGCAGATCAAAGGTTTGGCCTGGCAAGATGCCAGATGGAATATCCAAGTTCCCAGATCCGGTTCCGGTTCCGGACTCGGATATTGTAACATAGCTGCAGCTCAAATGGTCCAGTGTGATGAAATCGTATCTGTTGATAAATGTGGCTTTTGAGGCACTCGACTCTAGCAGCTGTACTGGTTCGATAGCTTTCTTGTACTCGATCAAACCAGCATTTGGCTTATGGTCAGAGTTGACGAGTCCATCCATGACGAATGTTGCATCATGAACTTCTTCTCCAAAATCACCACCATATGCGTAGAACTCTTCTCCAGTCTTCTTGTCTTTGGTGAGAAGGCCATGGTTGGCCCATTCCCAGGCAAAACCACCTTGCAAAGTGGGATACTTGTAGAAAGCATCGACGTATTCCTTAATGTTTCCGGGACCGTTACCCATTGCATGTACCTGGTACGGTTAGCCGAGTCGGACATGTCTAGCGTATGCTACTTACAAATTCGCAAAGTACAAGCGGCTTCTTCTTCTCCTTGTCCTCGCCAAAACGAACGATTTCGTCGATTGGAGGATACATCCTGGAGTACATGTCCATTGTGTCGGCGTAGATGTCGGCTTCATAATGAATAGGCCGGCTGTCGTCATATGCCTTGATGTGCTCGTACATGGCTACAAAGTTGCATCCCATGAACGCTTCATTACCCAAGCTCCAGATGATGACGGAAGGATGCAACTGATCTCTCTTTACGAGCGCCTCGGCACGATCAACGTAGGCGTGTGTCCAATCCTTGTTGTTGGTCGTCCACTCTGCAGCCTCTTTGCGAGTGAGGAGCTGACGCTCGCGGAAAGGCATAGCGCGCTGTTCTGTGCTGAGCGCTGCGTCCGAGATGCTTTCAAATCCGTGGCATTCCAGATCCGCTTCATCTATGACCCAGAAGCCCATCTCATCCGCGAGATCGTACAGCCGTGGATCGTTCAGCTGGTGCGATGTGCGGATAGCGTTGATGTTGTGACGCTTCATAGTCAACAGATCTTCTTTCATAAATTCATACGGAACAGCACGGCCACAGGTGGGGTGGTGTTCGTGGCGATTGACCCCACGGAAGACAACTCTTTTACCGTTGACCAAGAGCAGGCCGCCTTTCATCTCAACCTGCCTAAATCCAACGCGTTGAGCAACGACTTGGTCACCTGTAGATACCACAAGATGGTACAAATTTGGTGATTCGGCAGTCCATTTCAGGGGGTCCTTGACTTGAATGCTGAGTTTGGTTTCGTCACTGCCGTCAATCTGAGCTTCTGTGGAAGCAACTTCTTGCTTCTTTGCGTCCAGAAGCTTTGCTGTGATCTTTCCTGATCCAGTGGCGGTGATCTTGAGCTTGAGCTCAGCATCAGTGTAGGAAGAGTCGAGGAGCGTTTGTGCAAAAACATTCTCGATTCTAGAAGCCTTGGGGAACCCGACTAATGAGACATCTCGGAATCTATGATTATAAGCACCGAACACGCCAAGAGAAGCGCCGAAACTTACATGCCACTCAACCACCACTGGTCCTGGTCTTCAATATAAGTCCCGTCACAGTGCTGGTAGACCCTGACAGCTAACGTATTCGCCCCGTTGAGATCGACAACGGATGTAACGTCGAATTCATCGGGATTTCTGCTACCCTGGGAATACCCCACTTCCTTTCCGTTGACCCAAACATGAAAGGCGGCATCAACACCTTCGAACCGAAGGCGGATCTGGCTGTCCTTTAGTGCTTGGGGAACTTCAAACTTGCGGACGTATGAGCCCGTCTCGTTATCTGTAAAAGGAACATTGGGCGGGTCTACGGGAATGTGATAGATGACATTGGTATACTGCGGACCTTTGCCAAAGCCTTGCAGCTGCCACATGCCAGGCACGGCAATGTCACTCCATGATGAAGTGTCGAAGGCGGTCGACTCGAAACCTTCAGGCGCCTCGAATGGAGAGTAAGAGTGGTGGAACTTCCATGTACCCGATAGGCTGTATGTCGAGGATTTGGTCACGTCGGCATTGAGAGCATCGGCCTCGGACGTGTAGTTGTGGAAGTAGGCACGTGCTGGCAGAGTGTTCTTGTGAAGAACCTGGAGATTGTTCCAGTCCGGGACGCTCTGGGGGTGCTGACCTGAAGCCATTGTTGCCGAGTTCAGAGAGGATGGTGGTATATTGCTCGACATTTGTGCTCTCTTCTCTTTCACTTGTGATATCGCAACCCCGCCTGCGGTAGTCGGTCGTCGATGGCCACATTGGGGAAGCCACCCGGTGGTAAACTGTTAGCCGAGCCATGTGCCTGGTCGAATGAGGGCGGCAGCAAGCGTGACACGAGGAAGAGAGCTTGCAGCGGAAGAGGAATGGGACGATGTCCGGGGGCGTTGAGGGTCCCATGTGGCAGTCGGAAGGCATGCTGCACGTGGCTAGCCCGCTTCTCCAGACTCTCCGCCAAATTTTTCTCCACGCCCCGCTGCCCAGGCCGACTACGCCAAATGCTCTCTCGCCCGGCGCATCTCGATTCATAGTTTGGCCGAGCTGCCCAGTCTTTTGATTCGTGGCCGTGGCAAGATGTTTGCGCGGGGCGTTGTGCAGACGGTGCGTTCTGGCAGGTACCGTCGCTTTTGTCCTGCATCTGGGCCTTGTCCCGCCCCTCGGGAAGGCTTTTCCATGGATCGTGACATGATTGAATCCTAGCGCTCTGGTGAGATGCATGTTTTTGGGCGCTCCGTGTCCCCTCCGGGCCCAAAGGAGCATTGCTACCGCACATCACTGGCGCACTTGGCTAACGGTATCTTGGCCGTGCTTAACCATCGGCCTTCTAGAGCATAGACAAGGCACGGGAGCCATGTCAAGCATGACAGGTGCCTCGGTGCCATGCCTTAGGGTCGCAGGTAGTGGTAGTAGTTTGTGGAGAAACATTCACACTATAAGATGACCCAGCCTTCCGGGTTCTCTCCAGCTTTTCAGTGGAGCGCAATTCCATATTTCTTCTCCACAATCCGAGTCGTTGTCGTCGCCGTCGTACAACATGGCAGAGAAGAACGAGGACATGGGCGCCGTGACGCACCAGCTCAGTGCAGTCGACGATGATCTGCAGCACAAGACCGTCAAGGAGACGAACGTGGCCTCGGTGGCTCTGGGTAAGTTTGCCGAATCCTGCTCTCTCGAGCAACCAACAATGCTAATTCCACACAGCCGCTGCCATTGAGGCTGAGAAGCCAAAGCTATGGTCTCCAGGAATGATCAAGCTCTACATGATCATGGGCATTGGATACCTGGTTTCCACGCTCAACGGTTTCGACAGTTCCTTGATGGGCTCAATCAACGCCATGGAAGGCTACCAAAAAACCTTTGGCCTGACTGGCGAGGGTTCCAGCACCGGTATCATCTTCATCATCTACAACTTGGGCCAGATTGCAGCATTCCCCTTTTGCGGACTTTTGGCCGACGGCTGGGGTCGCCGTATCTGCATTTTTGTTGGTTGTGCGCTCGTACTGGTCGGAACTGCCGTCCAAGCAACGGCAAATGAGAAGGGCCACTTCATTGCCGGTCGCTTCGTTCTCGGATTTGGCGCCTCGATCGCCTCTGCAGCCGGTCCCGCATACACTGTAGAGCTTGCTCATCCCGCTTACCGTGGAACTATGGCCGGCATGTACAACAACTTTTGGTGGGTTGGCAACATTCTAGCCGGCTGGACCACGTACGGAACCAACCTGCACATGGGCGACTCTGCGTGGTGCTGGAGGATCCCGACCATTGTCCAATGTATTCTGCCCACCATTGTCATGGCTCTGATCATGTGTAAGTCTACGCTATTTGAAGATTTTCTCAAGGCCAAAAGCTTACTTACTTGACACTAGTCTTTCCCGAGACGCCACGATGGCTCTTGGCAAACGACAGGCGGGAAGAGGCGATTGCAGTCATGGCCAAGTACCACGGCAACGGCAACGAGGACTCTCCCATTGTGCAGCTCCAGCTCCGTGAAATCACCGAGGATTTTGCTCAAACAACCAACGAGAATGCTTGGTGGGATTTCCGCGAGCTCGTACACACGCGTGCGGCGAGGTACCGATTGGCAATGGTAATTGCCATGGCTTTCTTTGGTCAATGGAGCGGAAACAACGTCGTCAGCTACTTTATGCCTGCCATGGTAAGTTTTGACGTGACAACTACCCGCTTCGATGCACCCGACTAAATCGTGGATTTAGATTAAAAACGCTGGTATTACCGATCCCAACAAGCAGCTTCTTATCAACGCAATCAACCCCATCTTCTCCATGCTTGCGGCCATTTACGGTGCGACGCTGCTCGACACGCTTGGCCGCCGAAAGATGCTCATGGGCGGCCTCTGGGGTGGTCTCTTCTCCTACATTCTCCTCACCGCATTTACCGCAACCGCCAAGCCGGACAATAATCTCGCATACGGCACCATTGTCTCCATCTATCTGTTTGGCATCTTCTTCGCATGGGGCTGGACGCCTCTGCAGACGCTCTACTCTGTCGAGTGTCTGGAGAACCGAACTCGCGCCAAGGGTTCTGGCCTCAACTTTCTTTTCCTCAACATTGCCATGGTGGTCAACACGTACGGTATTTCTGTCGGCATGGAGGCGATTGGATGGAAGCTCTATCTCGTGTACATTGGATGGATTTGCGTCGAGATTGCCGTCATTTTCTTCTTCTTTGTCGAGACTGCCGGCAAGACGCTTGAGGAGCTCAAGGAGATTTTCGAGGCTCCCAACCCCCGCAATGCCAGTCTCCGTAAGACAAAGGTGGAGATTGATTCGAGCGGTCAGGTGCACAACATCCGAGAGTAGACTGAATATGAGATGATTTGGTAACACGCGTTATGAGCCGGGGTGATATAGCTATATTAGGTATTTCTTTCTGAAACCAGAAAACGCAAGTCGTTTTGGATAATGCTATAATACTCTCCATATCTTTTGTTCCTTGGGTGTGTTGGACGAAGCGGTATGCACTTTAGCTCTCGATCAAGCAAACACAATGACCCACCAACCCGTCTTTGGTACGTGGAAAATTATACCGAATGTTACCCCTCCCTTGGCAACCCCACAAAGTACCAAGCGACATACATGTCCGGTCTGCCAGCAACGAACACTGCTCAACAAGTCCGTGTCCCACCTGTAATACAAATGTGCACACACACTCACACACACACATACATTGTACCATCGACGCAGCATAAGAGCAAATAGAAGAGAGAGAAAAACAGCCACTGTACATGTGTCCGGAGGTAGAAGAAAGTTAGCCATGACCCAAAAGGCAGTAAGTACTCATCAAACGCCCACACCCCACTTAGAAGGTTAGCCCCTTGTCTCGTTCACCGTTCACGACGCCCGCGTGGTTTCTCGCCGGAATAAGAAATAAAGAAAAAAAAGGGTAGAGACATCAAACAGACGGACCCGTAGTATGTATCTAGTAATGGCAAGCATGCACGTCAGACGAGAGTGGAAAAGCAAGACCCCGGGGGAGGACTCGACGGTAGAGAATAGAGCAAAATAAAGGAAAGTGGGCAAAAGAAGAAGAAGCATAGCAAAAAAGGAAAAGGTATGAGAATGCCAAAACGCGATTCTCACATGCTTTGCGAAAGTTTGCCATGGTATTCTGGCCTTTGAGGACATGTTTTGCTTTTTCTGCTTTGTTTTTGTATGTTCTCCGGTAAATTGCTTTTGTAGGGCGTTGCCGAAGAAAGACGGGCGCTGGCCTGTTTTTGCTTCTCTTCCTTCTTTTCTTTTGCTTGCTGCACCCTACTCTTTTCTGGTCTAGTATGAGTTTAACATGATTCCAACGTGGCCCTATCTTTGGAGAAAGAGCGGTGGTGGCGGTGGCAATGGATTAAGTACAAGCGAGGACAAGGGACGCAAGGAGTGATTGGGAATGAGACTGATTTCTTGCAGTAACCCGGTTGTTCTGTACAGGTAGGGTGTTCGCAGACGGTGTTGATCATGTGAGATTTGCAATCTAGTGTGTAGCCAGTCTTGCAGAGGCTAGATTTGGACCGGTCTGTTTTCGAGTAAGGGTTAGGCAAAAGCGACGGAAAGGTGGAAGTTTCAAACTTGGATTAAGACGAGCAGATGGAGATGCAGCTCGCGATCATACGGGCACAAGTCAGCGTGCCTGATTCCAACTCCTATCCAATCTCCATCTCGTCCACCATTGCAGCCGCGCGCTGCTTTCGCATAGCTTCCTTCTTCACCCTCCTGGCTGAGGCCTTGGACATGCCTTTTCCAGAGCCGAGCTTTCGATACTCTTCCAAAGACATGCCTCTTCGCTCTGCAGCGGCCATCTCGGCCTGTAATGTCTTGTCTTGGGTAACATCCTTCATCTTGACACTGTTCCTCTCCTTGCGGGCCTGCATCCTCGCGAGGTTCTGACGAGTGCGCTTGTCTGGGCTAAGATTTAGTACAAGTAGTCGGAATACTGGTTCACATGTATGACTGTCGAGAAGAAGACAACTTACTCATCTTTTTGCTTGCAGATTCGGCGTCAACCATGATGCTTTGGTCACCGCTTGTTTGCTGATCGGTACCTAAACAAGCTTGTTAGGCCTTGCTTCAGCTCATCGGCTCTCCCCACGTCAAAAGCAAGTAAACGTGCAGAGCAACTGCATGAACTGGCAGTGAGACACATCACGTGACTTACCAGCGTGTGCATGGGCCGTCGGTGCCGAAAAGGCGTCACCCAAGACATCGACTAGCTCGTCGGCCAATGCGCCCATTTTGCGGCGGTCCTTTTGTTTTTTCTTCCTGGATTTCTGTGCAGGTACCTGGCCGTTGGCCTGGCTGGGTGAAGGGCTCCGTTGGCTGTGTTGTGATTGGTCGCTGTCGCTCGCCTCTGAAAATTGGTCTTCGCCCAGTCGGAATCCTGTGTTCGCAGCCATGACTGCTGTCGCTGTGCTTATGCGTGTGCCCGTCACCGGAAAGGCAGCCAGTATGTTTGAAAAAAAAAACCAAAGACGAGTAGAGTAAGTATGTATGTATGGAAGGTAGCAAAAGCAGAAGCAGAAGGTGGAGCCAAGGTAAGAAGCAACGGATCGGCACTAGTTTTTTCCGGCGCATGTGATTCGATCATCATTCTGTATTATCGAGGTACCAAATGCTTGTGTCGCGTTCACGCGCTCTATCATCTAGCCCGTTTTCCGCCTTTTGATATAATGTAAAATGCTATGCACAAATGCCGCCCTAGAGTCCAAAATGAAGATAGAAACAAGGATACCAAGGAATGACGTGTAGAGAAAAAAAATTTGGATAGCCCGCAGAAGGAGCGTGGGAGAAGGTTAAGGATGTAATCAAAGGAAATTCGTCAATCGTGAATGCATATCCAAGCACCCGGTGTAGCGGCCAGTGTGGCCAGTCCTGTTGCGCCCAAATCCAATACCAAAGCCTTGTTGACCCCAACTCCAGCCAAAGCCAATGCTACTCGTCGTCGTCATCATCGTCGACGAAGAAGCCCCAAAAGAGGACCTCTTCGTTTTCGCATCCTTGCAGACGACCTCGGTATATATCTGCGCACATTTCGATGGGCACCTCGAGCTTGATACAGCCATTGCCGAGAAAGGTAAAAAGCAACCATGAGTCGTACTGGGGCAAGGCACCATTGTCCTCGGGCTTTCTGCTGAGTATGCCGCGGTTCTGGAGAGAGGGCCCTGTGGGGAGGCGGAATGTGTGGTAGGGCAGCGTCTCCTCCGAGTCGGCGACGAAGAAGGAATCGTTGAGGGCAAGCTCAACCGAGACCCTGGACGGCTGCGACTGGTCTTGCGAAGCTACGTCGGTGTGTTGGGCGGCCGAGTTATTGTGAAAGCGCAGAGTACCGAAGCGAAGATAGGCGGGCTGGCCCAGGAGGTCAAAGAGCTCCGTTGAGTAGAGGCGGAAGTAGCCATTGTACAGGGAGCCCAGGCGGCTGCCGTTGTCGGCATCGGCATCGGCATCGGTATCGGCGTCTGCGTCTATGGTGCCATTGAGAGAGAGGGTTTGCAGTTGGTCCTCGACTCGTTTCCCCTCCAATTCGGCGGCGTTGAGCGAGCGGCGGATGTACGTGGGCGTGTACTTGTTGCTCAGGTCGGAAATGGCCAGCCGGCAGGCCTCGCGGCGGACGTGGTCGCTCGAGGCGTCCTTGAGATGTAATGTGTCGGCAGCGGTGCCGTCTTGGGCGTCGGCGAGCGAGCGTAGCAAGCCAGCCTCGAAACTCTCGACGAGCTCCTCAAACTCGCGCATGACCCGGGCAAGGGGCGAGGAGTGGGGTGCGGGGGATTTGGCGTCGGGCGAGAGTCGGTTGCTCTTGAGGAGGGCCATGAGGGGGGAAGCCCGAGGGCGGTCGAGGGTGTAGTCACGGGGGGACAGGAGCGAGGGCGTGGAAATATGGGGGGGGGTGGCGATGGTGCAGTGTGGTGTAGAGGGGGGGGGAGTGGAGATGCAGCGGTGGCTCGGGGGTGCAAGACCGGCTGGCACTGGTGAGCAGGCGGGAGGCGGGAGGCGGCAGGCAGTGGTAGTAGTAGTAGTAGTGGTGGTGGTGGTAGTAGTAGTAATAGTAGTAGGGGTGGAGGTAGGGGTGGAGGTGGTGGTGTAGTCGGGCGGACGGGGCAGCAGAGTAAGAGTAAGAGTAAGAGTAACAGTAGGGGTGTGTGTGTGCAGGGAGGGCGGCCGTGCAATTCGTGAAAAAAGGGTCTTGTAAATCGGCCGTTAGTGGTGACGGGCAAGTCGCCAAACAACTACAACAGCAACAGCAACAGCAGCAGCAATGGCGGCCTGGACGTGCATCAGGATCAGGGGACAAAGGGCTGGGGGACGTGGAGCGAGGCAGCACGAGATTTTGACGCGGCTCGCATGCGCCAAGAAGCTGGGATAGATGCTTCCTCTTCCAGTCTTCCAGCCCGCCGGCCTACGCTACTGCATCCCCGGCCAATCACCGCCGCCACACTCGCTGGTGGGCGATGCGCTGCGAGGGCCGCCTGCGTGCAGCGACTCGCCCTGGCCGGCTGGCGGGCAATGAGCAATGGGGCTGCAGCGGTCAACCGTCGCATCCAGTCAACGGGCGGCCAGCCAGGGCATGCTGGGGGGAGGGGGAAGGGGGAGGGGAAGGGGCTCGCTGGCTGTCGCGCACTATGCTGTGTGTGTGTGTGTGTGTGTGTGTGTGTGTGCGTGTGTGTGGTTGCGAGTGTGCGAGGTGTACATGGTACATGGTGCATAGTTAGTCGATGGACAGGAGCATATGTGCGTGTGCGTGTGCGTGTGTGAGAGAGTGTGTGTGGTGTGCATCGACAAGACCCAGGCGCCGCTCGTTCTCTTTGTGGAGCCAGCGAACCACTGCGTCGGTAGCCAATCACGCCGCCCCAGTAACCGGCCCGTATCGAATTGGCTGGGGCGGGCCGATGAGACGAGACACGCACTCACACTCGACCTGGGCGGCTGGCCCGGCCATGACGAGCTTGCCGACGGCGGCAGCACAGTACACAGTAGGGTAGGGTAGAGTAGAGTACACACTGTACTATGTAGACTAGTATCCAACTATCGGCGTGGGCATATTCAGATACACTAGACTACACACACTTTTGCACCCTCTGTCGAGTACAAAGACCACTGGACACGCACTTACTGCGTGCACTACTACCTCTCCCCCTTCTGCTTCTGCCTCCCCGCTCCTCCCCGCTCCTCCCCCGCTCAGCCTCGTCCCTCCAGACCCTCAGCTTCATTCCTCGCCGCCCACCTTGGCCACGCGCAACCTCACACAAAAGGCATCCCAATGTCTCGGGATCCGGCTGTACGTCGGCAGCTCATATGTACCTGCCTCAGCAACGTCATCCGCCTGCCCTACATGCGCTTCCCTGCCCTCGCCCATCCGCACCCCGTCGCCTCGCGTGTGCGTGTGCGTGTGTGCGTGTGTGCGTGCAATCTTCAGCCTGTTTCTATTCTTCGCCTCAGCTTACATGTCAAGACATGGTTACGTCACTGCTGACCCCTCGTCCAGCTGCTGCCTCGCCTTCAGCCTTCCATGCATCCACGACTTGGCCCTTGACCCCACGTCTGACGAATCATCCGACATCACGACTGATCTCGCATCCCGAATCCCCCATGTTGATGTCGTCCTGTCCTTGATCCCAATCCTCACAGCCCGCCCAAATCAGCACTACCTACCCACCTACCTGTTTACTTACTTACATACTGTACTTGCTTACATACCCACCTACCCACCTGCCTACTACGTACGTACATGCTAGCACTACTTGCCGCCAGATGCAACCGAGGCACCTTCCCCCCCCACGTCATCCTGCTCTTCCCCACACTTGCACACAAACTAAACACACGGACACACAAACCAACAAACACACTCACTCCCACTCTGACCTCCTCCAATGCCGGCACTGCTTCTTTGGCGCCATCACCATGCCTGCCCTCTGCCAGCTAAACACGTGAGAAATGGCGCTATATCCCCCCCAGTTGCATCGCTTCTGCTTGTACTTATGATGACTACTAGCCCCACCACTGAGACCAAGGCCAAATCCCGCCCGCCCGCCAATCCATACCCTTTGCCCTTGCTTGCACAGGGTCAGCCCGACTTCCCTATCACCAGCCTATGGCCATAGACCCACACGCCTAGCTTCTAGCACAGGGCCGTCGTTCATGTGCCATCATCTCCCATGCCACGCTCCTCGTTGGTCTTCCTCGTTGCCCCCCTTGTCCATATGGGCATCAGATGGTTCTGCTTGCCGGCCCTCTTTCATTGACCCGGCAAACTACTCCTCTTACCACGTCAGGTCCATTTGCCGTCTTGTGCATTCGCAATTCTACTCGACTGTGCTATACTTGACGTATCAACTTGAACAAAAACTTCCGACAGCACCGTCACACTCCTATTCCACTATATCAATTTTATATAGAAAAAAATCGGCACAACTAAAATCACGCTTGCAAAACCGTCACACCTGTCACACAATCGCTGCATAATGCTTGAGCGTCCTTGTCTGGACACCAGCCGACGATGAAGACGACGACGACGACGACGCCGCCGCTCTGCTAGCAGGCACCATGTATGTTTTGTAGTCCAGCACATCCGTCATCCAATTGTCCGCATCGATGCTTGCCATGGCGTGGTTGAGCAGAGCCAGTTGATCACTGTGACGAATGAATCATTATGACGATCAAAACTTCTCTTTCTTTTCTTCTTTCTTGCTTGCTTGCTTGCTTGAATTTCAACTCGTTCTTGATGAAAAAAAAAGACCCTCGTACAAATAGAGAAAATGGCAAAATGGACAGAGTACGGACAAATTTACCTTTTGGTGAAGCGCTTGACGAGCTCAAGGTCGCGCTCGTGCTGGCCGGCTATAGTGTAGAACCAGTAGTTGCCTGCCTTCTTCCACCACCGGTTCGGCAGGTATGCTTCACTAATATGTCAAGTCAGCGCCCAAACAACTTGTCCAACCAAGTGGCCCTTCACACGTACAGCATGTAATACTCATCCCTTTGGTACGGAAACTCCAGGCTCGGCGGTCCATGCTTGGCTAGAAACGCATCCGTTCCCTCTGCTGCCTCTGCTGCCGTCATTTCCACATGCACCCGCCGGTTGCCTGTGTTCCTCGAGTGTCGCCGTATAGCCCGCACCGTGCTGTCAAGGTGCAGTGCCAGGATGGCGGCATGCCACAGCGAGTTCTCAACCGCTTTGCGCGCGATGCGGGCGTGGCGCGCAACAAGCTCCCTGTTCCATTCTGGCCATTGTCCGCGCGGTATCGTGGGTATGGGAATGCCAGTGTCAAGATGGCCTTGCCAATGTGCAAAGTCGAGCACCAGCCCGAGATTGTTCCAGGTCAGAATGCATGTCAGACACGTACACACCTGGTGTGCATCTGGCGACTGGATGTGCTGGTACGGTCGGTTGTGTATGCTGAGCTGTGTCTGCCGCCCCGGGTCGGTGAGAAGAGCCTGCACAGCTGGATCGACGTCGCTGAGGAGCTTGGGTGTGGGAAAGCATTCCACGAGGATGCTGTAGCGGCGCGCTATAATGGCATCGCCAATGACATGCGCATTCACCTCAACCAGCTGGTACAGTCGCCGGTTAACAAAGCTGACATTGAAGACATCGCGCGGACGAAGGTGTTTGAGACATTCTAGCAGTAGTTCGGTCGGCAACTTTGAGAGGTTGACAATAGCGTCACGCTTCTGCTGTCGCGCCACATTCTTACGCTTCAAGCGCTCCGTCTTCTTGTTCTTGAGTGCGAGTATTGCCGTATTGTCTTCAAGCGGCCCATCATCGTCGCTGTCATGATTTCGTGGCATCTTTCAGGATGAGGTGTAGTTGTTTAGCAGTGACGGCATAGTGTGCCGCTGAGTTGCGGGGACGCATGCCTCAACCAATCGGAGATAACCGGGTTCCGATTGCCTGATGCCCGATGTTCTCTCTCTCTCGTGACACAGCCGTTGCTAGCATAAAGGGCTCTGCCTCTTAAAAGATGGAAAGGTATTTGGCTACAAATATGCAATAACAAAAAAAGCAATATACAAAACAAGAGTGGTAGACGACTATAAGTAGCAGGCATCGTTGACAAAATTAATCACAGCGAATAGGTGCTTCAGCTCAAGGCTGCGATAATCATGCCCCACCTGCCCATTTCTCGCCCGTGGCACCCTTGAAATTTTGCAACTCGTCTTACTAAGTGTATATACTTGCACAACCGACAATATAATATTCCAAGTTAGGAAACATGTGTATCACTCCAAAGGCTACCCGTGCGAAAATCACGACTTTGTCAAACAGCTTTGTAATCTCGCCACGAAGAATCCCTCGTGGGCGAACATGCAATCCGTGGCCCACGTTTTACGGGGACCTGATTGGCCACTTCTCAAGTACATGGGCCAAAGCTGGAGATGGCGTCATGTTTCATTTCTAAGCAGCGGCGACAGTAGGCCACACATAAAGTCTACCTTCACACGTTCGTCTTCTCACAAATCACCGAACCTCCATACGCCCAACATGACAACGGCCAGCTTTTCTCATATTGACACAAACTCCTATACGGGCAAGCCCTGGGGCAAGGTAGACGGGCCAGGCTCAAACTTCAGCCATCAGTGGCACGAGCGCCCCGTACACAACCTTCGTGGCCATGAACATGAGTTCAACACCGACAACTCTGGGTTTGCAGTCTACCGATACCCCGCCAAAGAGAAACTCTTCACCGACGACGCTGCTGTCCGAGATGGATATTACAGCGAAGTTGAATCTTTGCTGCGAGAAAAGCTTGCTGGAATCAAAAAGGTCGTCATATTTGACCACACCATCCGAAGACGAGACAAAAACTCTCCTCGCCAGCCAGTCCAGCAAGTTCATGTCGACCAGACACCTGCTGCGGCAGAAGTGCGTGTCCGCCGGCACTTGCCAGTGGAAGAAGCCGAGGAGCTCGTCAAAGGCCGCTACCAAATCATTAACGTTTGGCGACCCATTGGCCATGCTGCTTCCGATCACCCACTCGCCGTGATTGACTGGCGCACAACCTCTCCCTCTGATTTCATCGCCACCGACCTCCTGTACCCCAAGCGCGCAGACTCGTTGGACTTGGACGACCGCGGCAAGGAAAAACTGCCGGACCCCAACAATTACACTTCTACCGAAGGCTACGAGGCCAGGGGCGAAACACTAGCTGTAGCCCCAAACGACAAGCACAAGTTTTACTACCAAAAGGACATGACACCTGACGAGGTGATGCTGCTCAAGTGCTTTGATAGCTTCGGCGAGGGCATGCCCTCGGGAAAGAAGGGGCTCTCGTTACGAACGCCACATACCGCTTTTGCAGACCCCAATACGCCTGCAGATGCACCGGGACGCCAGAGCATCGAGGTTAGATGCTTGGTGTTTTATGAATAGTCATGATATGTATCGAGCACACATGTCGAAGCAAAATGTGTCTCTTGAGTAATAAAGTAAAGGGATTTTGTTTTTATATTATTATCAAACAAAGAAAAAGGGAAAACAAAAGTACAATGAATTAATGACTTCCTGCGTCGTTTACAGAATCAAACCTCTCCCCCCCCCAGTTCCTCATTCCATATTTAGAGAGAGAAAAAAAGTAGGAATATCCATCACGTGACATTGGTGAACAAACAATGCTTCTCTCTACTGTACCTTACCCGCACCCCTTATATGGCAATGGTGTATCCACACAACCGGGTTGTCCATGTAGCCAAGTTTGTATCCCAAGGTACTACTAGTCTTGTTACGTGTCATGTATTCACCCACACTGTCGGCTCTTCTTAGCACGTGGCTAGCCCAGTCGAGTAGGGGACGGTAAAGCTTCTACGATGAACGTGTGGAATCGTATGCATAGGTACTTCAAATGCTGAGTACAACACCCAATCAGAGCGTGACGCTTCCATCAATCTTTATTTATAAGGTTCCGCTTAGGCTGGATGGCATCTTGTCTAACAGTAAGCAACGGGTACTAAGCCAAGTGTGCTAATGATAGATTTTCATTACTACGGAGTAAGCACGAAGCTAGTAGGCAGCGATCAAAATTTAAACTTTACTGCCGCCTGTTACGGTCGTCTCGAAGCGCACTTCGGCAGAGGACAGTTCAAACGAGTCATGCTCTTCACCTTTCCAGAAATGTCGGTCTCCCTTTATTGCGCGCACACTGAAAATATTGTGTTAGTAAACGATTGAGTAGGGTACATGTAGAATGCAAACACTTACACCCAAGGTTGAGAGTGATAATCCGTAGCCACTGTTCAAATCGCGTAAGCATAGAACAATCATATCGTAGCAAGGAGTGGCACTCACAGCTCCAATACTCCTTATCGTCGTAGTCGGGAGGAAGGAGACGTCCACCAGAAATTGCTCCAAGAAACCAGGTGGCGGAGTTGACGCCAGCATAGGTGATGATGCCAGCAACGAGACCATAAGCCAGCGAGAAAGAGAATGGCATAAAAATCAGTGTTACAAAGGCAGGAATGCAGTCACCGGGCTGGTAACGTTAGTTATCGATTATGTAGTAGTAACATGATATGCGACTTACGTATTTCCAGTTGATGTTTGTCACGCCGCGCATCATCATGCATCCTACGATGATCAAAGTGCCGCCAGTGGCCCACGGGGGGATTGAAGCAAAGATTGGGCCAAAGAACAGAGAGACGATGAAGCAAAATGCCGTCATACACGCTGCCAGACCTGTGCGACCACCTTCTGCAATACCAGTCTAATCACGTTAGCATGGCATCAATTGGTGATGAGGAAACCTGTTACTTACACCAGACTCGACAAATACAGTGACGGGCGATACTCCAACGAGAGATCCGAGCACAATGCAGACGGAATCAGTAGTGTACGCAAGGGCGCTGCGGGGAAAGTCACCCGTGTCGGGGTCCACGATGCCGGCGAAGCGAGCCATAGAGTACAAGCTACCAGTCGCATTGAGAATATCGACGTAAAGCATAGTGAAGACGGCTAGGGCAAAATGCCAACCCTCATTCGACAAGTCCCAGTCCTGGATAACCAAGATTTTTCTGATAGAAGGAACCTCGACTACGTTCTTGAAGTAATCAAAGCGGCTATCTCCTTCAGGTGTTCGGGGGAAGTAGGTAAGTGATGTATCGCGAGGCCAGGAGCAGATGGAGACCACCAAAATGCCGATGATCATGGCGCCTCGAACTCTGTGTGTGATCAAGATAGCAGTGAGAACGCCGCCAGCAAGAAAGCCGAGCCACATGGTATGGCTGCTCGCCCTACCCGAGGTACACAAACCTGTGACTGGATCCAAACGATTTTCCGGACAGCCGGCCAGCTCAAGGGGCAAAAAATCTCCTCCTGTGACAGCGCCAACTCCTTGAGTGTATGAAAGGCCGAGCAGAGCAAGGAAAAGGCCAATACCACCACCACATGCCATCTTGATGGACGCGGGGATGATGCGATTGAGCCATTGGCGGATTCCGAGCAAGGAGAGACCGGTGAAGATGATGCCTTCAACAAAGACAGATGTCATGGCTACACGATAAGTGATCGGGCCAGTTCCGTGGAAGCCGACTACTTGGTATGCAAGATAAGCATTGAGACCCATGGCTGGCGCCATTCCAACCGGAAGGTTAGCCGTGATGCCCATGAGGAAAGAAGCAAGCGCTGAGATGGCAGAGGTGGCGGTGATGAGGTCTCGTTCGGCCTCGAGGATACAAACGGCATATTCATCGTTGACATTGCATGTCGGATCGACTGGGTCGTTACACACACACGTTACTCCGGAGTCTGCGAGAATCGAGGCCTGGTGAGGCGATTGTGTTAGCGGGCGACGTCTTGCGGCTATTGCTGGATATACTCACATTAACATCAATGATGTAGGCCATTGTCAGGAAAGTTATCAACCCAGCCAAGATCTCGGTGGTGAATCGAGCATTTTTTCTCGCATTGGGCTGGAAGTGTTAGTACAATGACGCCCAGCCGGGCGTGGGCAGATGGACATACATGGCCAGAACCGTCAAGGTGAAAGAATCTGCCCACGATTGAGCGGGCAACCCAGTCGTTGAGGGCAGCAGTCTTTCGTGCCATAAAACCCATCTTCGCGGAGAAGCAGCAGGGTTCGTGCAACAGAGTGATGCGGGAGTCGGGACGGCTGAGGATCAAAAGACTGCTGCGATTCTTGGTAAGATATAGCGGCGGCCACCGTGCGTGCCATAGACATGTAAGTAATACCAGGTGAAACCTGGAGGGGAGGGGGCCATGGCCGGTGCAGGGACCAAAAGGCCGGAGCCGTGTTCGTGTCATGCATGTGGCGATGGCGCTCGCATGGTGAATTGACTCCGGTCTGCAATAGGCATGGGCTAGAACTGTACAGAACGCAAAAAATGGTAAGCGAGCTAGGGGCTGGCTGTTCTAGGGCTGATAAGCTACCTAGTAGTAGCGTAGTGTAGTGTACTTATTGTAGTGTAAGTAGAGGGTGACGGCTGTCTTGTGCCGTAGCCGTCTTCGCTTCCCGCTGTCGTCGGGGAATTGCAACCGTGAAGCGTCATTGGCGGGCGGGTGGAAATGGACCGGGCGTCAGGCCATGGGCATGGGCATGCACACGACGTGGTCTTGTTTGCAGCAGCGGGCGAGGACCAGCAATTGATAAGGAAACATAGATATAGGCCTGGTTGCGTCTTGTGCAAGGGCAATGTGGCGTGACAAGATGGGCTGCCGATAGTCAAGCGTCTGTCGTGACCTGGGCAGGCACAATCTCCAAATCGTATCTGGAAATGAGAGCGAGGCGACGGTCAAGGTCATAGGCGGGCATTTAGCGAAGCTTTTTGCCTGAGATAGCCAATTTTTCGTCGGCGAGAGGGCAGTGGCAGGAAACAATGGACGCAAGGGCCGGAGGCGGTGCCCAACGCAAGCGGGCATGAGTAAGTAAGGCGAGAGGAAGGGGAGAGATGATGGAAGCTTCGCTGATTGGCAGAAATGCTTAACTGGCCTGACTTGAGGCTCTGCCAAGGCGCTACTTGGCGATCCTCTGGCTTGGCAAAAGTTAAAAGGGCCGTGGCAGGCGGAGGACTTGTCACACGCATGCCCGCCTGAACCTGGGGCGGGGGCCTCTCGTCTCATGATGCCTGTGCCTGTACCCGTTGGCACACACTACTTGCGCCATACTAAGTATGGTCCTTACTTACTTACATACGCACGTATCTGACTACGTGGGCAGTACAACACCTGCTGTCTGGCCTCCCGACGCCCCGCAACGCTGCATCGAGATCCATCGGCTACATTCTCACTTACTGCCCGTTGTAAGAGTAGTACTAGTAGTACGTGCCTGCGCGCAAATACCTCACACTGCCGTCTGCACTCCGTGTACCTGAGTACTTGTCTATGTATATGGAACGGCCGCAGAATTGGCGCACACACATACACACACACATATAGTGTCCAGCGACTCTCCTCGGCCAGCGTGTAAGCGTGTACGCTGCTCCGGTCCCGCAGCAGTCAAGCTGCAACTGTTCAAGACAATGCCCAGCTACTAATCGCCTTCTAAGGCGGCACGCAGAACAGGATACCTGTACTTCCTACCCACTATTAGCTGCCCGTCGGCGCTTGTCGGCGTTTCGTCGGCACCACTCTATACATAATATGCCGTTCGAGGCGAAGCCACCACTTACGGCCGCTCCGGAGCACAGCTCTTATTCAGCTTCCCTGCACGCTAGCACGGCTGGCTGGTCAGGATGCACGTCGTTGTCGGGCTCGACACGGGTTTAGGGGCATGGTGGTGGTTTCCAAGGCGGCTGCCAAGCAGCTCAAATGTGTAGTACATCGATCGATGATCCCCCCCCCCACCCTACCCAGCAATGTTCGAACCAACAACCGACATGTTCCCAGGCTTCGATGTACCTCCTGGCCATGCAGAGACCGTGGGAGCTCGCAAAGCTCGCAAAGCAAAAGAAGAAGAAGAGGCTGCTCGCCGCTCCAGCTCGTCCAATTCACAGTCGTCTGCAAGCGTGCACAGCATCCCCACAACAAGCGGCAGAAGTCAAGATGCATCCACTCACAAGTCAAAAGAAAAGACCGGTTTCGGCGGCTGGTTTTCCAGAAATAACAAAAAAGGCATTCAGGAAATTTCGCCCTTGTCACCAACTGCCCCGCAAACTGTCGACATACCACCTCCAGTGACCGACGCAGTCGATCCTACGCTCGAGACAGACCCTACACTAGCGCCAGCTCCCCCAACTGCGCCCTTGGATGCGCCCTTGGATTCGGACAGATATCTCTTTCCAAGTCCGCCCTCGTTGCCTGCTGATAAGCATGCTCAATCTCTACCACCACGAAAGAATTCGCTGATTCCAATGCCTTATCCTCCACCAACTGGTGAACTTCCCCCGACGCCAGGTTCAGGAATGCATGGCATTGGCAGCCCAGTAGGTACGTCGTGGCTGCCACTATGCTTGAGTTTATTAGACCCACGTTGGTTGAACATGCTGACACAATATGCAGACGCCAGATCCCAAATCTCTTCCAGCCGACGCACTTCATACATGCCAGCTAGTGTCGCAACATCAAAGACTAGTATATTCTCCTCAAGTGCCTCTGGCTATGAAACAGTTGCCTCTGAAATCATATCCGAGACCGCTTCGTACGCCGGATCAAGTCACCTCCATCAAGGTCCCGTTTTTGAAGCTGTTGAACGTGGCTCACGGACTGGAAGTGTGAAAAGTAATGAACGTGACCATAGTAGCAAGGCCGGCTCGTCACCCTTTGCTCGCGCTTTGGCAAAAATCGAAAGTGCTAGCGCACGTATAATGTCCGCTCGTCTAAGCGAAGAATGGGAAGGCCTTGATGACGACGAAAGCTTTCAAGAAATCATGTTTGAAAAGCGGCTTTGGGCCTTGACGGCGTACCGGCGCCTAACGCAAAACAAATCCTTGCAGTCACCTGTACATGAACTGCTCATCAACGCTCGCCCTGCGGAGCAACGAAGAGTACTTCAGATCCATGACTCCATAGGTACGCCCCTGATCAAATCACGCAATCCGTCAAGTTGGTACTGACCCATATGTAGCTGATGGCTGGATGCTTGCAAATCGCTATCCTGCCGCAACTGTATATACACTCTCTTCTACACAGGCCTCTGCTCCCGCCGCTTATCCGGCTCCTATGAATCACCACTCACTTTATGTTCCGTCTCTTGCATCACAATCGCCATTCCCGGACAACTACTTCGACGCCATAATCTCGCGCTCGGTCACCACAATTCTCCGAAATGACGAATGGGCTCGCATGTTCTTTGACTGCATGCGCGTGCTTAAGCCAGGAGGCCAGATTGAAATACTTTCAGTCGATGCGCACATGAGTTGTGAAGGGCCCAAAATGGCCTCTTGGGTCGACGAGAATCTATCCGTCCGACTTGAGTCGCTTGGAATCAGCAAACAGGCTTCCGACACAGTTCTCGACACGATGGAGATAGTAGGCCTAGAAAACATCCGCCGTGCACGCATAGCACTTCCCGCGCAGCCGCCCAAAGGAATGCCCAGATCCGCACCCGTCCCGCCACTCCCCCATGCTGGTGCGCCAACACCACAGGATGTGCTCGATAATACCAAGATGATGGCATTCTTGGGTCGGCATTTTTACCAAACCCTGTACGGCAGGTTCATGCACCCTGACCAAGGAGATGAATGGTTTTGGGCGCATAAAGAACTACGCGACGAGTGCGACCACTACAAGACCAAGATGATTCTTACAATTGCGTGTGCTCAAAAGGCAAATCCAGCGTCTCATGATGACGATTATTCGGATTGATCAACGCGACGGGTGGCCGCATTCATCTGAAACGCAACATGATACCATTTTCTGCAAGGGTTGGTGTAATCGCGCGAATCACCTCGTAAGAGCTTACCCTCACCCTTACCCTTGAGCTTTTCTACAATCAGGCTCCGAATGCTCTTGCCGTGCTTGCTTTATTTCAGTCACTAGTGGTTTTTTATCTCTCGCAAGAAACGCAAGCAATATATCCAAACTTTTTTTCTTCCCGTTTTGCGTCTGAGACGCATTGAATAAAGCTTTTCCGACATGTTCGATCCATCATAAGAGACGTGCCGTCTTATCCTGCTTCGGTGTGAACGACGCTAAATCTTGTTCACGTGGATTATAATCAATACTCCCTGCAGAATTCGCTGAGGAGAAAGGGGCCCAGGCCGATTCTAGTAAGGGGTCCGACTACTACATATTCGTCCATTGTACGCGAAGTTGTGAGAATCTGGCTCCGGTAGCCAGCCTTTGGAGTAGCGTAGCGCGCACTGACTTTGTCCTTTCGCCCAATCACAGCCTATTGCGATTAGAGAGGCTGAGGAAAAAGAAAAGGTTCACAGAAGACGAAGGAAATCTAGATCAGGGGCGCTTCCTTTGAATAAAGGAGGAAATAAGAGTATTGGTCGGGGCTGCTGTTCTTCTGGATTCTGCTTCCAGGCAGGGCTTCCAACAGAAAGCTGCTGTGTACGACTAGTAAGCGAGACACTATTGTGAAGACCTCACATGACTTCCAACGGTTGGAAGTCAAATTAAATACAAACTATGTCGATATGAACTTCACACGCTTGTCCCTGTTTCTTAGTGCTTATGATGAATATATCTTGCTTCACTTCCTACTAATTACTTATGTTCTTTCTCACGCTTACCAGGGGGAGAGCTTTGCGGTCTTGGCATAAGACATTTTCGGTCCATCTTCATTATGTTACTTGCCCGAAGTGTTGGTTTTCCGCTACTATATGATGTAGTTCCGCCAAATTTGTGGAATAGCTTCGAGGGTAGGGGCAACCCTGCTAAAGTTGCACTATGTCATGATAGCCATGTCGTCCGACAAATACATCGGACTACTTCTTTTCTTTTTCTAGGGTTTCCATCCAAGCAAACACTCACAATCTCTTGGAGACATACTAGCAACTCTTTATTCTTTTTCTTTTTGCTCTTTACTTTGATACCTTTGCATAATGATCATGCGTATCGACATTGTGTTCACCTTTACTTCCCTCTTGGGTATGACGGATGCTTTGCGCCGTAGTCGCAGGCACAACCCCCGAAATTGGGGCAAAGGGTGATGCTACACCGTTGGTGGGGACATGCTCAGTATTGTCGCGGCAGAACTCTGTGTCAGGCATGATGTCGTTGCACAATAGAGTGACAGGCGTAACGATTTCAACACCCATCTTCCGCCAGGTATCAACCTTGGGCTTCCCTGCCTCCCCCGCCGACGCTACTGTCGCAGGAACAGCCCAAATGGTGACGGTGCCTATGCCATTGTCTCAGGGGGCACTTTGAATTCCATTGCTGGCATCTTTTGCACCATAGAAGACGCATTGGCGGTCGAGAACTTGCATTTCATCAGAAACAAAGCCGGCATTAGAACTGGTTGGGTTATTCAAGATCCTTGCAGCTTCAATCAGCAGTCTTCGTCCTATCGTCAGTACTATTAGCACTCGTGCTTCCCTAGCATCTGGAGGAAGAGCATTGGTAGCTGATATTCTAGGAGACAGATTATATTTGAGCGATAGGTAGCAGTGCTGTTGACTGCGCTCTCCCACGAGTGAACCGTAACAGTTCCGCAGTATTCAGTTGGTAGAGATTTGAGTCACAATAGAGCTGTAACCATATAAACAGATGAGACGCTGGAAGAATCAGATTTAGCTTATAACCCATTGAAATACAAAGAGGGTTTACATACCGTCGAGAAATGCCAATATGTATAAACCCCAACAGCGGGTGTTTTCACTATTGTGAGGATCGCCCCACTTCTTCGTTTGCGCATTCTAGAAGCGACTAAACAGTTTGAAGTTTCATGCAATCTGTCAAATTAGATCAGTATCTCAGTGCATGATCTCTGTTAAGAACCCAGTCCAGTCATATGCAATCCGAGCACAACCCCAACGCTACCATGGCTTTTGAAGATTCCTGTGGACACGAAAAGATTGGCAGGATCATCGCAAGTAAGTATCTTACTTATGACAATCTCAAGTACTGCAACCATTAATCATACTCCCTCGCTTCAGATATGGAGGCACTCCTCCCTTCAGCATCGATAGAGCGCAGGGACTACCTACGATGCCGCACTACATACGGGCTCCTCTCCATAACATACAAGCGCATCAACGACTCGAACAATCCCGAGAAAGAATACCAAGAATTGCAAGGCGTCGCAAAAGACCTACGTCACCGCCTAACCAACCTCGACCTCTCTAGAAGTCTTTCGCGCAAATTCCAAGCCCTCCTCGACGGGCTCGAAGCGGGAATCGACGCCGCACTCAAACCAGGCGTGACGATTGACTTTGTGATTCGTGGGCTGCGAAATACGTTGGAGGAGACGCATGATACGCCTATGGTGAAACGTGAGCCCGTCAAGATGGTGCATGAGGCGCGGCTGGAGAAGATAAAAGAGGAACTGGCGGCTGAGTGCGAAAAGAATCGCAAGCTTAATGAGGAACACAATTGGTTGGTCTTGGAGTTCAGGAAGGATCAGGTCCGCGAGCGGTCCGGGACTGGTGGGCCGCCGTTAAGGAAGTTGAGTGGGAGATTAGAGCAGTAGTACGGTAGTGATTACTGGTTGGGATTCTGTGGCGTATCATGGATGCTCTGGCTATGCTTGCACGGAAAGTTAGGATAGACTATGAAAAATTATCTAATCCTAAAACTTGGATATCATTTTCATGCAAACTCGTCTCTTGGCTTACTAGGACCGAGCGAGTTACATGCCTAGAATAGGAGTATTCGTAAGGCAATATTCACTTCTCACTAGTCCCAGACGACCTGTAAAGGGATGTCGTGGTGCGGAGTTGCTCTGATCAATAAGCTTGTACAAAATTGATGCTGGGTGATACCTAGGCTATGTTTTTTTTTATTTACATTCAGGCTATACCACTGGTCCATGTAGAAAAACTCACATAAGCTAGTTTGTAAGCAACTTGGCTTAGTCAGGAAGAAACCAACACGATCCCAAAGGATCTCATGTGACTGACCGTAGTTTGTTTCGACCTAGTGCTTCTGAGGAATTTTGGCATGCGTGGTCTCTTACAGTCTGACCGATGAGGCACAAGCAGAGCAAAAAGATTGTAGAAACCCCCAAAAAAAAATTCAAATATAACTCCTAGGCTGAGCTCTGTTCTAGCAATCAGTATGCACCTCGCCATTGGTATCATGACCTTACCTTGGTCCATTGCATCCACATATCAACTACCAGGCCCAGTATCTACCAAGGAGGATTACCTGCACAAGTGTCTCCGAACACCTGGCCAACAGTTGGGCCTCCTAGAGTTACCGCATCGTGCTGTACAGTCATCAGGACCAGGTAGGCGTCATTGTCAATGCGTGCCCCACAGAGACCTCGTCTACCATTTCCAACTAGGCCTTGAAGCCTTGATAGAGCGTTGCCCCACGCATCACCAGACCACCTCCTACCTTGCCCTTCGGACGATACGAACAGACACTGTCCCCAACAACACACGCCTTTGTATTGGTAGACCTGGCAAGCCGTGTTAGATGGAATTTCCATAAATGTAGCGATAAACGTGCCCCAAGGCTTCCGCCAAAATCGCCACTAAAGCGATTATTCCAAGTGTTGCGCAGCATCCAAAGCGTGCTCCCGCCAATGGTGTTGCCACCAGACTCAGGGAAGCACTCATCTCGAAACCAGAGACCTCGTTTGGCAAGATTCGGAGAGGTACCAGGCACTTGCATAGGAGCAGGTGCTGCGACCACGCCCGTGGACGCAATTCCTGCGGCAAAGAGGGAGACGGTTGCGATCTTCATGATGAAAGCTTACCACTAGACGATGCTGTGATTGCGGGATATGCTGCTGAAGTGTCGAAATGTCAAAAGATGATGATTTGAATATTTCAATTCCAGGATGCATGACTGCTTTATATACATGACCCGGACGAATTTCCATCAACATGAACCCCAAGATGATTCATCTAAAATCCCCAAAAGATGTTAGCCATGTTGGTTGGTACCATGCTTGGTACTCGAGTAGATGAGAATGAAGCAGGGGTACTGTACTTGGCGATTTAGGCAACCGGCCTACCAATCGAGGTGAGTTTTTGAGATTTAGTCTTCTGTGGTACGCCTAGCCAAGACCGTGAGGGTGAGGGATGTTAGTGCACAGTCAAGATTTCGCGTACACAAAATCGAGGCCTCTGCTCTGACGCACTAGACCTACTACGTGGATTGAACACCCGAAACAAACTTCTGCCTGCAGGATGCCTTTAGTATATAGTTATTGGCAAGTTTGGGGGCCGCTTCACGTGCAAAGAAGCTCATCGCAGTTAGGCATGCGGCTAAAAAGATACACGCAAATCGATGTAGCCTTGGATTAACGCAACTCCCTGTGTGAAGGATTACAAGGGGTGGACGACCGATTTGCAATAATAACTTATTGTCTTGTATGAGAGTTCAGTGTAGAAGAAAAATATACTTCATAATGTAAAACCAAGCTTCTTCGCAAGCACGACTGGACGTGTGAGCTGCTAATGTTTGCCTAGATAGCCTGTAAGCATGAGGCGTGATCAATACGGCAGAATTTGACCGGAATGTAATGCGTTCTTTAGCGCACTGCAGAAATGCGGCGTGGTATCTGATGACCAAGACAACGATGACAAATGCACAAGAACCAAGTGGTTGGGTGTGGATCAAGGTGGTGCCAATGTATGGCCACATGAGCAATAGTAGGACAGAGGAATGCATCTTCTTTTGTGCAAACAAAACACGATCCTTCACTGCCGCTCATAAACAAAAAAACAACAAACACATGGTTTGCGTGTTTCTGGGCGAAGCGGGCTGAATCCGTTGACTGTGCGAATACGAATGTCTTAACCCGTGTCTTGGGTATGGGGTAGATGAGCAGATATCCGTACAACGAAGTCGGGGATTCCTTGCGGTATGAGTCCTAGGGTATGCTGTGCGTACACGCTCGGATCCGCCTTGTCTTGAACACACTGCGTAGCGTTGTCTTTGGTAGATGGCGAGTAGTTTTGTGCGATGACCATATATCAATAGGTTGATTGCCTCACGAGAGATGAAATCCCTTTGAGACATGAAAACAGCAAAATGGCTTCAGTTCAGCCGCGACCAGCTTCAATAAACATACTCACTTCCAACTTGACGGGTATGTAGCGCGCCATTTTATCTCCGCACACCACAAAGTGCGACGCACCGGCCAGCAGCCGGTCATATCAACGCATGAACTCGTACCCTCTCTTACTGTGATCCAGATACGCCGTCTCCGCTCCCAGATATGGATGTTGCATGCCCACAGTCGCCAGTAAACCCATTTCTTGTGCCCAACATCAACGCGTATGGAATCAGCCGTAATCCATTGCCTTTGATCCCAGCATCTCCACTTTCAGTTTTTGATCAAGCATTGTCACCAACATCATCTGCTACGCGGCAAACCTTCCTGTTACCGGCATCTCCTATGCCATCGCCACGTTTCTTGTTTCCCCGCAAACCACCGCCTTGTCCGGGTGACAAGGTAAACACCTCGTTGTACGATGTTGTCGTAGATGCAGCGGGGGAAAAAGGCAGCGTAGTTAGTGTAGCTCGGATGCGGGAGGTGATGAGACTGAAATTCTACCAGTTCTTGTTCTTAAAAAAGCAACAGGAAATAGATATGCTGGAGCGGCTGGCGCAAGAGAAAGAACCGCGCAAGCGGTGTGACGGCAGTACTACTAGCGGGAAGATCAAGAGGTTACCAAGTATAAGCTTATTTGGTAATAGGACGAAGAAGATAAGAAAAGCAGGAAAATTAAGAGAAGAGATTTCCTGGCAAAAGGCTTCTCAGGCTACTGAAGCTTCGTAAACTGTTGATGCCGCCGCAGCTGCATGGCTAGTCATTGAATGGCCCGATATCGATTCCGGGTTCGGCCGCGGTATGCATGAGCTTACTCAAGGGCAACAACAAATGCCGCCGCCAGGTACTTCCCTGGCGGACTGCAGCGGGAATTTTTCTAGAATCCTCCACATGTACGTAGTATGCACATCAAGTGGGTGCTTTGAATATTCATATACATGGCTTGAATATTTTTGTGGTTGAATTCTGGACTATGCACCGACGTGCGGGGTGTAGATTAGTGCGGTGCCAACCAAAGCCTTACACGGTGGCGTAATACCAAAGAAAGCCGCTGACATGACCATGGACAAGGTGGCGCATCGTGGCAAGAGTAGTAGTGTCCGGCGTTGAAAAAAATGAATAAAAGATTATGGGCGTAATCTTACTGTGATTGGCGAGAGAATGTGTGCCGAAGTGAGTGACGTCGAAGGAGAGCCTGCAGAACCAATCATCTGTCTGGCGTCAGCTGGTAGATTGCGCAACAAGTGGTGTTTAAATTGGTGTCGCGCAAACACGTTGATCATTGTTTGTTGGTGTTCGTATTGTGGCGGATAATGTCAAGGCGGTACTCTCGGCACATTGGAGGGTTAGGAGAGCCATGTATTCGGTGCAACCGGCGGCTCTCCGGTGGTTTATGCAACGGCAGGGTTATGCAGGCAGAATATGGGCGGATGCGCCAAGCATAGGAATTGTCGGGTTGCAGTGGTAATGGGTTGGGCATGCTAGGCATGCTAAAAGCTTGAGCTGATGCGATAGTCGGCACTCTCAACGTTGACTGGCGAATGCTGTGTGAGAAGCGTCACTGGCGGGGAGGACATGACGAGAGATGAGGTTGACAGACACTGGAGAAAAGTGGACGGTGTGGGCCCTAGACGCGGATCGAGGGACCCCAACATGCGACGCTCAGACAGCTGGTTATCAGTGGAGCAGCGCTAGAGGGCGACAAGCGAGCGTTTGCAATTCCAATTTGACACGGGTTGATAATGGAAGTCGGTGGAGCCTGGAGTGCAGCTGCGCGTCTATACGGTGGCCAGGCGGCCGGATTCCTGGTAGCAGGAGTGCAATGCTGATTGTGGTTTGGCGGGAGTGGAAAGATACCAAGACACCAAGAAGACCAAGACATGCAACATGTTTGACGGAGAGGATGCGCTAGAACGGTTGGGGAAGTGCGAGAGGGAAAAGGACGTGATTGGTGGTGTAGCGGAGGTTGGGTGTCATCAGCACAGTGAATCAGGATAGGGTGGGACGATTCATTTAGCATCCAGAGAGAGTTCCAAGACATGAGTGCGGCGGCGGCGGGCCTCTTTAAGCAGAGATTGGGAGTGTGTGTTTCCCCACGCAGCGATAACGGCGTCAGCAACCGGGTTGGTGGTGCTGTTAGTGCTGGTAGTGCTGGTGGCTGTGGTGGTGGTGGGGGAGAGAGGAGGGGCAGCTGGTATTGAGGCAACTGAAACGAGCAAAAGGGGCGGGTCGTGTAGGTATGTAACGCAAGGTGTGTGTGTGTGCACACACACTCTCACACACACACATATATACACACCTGGTCGAGAGGAGATGGATGCCGTGCCACTCGGCGCGGTAAGTAATAGCGCAAGCAGCGCCACCGACACAGGCGTTGACAGCCGTCGAGGTCAGAGTGAGAGGGGAGAGGGGAGAGGGCAGCATCTCGGGCTAACCGAGGGCGGAGACAGCGGACGCCAAGGCGCTAGTCCACAAGGGGCAGGTGCAGATGGCAGTGGAGCCGGGTGAGACGCTTCTCCAGACGACCTCGACGGCGTATACGAGCGCTGGCCATTGTTGTTAGCACATATCAGCTGCTACTCTACACACCCAGGCATAAGCGCAGCCTGCATACAACTGCGCCTCTCGCGCCCCTCGCCCGGGACAGGCAGCTGTCAAGGAATGCGGCGTCGGGCCCGATGCAAAGCGCGCGGCCAGCATGGGGCGGGCCCGCCGTAGCTGGTAGCACCAAGGCCAATGCAAGCAGCATTCTAGAAAGCATGCTAGAAGGCTGCTACTGGTACTTAGATGTGCATGCATGCATTCACTCGGCCTCGTTATCAGTCCGCTTTGGGCCCAATCTCCGCCCAGCAACCGCGTCTGACCAAATGGCCCCCCCGAAGCCTAGACGCCACCGGCCGCTTTGCTCTTGTGGGGAGGTCCCAAGCTAATCCCAAGAGCCGCCGCGGGGTGCCAACACACTGTCCCTGCTAGCCCTGCCCGCTACGCCGAACGCTTCTTCTGCTCGTGTGAGCCCAGCCAACCATGTGCCGTGCCAGCCTATCAGTAGGATGCCTTGCCTGCCACCCTCATCCCTCATCCACGCCTGCCAAGCTGTCGGCTCGTGCACGGCGACCAAGGCTCCACCAGGCGAGCATCCTGGGCCCTTTGTTCCGAGAGCCCATCACTCACCAGCACCGCTTAAATGTCTACTGCTGCTCCCTTCCCCTCCGCCTGCTGATCCTGCACTTGCATATTAAAAGAGCGCCGCTCCCAGGGTCTGCTCGAGCCCTCCTCCATCTCGTCCTTTCCTTCAACCAACTTGACTTCTCCACCAGAGTCGTCCCTCCTTCGCCCATCATGGATCACGAAAAGGCCCTGCCCTCGGATGAGAAGGCGAGCGTCCCTCAGCCTACCATAGAGTCGGCGCGTGACGATGGCCAGGTTGAATGGCGTGACCAGGAGGACTTCATGACCCGTAACGGTCTCAACCTCAAGTCCTTCCAGCGCCGTCCCCAAGCCGGCCCCATGGTCGAGCTCGACAAGTCCATGAAGACTCGCCATCTCCACATGATTGCCATTGGTGGTTCCATTGGTGCTGGTTTCTTCGTCGGTTCTGGTGGTGCTCTCAGCAGAGGTGTAAGTTTGCTCCATCACCAAATCTCTCTCTCTCTCTCTCTCTCTCTGATCGATCCCCACTCACACACACACTCTCTCTCTAGGGTCCTGCCTCGCTCCTCATTGACTTTTCCATCATGGGAGTCATGATTTTCAACGTCGGTAAGTACGCTCTTCTTGCGCCTAACCAAACAAATCTAACCCGCCCTTTCCAGTCTATGCTCTTGGTGAACTCGCTGTCATGTACCCGGTTTCTGGTGGTTTCTACACCTACTCGACTCGCTTCATTGATCCTTCCTGGGGTTTCGCCATGGGCTGGAACTATGTCTTCCAATGGGCCATTGTTCTACCGCTCGAGTTACTTGTCGCTGGTCTTACTGTCAAATACTGGGAGGGTGCCCAAGACGTCAACGTCGCCGTCTTCATCACCATCTTCTGGGTCTTCATCATCCTCATCAATGTCTTTGGTACTCTGGGATATGCCGAAGAAGAGTTCTGGTCGTCATGCCTCAAGCTTGGCGCTACAGTCGTCTTCATGATTATCGCTCTCGTCCTCGTTTTGGGTGGCGGCCCTAGCAGCGGCATGTACAGCGAGTACTGGGGTGCTCGTACCTGGTACGACCCCGGCGCCTTCAGCAAGCACGGCTTCAAGGGATTTTGCAGTGTTTTCGTCACCGCTGCCTTCTCCTTCTCCGGTACTGAGTTGGTCGGTCTGGCCGCTGCCGAGACCAAGAACCCTCTCAAGTCGCTTCCTGGTGCTATTCGCCAAGTCTTCTGGCGTATCACCCTCTTCTACATTCTCGGTCTCACCTTTGTCGGTCTTCTCGTACAGCACGAAGATGAGCGCCTGATGGGTGGCTCCTCTGATGTCAATGCCTCGCCCTTTGTCATTGCTGGCAAGAACGCCGGACTCGTGGGTTTCGACAGTTTCATGAACGTCATCATTCTCGTCTCAGTCATTTCCATCGGTGTGTCTGGTGTCTACGGTGGATCTCGTACCCTTACCGCTCTCGCCGACCAAGGCTACGCTCCCAAGGTCTTCACCTACATTGACCGCGCTGGACGTCCTCTCTACTCTGTCGGCTTCATCATGATGTGGGGCCCTCTTGCCTACATGAACTTGGCTTCTACTGGTGCGACCATCTTCAACTGGTTCGTCGCCCTTTCCGGTCTCGCTGCTCTCTTCACCTGGGGCTCCATCTGCTTGGCCCACATTCGTTTCCGCAAGGCCTGGGCATACCACGGACACACCCTCGACGAGATCCCCTTCAAGGCTGCGGGTGGCGTCATCGGCTCTTGGATTGGTATCGGCATCATCATCATGGTTTTGGCGGCTCAGGTAAGACGATGATCCTTGGAAACTCTCTAAAAAATAAGCAAATACTAACATTGCAACTAGTTCTACACTGCTGTCTCTCCCCTCAACCTGCCAGCCGGCAAGAAGACTGGTACCGCGAGCGACTTTTTCGAGGCTTACCTTGCCATCTTTGTCGTCGCCGCCTTCTGGGTTGCCGGTTACTTCTGGAAGCGTGAGGGTTGGCTCCGCACTGCTCAGATGGATGTCGACACTGGCCGTCGTGAGCTTGACTGGGACTTGATCAACAAGGAGCGTGCCGAGATTGCCACTTGGCCCGCGTGGAAGCGTTTCCTGCACCGCGTCTTCTAAAGCAGTTGCGCGTACAGCGTTGGGGAAGTGGGTTGGTCGAGTTCTTTGATACCCTTCAGACAGCTCGATAGCGCGAGCCTGCTTTCGTTTATGTAATATCTCTGTCATCTCGTATATCATCGTAGATATCCGAACCTATGTAATGGTTGCCTTTCTTGATGAAAGGTAATGTCTAAAATGTCTATATACCCCTGTTTTTTTTTCCGACTTTGTTGGCTACTATGACTTTTTCTTCTTCTTTCTTTCTTCCAAATTCCATCACAATCAACCCGATGAATCCGTCCCAAATCGTGCGCACACCCCCATAGCCACAAATACCGCATTTTGGTCGTTGGCAAGTTCCCAATTTCCCACATTCCATCGCGTAATGGAGCATTTTAAACTCTCCGCTTCCCCGCTCCGACCCGCTTTCACCTTCCTCTTCCTTGTCTACCCTCCGCGCCCCTCCCCCGTGCATACCTTACTCAAAGCAGCAAGCTCGCCTGCACTCCCCTCTTTCCGGGTTGTCGGCGCGTCTGTGTTTATCTAATAATTTGCGCTACTCCAACTTTAAAGCAACTACCAAGACATGGGCTCCGGCGGCGTCCGGTCCTTGGTCTGTCTGCCTGTCTGCCTGCTGGTCTTGGGTCGCTTAGTTGCATAGAATTCAACATCAATCACCTGTGCGTGCAGGATAAGCAATGCTAGTATCTATGTAGAATTGAAGAAGAAGGAAACAAAAAGCAAAATAAAGGGAATCCTGTTTCTGACGTCATGTGATTGGTTGCTTTTTTTTCCCTTCTCTCTCTCTCCCTCTTCTTCTTCTTCTTTTTGCATACATGGAAAAATGTTGTGTGTGGTTATTTGGGTGTGAGCATGTACCTGTACCTTGATTATTTATTGCTTTCTTTTGACTGAATTCCAGGTGAACAATGGGTAGCCAAAGGGTAACTTTGTTCTGCGTTGAATTAGACTTTGACTAGTAGTACTAGTAAGTAGTGGTTAGGATAGTACCAGAAGGAATGTGCTAGTAAGACCTTCTCAGCAACGTCACAGAACCGCAAAGCGTTGTACATGGGCACAAAGTGAACTGGTGTCCTCTTTTACTGGTACACAAAATTAAGCTTCGTAGTCGCAGCTGCGCTCATTACATTTGTGTACAATATACGACACGTGCCTCCGCTTGTCTTGATTTTCGATCCACCTTGACTCTCGCTTGCTCGTATATTGAGATACATTTTATTGGTCCAACTTTTTATTCTGGATCAGGGAAACCTGTCCGTTCTTCCATACTTAATCACTCTACCGGCAGATTAGTAGTTGGGTAGCTGACCACTAGCGAAGACCAGTTGTCATTACGTCTTTTGTTTACCCTTTGGTTTGGCAAGTCGAGTTATGCCTTGAAGTTTTTCTTATATATGTTTGCTATATAGCGCATCAGATCAATTACCTCGGAAAGGAATGACAGGCCACACTCCAGCCTGCCTAAATCGGGTATCAAAATAAAATGACTTTGCAGTCAAGGTAAGTTGAGTTATATCACGTGGCTTGATTCTATTATAGACTTTTATATCTTGGAATGTGTCCATAAGTAGCCCCTTGGTAAATAGAGCTTAGAGGAAGCGCTTATACAGTCGTTGCCAGTTATATGGGTTACATCTTCAGCGTTCTCATAGCACATAACCTGTCGAATCAATGCGCGTCTGGGTTGATGGATAAGTATGTTTCAATATTGAAACTTCATGTAGTATGCTTGGGCTTGATATATGAAGACTTATATTAGAAGTCAGAGTGATGGAAGAACGCAATGGAAGGTACGCACGTCACACGAAAATATTGCACGTGTATTTGGTTGAATGGCTGAGTGCGTTGCATTTACCTTGAGCGTAAGTTGCCCACTTCCAAAACTAGAATGTGATGGAAGCAGACCTCAGAAATCTTGTTTTTCTCTTACAAAAACATCATATGTAGTGGCTGGGGGGACGCTTGACGGTTGGACGGCTTTAGTATGCAAGGTGGGGCGAGGCATGGTCTCAAGATGCACGATCGCCAATGTTTTGACTTTTCGGAAAAAAAAAGGAATAGGTTCGAGAGATGGAAAAGCAGCAAATCTGAAACTTGGTCTAGTGAACCACTGATATATTTTGAACGTCGACAATGCATAAAAGTACAAGGAGTTACATGCCTATCACTAGAATTTAATACATGTGAGCTGAGAGACCAGCAGTGAACATGCTGCAATATGTATGCTAGAAAAATAAAGAGTGAAGAGTCACGCCATATACTTCTCATGCCAATCAATTGATACCTGATTTTTGGTGTGTTGCACCGAGTCCCCATGCTCTCTTTGATCTCAATGTACATTCCCCATCTTTTATCATCCTCATTCCTATGACATACCGGCTACCCTGCTACAAGACATGCTGGCGCTCGTGCAATGCAAAACGCATATGCCACTACAACGTCTTGGCGCCCTTGTACCTGCCCGTTTTGAGATTGAAGGCGCGCTGGTCCTTCAGCCACCGCCTGTACCCCGCCACACTACCAATCTTCTCGCCATAGTAATCCGGGGGAGGATTGGCCAGCGACGATGCGGTAGGATCAACACGGTGACGTTTGATGCGGTTGAAAAAGGCAGAGTCTTTCTGTAAAGCGAGTATTAGTAATATCCCTGTTTGTTTTTGTGCTTCTGACATTGTCGCAGACATACCCGTGTGAACTCGGTAATCACTCCCCTGTAGGCCAGGTTGAAAACTTGGTTGCCAAAGATAGGACCAATGAGCCACCCCACGCCCATCATGCCCAAGGTGCTCAGGCCCATGAGCATGAGGGGGTCGAAGCCGCCTAGCTGCGCCGAGAGCGTTGCATCATAGCCATTGTTGATCATTGTCGTAAGCCCAAAGTACGTGACACCTACGGCACCAATGCCAGAGCAGGCCTGGCCAATTCTGCGGCGCGTCCGGCGCAGCGCGAAGAAGGCGTCCCATGTGAGTTGTGGTTGTGTGCTGCCTGGGGAATTGTTGGCCACGGATTGCGCTGGTGTCGTCGACGCATAGCGTGCCGGCCATTTGCTGCGGGAGAATTGGGTGCACAACGCCGTTATGGCTGTCGCCGTCGCTGTCGCCGCGGGGCGATTGCGCTGTTGCGGAAGCGGGCTTGGTCGTGTGCATGTCGAAAAGGAAGCGGTTGCGCCTAATGACGAGGGGGCGAGTATCGCGGGAGGGAAGCGATTGGCAAAGGCCCTTGCTGGGCACAGTGCACTCCGTGTGAGCATGGTGGTTGCGAGTGTGGATGTTGAGAGGTGGGTCAAGCGTGCACCGCGAACTTTCCGATGATGTTGCAAAGGCACGGTCTTGGCAGTTGTGGGGAAGCGCCGCATTGCCTGTCAACATGACAAGACGGCCGGCCTTTTTTGTTGTGTAGATGTACACCAACAATCCCTCATGTCTACAGAGGAACCTGTAGAGTTTTTTTTTGGGTCTGTTGCAACTGGCCCAGACGTCATCTTTACACCATCGGACTCGCTAACACATCGTCTTCCCTGTCGCATTCACTGAAAAGCAACACCGGCTACTCATTCTTGACCATGACTTCATCTTGTTCTTCTAATTTCTTCATCCTTCATTAAACTGCTATTATGATATACTAGAGTCTAGACAGTACGTCTTTGAAAAGTCTAAATGTGCCCATGTCCGCGATTACCGCACCTCGTTGAATGGCTAAATGGAGAAAAACAAGACATTCATGTCATTACACCGCCCCATTGTTGCAGACCCCACCATTTTCCCCTAGACCCCAGGTTCGAGAAGAATTAGTTACAACTGACCATGCCTCCTCTCCCACTCAACAACGGCAGGAGCAAGAGGGCGCGAGAACAAACTCGAGTAATCAGTCCCGATGATATCCTTGCTACCTCCAATGTTCCTAATCTTGAACTCACGGACAAATGCAACAAGAATAGTCTGGAGTTGGAGGTAGGCAAACTGCTCGCCGATACACCGGTGCCTTCCGGCGCCGAAGGGGAGATATGGCGACTTGGTGCCCTTGGACACGACACCCCAGCCATAATCAATCTTCTCGTCATCGTCATCGTCATCCGCGTTTTGGCTGTCCTGCTCGGCGTCCCATCGGTGTGGGTCCCAGACTGAGGGGTTGACAAAGTGAGTGTCGAGTTGAGCAGAGAAGCCCGGCGAAGACATGAGATGGTGAGAAGTAGGGATAACGTAGTTTGTTCCATCAGCGACAAGAGGCTGCTTGACTTTGCGCATAATGGAGTGGATCGGAGCGTGAAGACGAAGGGTTTCCTTGACTACTTGGGCGTGGAGAGGCAGCTTGTCGAGATCCTCATACGTCAGAGTAGGCAGATCTTGACCCATGACCGCCTTTTGCTCTGCAAGAAGCTCCTCTACAATTTCGGGATTCTGTGCCAAGCGAAGCAGGATCCAGGAAATGGTCGAAGAGGATGAGTGTTGACCAGCCATGAGCAGAGCAATCATGATTCCGGCAATCTCGTGTTCAGGAACCTGTGTGCCGTCCTTGTACTTGCAGTCCATCAGATGCCAGATCATGTCATGAGAGTCCTTCTTGGCGTTGCCCGATCTCCGCTTGCGAACCAGCTCAGAGTAAAGCTGGATCATGGTCTCGCGCGCATTGTCACGGGCACGGTTGTGGGGGAGTGGAGCCCAGGAAAGCATAAAGTTGATGGGCGAGAAGCCCATGTCGAGGTCGTGGTACAGTTCGGCAAACTTGGAGTCGAACGAGCGGCGGATTTCCTCGCCCTGGAGCGATCGGGAGGCGGTGTAGATGGTGAGTTCAGCCATGACCTTGGGAACGTTGAAAGTGCCCTTTTGTCCCTTGAACGCCTTGTGGCGCTTGAAGAAGTCTTCGCATTCTTGTGTGATGAGGGTTACGTAGGAACGGAGAGCCTCTTGCGTCAGGCCAAACTTGACAAACTGTGTGGTGTAAGTAGGTGGCAGAGAGTGTAGGCAAGATGTGGCATACCTTCTTTTGCTCCATGAGCTTCGAGTTGGGACAGTCGTAGACGACATCCTTGCCGAACACGGGGGTCGTGAGGGGAGAGTAGATCTCCTCGGCATTGACGTCCTTGATCTTTCCGTTGAGGATAAAGTTGTTGCCAGTCGTGTCGAGGCAGACGGTCATCTTGCGACCGAGGAGGATAAAGGTGAAGACGGGGCCATATTTCTTGTAGTTGGCGAAGAAGAAGGAATAGGGATCCATGCCATACCAGACCGTGTTGCCGATAATGGGCACCCAGTGGAAGACGAGGGGCGGCTCATTGGGGTTCTTGAACAGAAGCTGCTTGAGGACATTGAGGACAATGGCGACGAGGATAAAGGAGGCGAAGCCGGCAGCGACCACGACGGGCGTGGACGAGTTTGAGGTGAAGTCGGCGAGCGGGCCGGCAATGGTGGCAAAGACACCCATTGTGCACAGCAAGAAGCAACGACGAGAGAAGCAAAGGGTGGGTGAAGAGTCAAGGTGGACGGGGGCAGCGTCAACAATAAATTTGGTGGACACTGGGGATGGCGCAGGGGCACGTCGGTCCAATGGCGCGGCCGGCTGCCTCTGTCGTACAGAGCGGTCTGTTAGTGGACGTAGACCGAGTGGGCCTTGCCTTCTTGGCAGGGACCGGCTTCTGGAGCGCACCTACTGCTTACCTGTTGCTATGCCTATTCCTCCTAGCGGGCCGGCAGCGACAACATGGCAATGCAATGGCACCATTGACGGGCCAGCGTCGTATCATTGGCCTAGCCTGCATCCACACACACATCACCACACCTCACCTCACCTCACCCACGACTTACCGCGGACACGCCTGAGAACTTGTATGTATGCATTACGCTATGCTTGGGTCATGCCAGGCCCGTTGTTCTTGTTGTTCTTGTTGTTGTTGTTATACATGCCCGTCTCGACTCTTGTGCCTGTGCCTGTGTCCGCCCGCCCATAACGCCCAGGTACGCCCAACCCTCTGCAAATCAGAAAGCACCATCTGTCTATTGCTACCCCTTGGTCTCCTTGCTCTCGCCAGACAAAAGGCCCTGGTCCGCTGGATAGCGAGACCCGTCGTCTTCTTCAGAGTACAGAGTCTGGTCGCCCTTGCCGCCCATTTCTACAAACTCTTCAGGGTGCCGCTGTGCAGCCGGCTGTTCCTCTGCAACTGCATGTGGCTTGGCTTTGGCCTTTTTGCCTTTACTCTCTACCCCGTTCTTCTCGTACACCTTGACTGGATCCTGTCCCTCGGTACCTTGAATGACACGCGTTACCTTGACATCATTGATACTGCTCAGCATGGTGCGCTCCCGTTGTACCTTACGCTTTGAAAAGTCTAGTTTGGAAATTGCGCCCGTCAGCCCGTCAGTGCTATCGTTCACGTTGATCTTGCCCTGCGTAGTCCACGGATGCTCCAGGCACTCGTCAACCGTGATGCGTTGCTCCACGTCGACGGTGAGCATGCGGTCGATGAGATCTAGTGCTGGGTCGCCTACAGAGTCCCAATATGGCGACGGATAGTCAAACCGCCCCATCTTGATCTGCTGAGACAATGTGTACGGGTTCTCGGCACTGTACAGCTCGTCTGAGAAGGGAGGGAAACCGCACAGGCATATGTACAAAACGACCCCCAGTGACCATACATCGACAGCACGTGTGTACCGGCGATGGTTTGAGTTTTCTAGAATTTCAGGCGCAACATCTGCCATTGTTAGCATCGGCCTGATGGCAGGCAAATCAGAACAACATACATGATGGAGTACCACACCTGCCTGCATTAGTGACCAACTCGAATACAACCCAAGTCAACTTACAGCGTAGTGGTGAACGACTCTTCACCAATGATTTTGGCAAGACCAAAGTCGGCCAGCTTGACAGACAGCTCCTTGTCGGTGAGCAGGATATTCTCAGGCTTGATATCTCGATGCACAATGTTGCGTTCATGCTGTTGCGTGTCAGAACAGAACAGGGTGCGAGAATGCCATGGCTTACCAGGTACTTAACCGCCTGAAACAATTGCACAAAGACCTTGCGAGCCTCATCCTCGGTCAACCTTTGCTTCATCACAATCCAGTTGAATAATTCGCCCTCCGTCGCCAGCTCAAGAACAAGGTAGACTCCATCGTCTTCGTCAAATGTGTCCTTGAGACAAAGAAGCGCTGGGTGGCTAACGCTCATGAGCACGGCAATCTCCTGCTGCAAGCCCTCCACCTTTGATTTTTCTCCCGGGCCGCTGCGCTTCTCAAACTTCTTGACTGCATGCCGTATGCCTGTTGACTTTTCTGCGCAGAGGTAGACGGATGCAAAATGGCCCTTGCCCAGTTGTTCTTGTATGGTGTACTGCTGTCGGAACCGGTGTGTGTTGCGCTTGAGCGGGTATCTGAATATGTACCGGGCTTCGTCGAGGATGGCGATTTCGTCGCCCTCGCGCAGTTCGCGTCGCTTGTTCCGCCCGACAAACGTGTCGTTGACAAAGGTTCCATTGCCCGACAAGTCCTCGAGTACCGCAACGACGTCGCCCCCTTTTTTCTCGGTGAACAATAGGCAGTGGCGGTTGGAAACGGTTGGTGAGTTTAGCACCTTGTCTTGGGCATGTCAGAAGAAGCTTGCTACGCATTGCACCGTGGCAGACTTACCGCACTCTCGGTGGCGGCCTATGAGATATCCGCCCGCGGGAACACCGCGCTCTTGCTTGTCCTTCTCGTAATGCTCTTCCTGGCCTTTGTACTCGCCTTTGCTTACGTGCTCCTTGCCATTGGTCTGTCCGACGATTGTGCTGGGAACTGGACAGGCCTGTCTCCGGCGCAAAACCATTACATCGCCAGCACTGCCGTCCATGGGCACCAGGTAGCCCCACACCTCTTCGCCCTCCTCATCCTCGACTGCATATGTCCGGTTTTCAGGTGGGTAGACGAACTGCGAAAAGGGCTGTGTATCCGAGGGCGGCGGCGACGACAGGCCACCGCGTGCAGCCTGGCTGGGACCACGGGTCGAAGGGGGGCTCTGGGTTCCTTCCTTGTGGTCCTGCGAAGGGTCGCCGGTGGATTCCTTGTTGGTGACGGGCGAGGGCAGAGGGCCCTGCTTTAGACGACTAGCATTTGCAGGAGGCGAAAGGCGCGAGTGGCGGGTCCTCTTGGGCTCGACTTGCTCGCCTTGAGACAGCTGTCGCGATTGCAGTGTTAGCAATCAATCTGCCCGTGGCCAGTGCATCATCTGGAGCAATGGGGACATACGCGACCTCGCTTGAGCTGGCTTTTCTCTGTTTGCGCCGGCATGCTGACCAAGAGGGATAGTGAGTGAGGTGAGTGGGTGGGTCGAGGCAGCGACGGTCAATGCAGGCGGCTCAGACGACGGCGTCTAGGATGGCATGGTGGAGCAGATGGGTTGTCTGGTGGAAGCGAGTAGGACGGCGGAGAGTTGGGGCTGCTAGGCTACTACACTGAGGCCGCCGACTAGCCTCGACTGTTCGCATATGCTGGCCTTGCTCCAGGCAGCCGAGCCCTGGCTAAGACGAATAAGTAAGTATGCTAGGCTTATTGTAGCATCTCGGGACGCGACAGGGGCTGGCCTCACTGGCCCGGCCAGCTTCCCCGCTGCGACATCAACCTCGATGCTACGATACTTGCACTACTCGTACATACTACACACCTACAGTACACATCGCCCCCGTCGACAGTCAGCTGCATCACACCATGCCAGTGGCCTTTCCCTGCCTTGGCGAAGCAGAGTTTGAACAGGGCTGTGTCCGTCTGCTCGAGCGGTTCCAGTGCGTGCGCAGCATGCAGACCGAGTGGCTCTCTGCGGAGAAGATGCACCGACATGGCACCGTTATGCTGCGGATCACCAAGCCCCTCACGCGGGCGTCGCCCTCTAGCAACGCCTCCGTGCAAGACGCAGACGAGATGCTAGACGAGCTTGGTGATTTGGTACAAGACGACGAGGTGGGTTGCTTGCCGTTGGGGGGGCAGTAGGGCTGATAGAGCAGGCCACTGATTGACATGGCATAGGAGGCTCTGAACGAGACTGCAGTGCCCCCGGCAATCGTCGTCTACGATGCTGTGCTCTCTCCAGTCTACCAAGTTCCAGTGCTGTACTTTGGCATACACGACCCGCTGCATCGCTATCCCCCCACAATGACAACTCTGTACGACCATCTTGTCGTGCCGCACTTCAGGCCCCAGACACAAGACACCAACACGGGCGTCATTGGAGGTGTCTCCATGGCTGTATGGCTAGACATCAACATTCAACAAGAAAGAAAAAATACCAGAACTCACATTTGCTAGGAACATCCAATTACTAACACGCCGGTATTCTTCATCCATCCGTGCCAGACTGCCCAGGTCATGCAAGCTAGCCTGCACGAGGACACGACGGCAGAAGCCTATCTCATGGCCTGGATTGGCGCACTAGGCAAACCCGTGGGTTTAAACATACCTCTGGTCCTTGCCCAACAACTGTAATTGATTCACGTGATGCGTCAACGCGCGCTTGCCATTGCGAGTAGTAGATGATTTACAGTAACATGTATAGTACAGCAACTACAGCCGCATCCGCACACTGGCCCTCTCCAGCTCCCCAATGTTGCCCATGCCTGCCAAGCTCCACTTCTCCGTCACGAAGCCCTCGTCGACTCGATGCCTCAGCATGCCGCTCTCGGCATAGTACTCCATGATCGATCGCGCCTCCTCCTTGCTTAGCCCGCCAACCTCAATGATATTGAACTCTGGTGAGTTGTCGTACAGGCCCTTGAGAGCCTCCATGACACGAGCGTCCACGCTCTTGTACGGATTCCATTGTGGAACCTGGTCGGCCGACACTTTACGAGCCTTAGCTACTTGGATGCAAAAATCTAGACCGGAAGACGTAGGAGAGTTCGATTGTGATGTTGCGCCCAAAACTACTCCGCCATTGGCGAATTTCTTTTGCCCGGACAGGTGGTCGACGAAGTGGCGCACCAGTGTCAAATCATGGGCATGGATGGGCTTCACTTGGGCAGACATGTATTCGGAATGGCGCATGATGTGTGATAGTCCGTCGAGAGCAAGTAGGATTGGAGGGCGCCCCGGCAATGAAAGCTCGTTCCACAGGGCTACGAAGACTGGCCATGAGACCTCGGGATTGGCTACGCCGAGCGCGACTAGCTCTTTCAACGTTGCCTTTGCAGCGAGCGGGAGAGGAAGGTCGGGTTTTGTACTGAGCTTGGTGGCTTGAAGGAAGGCACCGTTTGCTTTGAGCATCTGCTGGAGAAGGTTGGCTGTATATGTATCCTGGGTATATTGCAGCGGTTCTGATTCGGGGAGAGGAGCATATTCCGTGTGAGCGTTGACAAGGTCTTGCGCTGGGTCATGTCAGTGAACTTATGTTTCCCGAGTCTTCAATGACACACATACCTTCTGGGAGATTGATCACGAACCAGTCGCGCAAGAAGGCCATGGCCAGACCCTGAAGTAGCAGAGTACTCTTCCCACTCATTCTCTCACCACACAGTATCCTCCGCAGAGTCTTCCTTTGTCCGGCTGCCGAGTCTTCTACGTCCTTGAATAGCTTCGCTAGCTGAATTGCTTCCTTTCGCATCAACACGGCGGGCCGGCGGAAGAGGCTCCATCCTTGGGACGTCTTGAAAGCCTCGACGGCTCTCAGCGCATCCACGACATTTTCCTGTGGCAGGCCCATGACCTTGCCCTCATTCTTGTCGCTGAGCACATTGTCCTTGGTCAGGTCTTGCAGCGAAGACACTTCAAGGGCATTGTCGTTGCTCAGCACAATGCGCTTTCGTTGAGCCTTTCTTTCGCCCTGGGCTGGTCTCTTTCCCGTATCACCTGCGCTAGGCGCCTTCTTGCCCTTTTTGGTGTTGAGGGACTTGACACCCTTCTTGGGAGCAGCCGCCATGCCCTTCTTCTTGGCCACGGCGGCATATCGCATCGACGACGTGGAAAAGCAGGCTACATGTGGGCGCAGCAGGCGGGGCACGGCGGGTGTGGCATCAATCGACAGCCGCGAAAAGCTGCGCAGACATGTTGAAGGAGGCATGGCAGGCCAATGACGCTCAGGCCCTCCGCAATGGGCGACTTGTGTGGTGCTGAAGATTGAATTCTGTGATGTGATGCCCGCACGCTCGGAGGTCCGCCGCATGTGCACGGGCCTTCGAATTCCAAAAATTATTCTGACCTCTCTGCCTGGGGCGCAATACTGACTTTTTGCGCATCTCACGGCAAGACAAGACTCGACACACAAATAAATTCAACGACCATGTCAGACACAGAAATGGGCGGCGGTTTCGCATTGGGCGTCACATCACCCACGCAATCACAGCTCGCCGACGAAATTAACGGAGGCGCCATGGACGTCAACTCGGTCGCAGACTCGACCATCTCAAGCCGACTGTAAGCTGTGCATTTCCCCTTCTTGCAAGCCCACTCTTTGCTAACCCGAACCAGCCCTATTACCATCGATAAGCCCACACCCTTTACATTTGACCTGGGAAACCTGCTCGCAAACGACCCCAACCCTATCCCTGTCGGCGCCGACGAAGAAGCGCTCAAAGCCACTGCCCGCGATGCCGCCCAAGCACTCATCAACCAGCTCCTGTCTACCTGCCAGGTCAAGTCCACCTCGGAAGGCGTGCATCTGGTCCTTCCCGCGCCAACCACGCCTCTCCCTCGTGAGAAGCCTATTCCCTCCGCCAAGGAGCCCACCAAATGGGAGAAGTTTGCCGCCAAGAAGGGCATCAAGAAGCAGAAGCGCGACAGCAACCTGGTCTACGACGAGACCAAGGGCGAGTGGGTTCCCAAATGGGGCTACAAGGGCAAGAATAAGGATGGGGAGAATGACTGGTTGGTCGAGGTTGACGAGAAGAAGGAGCGCGCGACGGGCGAGGCGCATGACCAGAGGGCGGACAACCGCCAAGAGAGGAAGGAGAGGATTCGAAGGAATCTGAGGAAGCAAAAAGCCAACGAGATCAAAGCTCGCAAGACTGTTGTTTGAGCTGCACCGGTTGTCCTTTTCTACGCGAGCATCCTTTCTACCACAACTTGCATTTGGGCGGCGTTTATCACGATATCAAAATCCAGTACTTTAGGGCTACAAAATTCGAATACCTGCCCCTTGTGTTGCTTGGAATACCATCGTGTGATGCACGAGGCTCTTATTGAGTGTCAATCATCACGACTGGTACCCTACACTACCTCTCGCACCCTCAATTGAAGTCAATCGGCCAATATGGAACCAAAATTACATAAACCGACACCACTGGTACGCGTCCTATGAATTTCGACCCAAGAAGGATCTTCAAGCAAAAACCTACCATTTTCCCATACCAGAGTCGCTGTTCCCATACATTCAAACTACCAAAAAGCTCCACATGGCCACTGCACCTTGCAGCCGTAGAACAGCCTCTTGCCCTGACGCCTTTTGCACCTCGATGCTCGACGCATGATACTAACTTGCAGACGCGATATTCAAACCCAGAGCGAAATCTCAAGAGGAAGAGTCACCCCAAAATCCTGTCAGTTTTTTTCTCTCTCGAGTGGTGATCAATAGCGCAGGGAAGGAGAACGAGGCTTTTTATATCAAAGCAAATATGAATCATCGCCACCCTGGAGCTTACCCCCCATTTCTGCGATCACTACAAGTAATTGACTACCCTTGTACCCAACCTACTATAAGCGATTTCAAGTGAGGTCAGCTCCTATCCAGATGTTAAGCGTGCCGAAGATCAATTGCTACTAATTATTCAAGCCTGGCGTTGCTACGTTGCGGCAGTGACGCTGGAATCACCCGTATCAGGACTCTTGTAGAGTATATATACATTGTTGGATGTTGATGCAAACTCCCGAATTATTCGCCTTGTTAATGTCGAGACTTTCCGTCTCTTCGCAGTTCCTGTGTGCGTTGCTGGCCTCAACCATCTCATTAGCTGGAAGAGAAATGACCATCGACATTGAATGGAGAAGAGAAAGATTAAGTTTTTGATCGTTCTAAAGCCACTAGCAACGCGTTTCTGCAATTACATAACGATTTCATGGATTTGAGAGCGAACGTAATTGAAAGTACTTAGTTGGGTTAAATCAAGTTGCGTGCAGTGCAATATAGAAACACGACGGATAAACTCGATGACCCCGCGCAATCATGCATGAGATGGTGTATCAAGCATTGCCGTGGCAGATACCCGTAATGTTTTTCCTTAGCGTATACGTAAGTAGTAAGATAATCATGTCGGCGTCAAGCGCAATGCTTGTGCAAGCTTGTTTAGCCACGCAGTCCCACCACCCCGCATCTCTAGTTTGCAATCACGCCGTATCCTTTCTGAACTTCTACACTCCTGTTAAGGTGGCTCTGCTCCCAGCATTTAGCTTCGTTGAGAATAACTTGTTATCGGCGTCAGATATATGTGTGGACATTGTCTCGAGTACGTGACAGGGAGGGGGTTAAGAACAACCTATGGCATCGGAACGGTGCGGTAGTAAGAGATCGTCACGTCACTGGCTAGCCCTGGTGGGGTCTTGTCCCTTTCAAAACCCCACAGCGGTTAATTCTTATCAGCGTCATAGGATGAAAGACGGCCGAGTGAGGGGACCAGACGCTAGACGTGGCCAGATATCCATGGAACGATGACACCCCAGCTCATTCCCGACGCTTGGATGGGGTCAACATGCACAGTGATGTGCTTAAGAATGACTGTTTTCGCAGTTGGGCGCAAGCAAAAGCCCAGGTACAAAGTATTCCATTCCTTGTTTCGGGAAGCAAATACTCCCTTGAAGTTTCGACACAAGTTCATTTCGGCGTAAGCGCATTGTTCATTTGGTCACACGGCATAGCACAACACAACCAGTTGGTATAATGGCTTCTGCAGCTGAACATACAAGCGAGATACCGATGGAAAAAGGAAGTAGTGAGGCGCATATCGAGTCCACCAAACATGTCCATACTATTGAGAATCTTCCGAATCCAGATGCTGGCCTTAATGAAGAGGAGCGCGCTATTCACGTACAGTCCCTCCCTAATATATTCTCATCCTCTACCGCAAACATTTAACCTTTTCTCAGGACAAGAAGCTAATTCGAAAAATCGACCTGCATCTCATCCCCTGGCTCTCCTTTCTGTACCTGATCTCTTTTCTCGATCGCACAAATATTGGCAATGCAAAAGTCGACGGCCTACAGCAGGATCTAGGCATGACTGACAGCCAATACAATAACAGTCTCACCATTTTCTTTGTCAGCTATTCGGTATTCGAGCCACTTACTAATGTTCTACTGAAGAAAATGAGGCCAAGTGTGTTTTTGCCTATCATCATGCTTTGGTGGGGCTTATGCATGACTTGTATGGGACTGGTTCACAACTATGCAGGGCTTATGACAGCTGTAGGTGGCGTCGTAGTGCTAGTAGATCGATACTCTGAGCTCTGCTGACGGTGCATAGCGATGGTGGCTGGGTGTAGCGGAAGCCGGACTATTCCCTGGCGTTAACTACTACCTTAGCTGTTGGTATAGGCGTTCAGAGTTCGGCGTACGTGCTGCCGTGTTCTTCTCAGCAGCAGCGCTTGCTGGCAGCTTTGGGGGGCTTCTAGCTGCAGGCATTGCTCAGATGGATGGTGTTGGGGGGAAACCCGGTTGGGCATGGATATTTGTAAGGCAAAGCAGTAATGACACAATGTTCATGGTCGGAGTACACTAACTGGACAAAGATACTTGAAGGCCTTGCCACAATCTTGGTAGGGGTGGCTTCATACTGGATGGTCCATGATTTTCCAGCCGAAGCCACATTCCTCAGTCCCGACGATCGAGCCCGCGTCCTACGACGCCTCCGTGCCGACCAGCAGGCGTCGTCGAGCTATGAAGAATTCCAGGCGAAGTATTTCTGGCAATCGGTCAAAGATTGGAAAACACTGGCCTTTGCTGTCATTTACATGGGAGCTGACGGCTCACTGTACGCATTCAGTCTGTTCTTACCATCTATCATTGCAGGCTTGGGCTACAAGTCTACAACAGCCAACCTGCTCTCCGTGCCTCCATACGCAGTTGCTGCCATGGTAACAGTGTTAGTCGGGTATATTGCAGACCGTACTCAACAGCGAGGCTACTGCAACATATTTATATCCATTTTTGGCATTGTAGGATTCGCCATGCTAATTGCATCTGGAAATCCACATGTACAGTATGCAGGTACCTTTTTAGGCGCCATTGGCATTTATCGTGCGTAAAACTTAGGGTACAAGCAGACTCATGCTAACACTCGCCAGCCACAATCGCAAACACAATTTCCTGGTGCGCTAATAACGTCGAAGGCGTGTACAAACGGGGCGTCACTCTTGGTTTTGTAATTGGATGGGGCAACATTAATGGTGTCGTATCATCGAACATATACCGCAGCAAAGATAAACCGAGGTACTTTCTTGGCCACGGTGTAGTGCTAGCCTACCTTACGCTGTGGCTCTTATTCGGGAGCATCGTTACGCGTTTCTTATTATCTTGGGAAAATAAGAAGAGGAGACAAGGGCGTAGGGATCACTGGATTGAGGGGAAGAGCGAGAGGGAGTTGGTGGAGATGGGGGATCAGAGGTCAGATTTCTTGTACACATTGTAAAGTGGAGGCTCCCACGTTTCTCGGCGAGTAGGAGGACCGTCTTACATCGCGCCAGTGATTGTGCAAGGAGAATTCGGAAGTATCCTGTCTAGTATTTCATAGCATACCTGTGCTTATCATTCATTCATTTCTTACTCATAGTGATTGCTCAATACATGTGATATACAGTAAAATCCTCTCCAATGCAACGCTAGGATATCAGACAAATGCAACGCTTGATGGAAGCAACAATCCCTCCACGAATAAAGAAGCCACTAGCCTAATTATGGCCTATGTGTGCATCTAAGCAAAGAAGGTCATACAATTAAAAAGTGTAAGTTTCCCAGTTTGCTCAAAACCGAAGGGAAGGTCATTTCCAGACGGACCAGACAGTCATTTGCAATCTTACTCATGTTTTCCAGCCCCCGTAGCGCACTATAAAGTGCAGTTTGTAGTTCAAAGACGGGGTCAAGATATGAGTGGGAGCACAGGAAGTCGATGCAATGATAGAGGAGGATTGGGATGAATGGATGGACCTGAGACACTTGTTAGCTACTGGTTCTAGATGCCGATCCCACAAAATATTAAAACACTAAATGGGTGAGGAATATGTAGTACCTGGAAAAAGCTCAGTTCCGACAACTCCTTGGAGAGAGCAGTCATTCGTTGGGCGGCGGGAAGGACCATATGAGTTAGCTTCCCAATAGCGTCTTGGTGTGTGTTTATTTCGGACTGGGTCAGGGATGTTTGCATCGTCTTGTACATTGTTATGATGGCTGCTTGGGTCGTCATGTGTGTGAGGAGCGGCAGGGAGTCGAGGTGCAGATTTGCGCAATGGTCTTGTAGCGACAGACGCTCCAAGTTCATAGCGATGCTGGTTTCGAGGCGTTGGTGGCGCGTCCAAAAGTCGAGACTAGATGCACCTTGGGCTTCTTGCTCAACTATGCTACGTTGGTAGTGGGATAAGCTTTGGTTACATAGGATGGCCTGTCGGATGGACTCGGTAAAACTGGACGGTGCTTGGGGTTCGTCATCGGGCCGAGCTTGTGATGGTAACGGCATGACGATTGGGTCGTTGTTCTGGAAATTTGCTTCGGGCATTGGCAGTCGTGTTAATATCTAGTTACTTGGTTAGGTCCATGATTACACTCTTGGGTTTTGTGAAGAACAGGGTAGCACCCACTATATGCTGGTTGAAGGTCAGCGGGAGCTGGTCCATGAGACTGACAAAGCAATCAATCACAAAGAGCATCCAAAAAGTTCTTCTTCGTTCCTCGATTTCAGTTGCTGTTAGCGATGAATTGACAGAAAGCTCGTCACGCCCATCAACCGTGTGAAGCTTTTGCAGTATCGCGGACCGAAAAAGCTTGCCCGCACTCATCCATCCTTGTCTATAGTTGACATGCATTAACTCGTAGATAAAAAGCAGTGTACATGCTTGAAGATGCTCCACCCGAATGTAGTCATCCATTGATGGATCCATCTCGAGGCTATCCAGGATTCTTCTTGCGTTTGCATACAGTTCGTCTTGAACATGCTGAAACTGGCTCGAGGTCGACGCGGCTACTGTCCACATTGTATACCGTAGACCAGAGAATGCCGTCACATTGTTGTCCATGCTGGTTTGCCTCGCTCTGTCGAAGTAGTGTCGCTTGTTAAGAATTGGACAAAAGTTATGCGCTCGATCAAAGTAAAGATGGTCACTAGTCATTCGGCCGAAAGTTAGTCGTGTAATACTATCACGTAATGGTTGGGACACGAACAGGTCATGTTTGATGACATCCGAGATTTGTCCCATAGTGGGATTTTCAATTAATGGCGCAGGTATTGGGAAGTACTCGATTGCGGAACTGTCGGATGAGCTGTTGGCTGAGCTCTCTTGCACTTCGTTGAAGACATCAAGAGCGAGCCATTCATTAGTCGGCGGCTCTATCGATGACGGGTAGGGCATGTTTGTATCTTGAAGAGCTTGAAGGTCGTCTTCAGTATGTTCGCCCAGGGTCTGATCGCCCAGAGTCTGATCGCCCAGACGCCGTTCTAGCGCCACTAGTAGTAGTAGGCTTGTCAGCATCCGGAAATAGGAATGAATGAACACACTTACTTATACGCAACTGTAACGCTCGCAGATGACCTTTTTTTGGACCGCGAGGCTGTTTAGTTGTTGTTCGATTGCACACAACGCCAGAGTCTCGACACAATCCGCACTGCGGCTGCTCTCGGTCGCAGCGAAGCTTTCGTCTACGACATTCATCGCAAGCCAAGCCAGCCTGTTGGCGAGGACGAGGAGTGGTGGGACTTTGCTGGGAAGGATACATGATTGTTCTTTCGTCACAAAGACTGTGAGACTAGAAAAATACAAGTAGACATTTAGTTGTACAATCGAAATAGTACTGGTAGGATATGGACTTATATTCACAAAGGAGAAAGGCTGCTTCGCGGTTCAACGATTGACATACATTATAGTGGGTAACGGCGACAATGCGGGGGAACTATGGTATCGCGACAATATGTATCTACATGTTGCCAGGGTGAGTTTGGTATAACAGGGTCCCGGGGCTGAGTTGCAGGGAGACCTGGTTGCCGGCACTTGCGTAGGATGATGCAGGACCGGTAGCGAATGAGCGAAACCAGACGATGATAGGTAACTATTGTACCGGAGGAGGGGACGGCCTGACAGTGGGTCGTCAGAATTCGGTTGACCTTCCGGGCGAGGCACAGGCGTCGGCGACTTGAGGCCCTAGTTCATAACCGTTAGTGTTTTGTAGCCCCACAACCCGTCGTGTTGCAACGTGGGATCAATCCTATATCAACTCATTTTTACTCGCCCTCAACGCAGTATCTTGCATTACCCTCCAGGGTTTGCCTAATCTAATATACAGGGCTACCTCAGATTAGCCAAGACACTCGCTAGTCTTACCCGTTATACTAATTTTTTCTAGGCCTAAGAAATGCAAAGCAGGCGGCGCCTTTGTTTCTCCATCGGAGTTTGCGAGATTAACGGGACATATAAAATCTCGATCTGACATACATATTCTCGATCGCCTGCATATCCATCCGGTCTTCCCTAGCCGTTGTCAGCATCGGACCAAGAAGCAAGGACGACGAGTATGAGCAGTTTTGTGATGTCGAAAATACTACTGGAGTGAACACAACGGAAGAGACATCTGGAGCAGGGTGAAGAGAGTTTGAGTCTATTGAGAAAAGTGGCGAGGTTGCTAACGAGGCTTCTAGAAAAAAGCAAGACCCGACACAAGTCGAAATGCAAAAGAAAAGTGTAAAGCCTGGCACCTTGCTCAAACCAAGATGTACTGTTGGCTAGTTACGGAACCGGAAACAATCAATTAAGTGGGGGCCCCACCTACGCTCTTTTGCTGAAGCATTATTACTACCCCAAGTTTAGGCCCTACCGCATCAAGTTAGCTGAGTTCGGATGATTTAGTCGTGTCCGAGTCTAGGTAGGTCAGGGCGCATGATATACCAAGCAGGGTTTAGGCTAACGACGAGGCACTATGCTCAGCTCTAGATTCTTTGCATTAGTTAAGCATCTGCGGCCTACTAGCCGGTCATTTGGGTGCTCACAGCTCGCTTTACTCTAGGCGAAACACGAAATCGCATATTCATACGACTATCTCAGTCTTGGTCTGCCTCAGACGACGACTTTGGCCTCAGAGTGACCTGGAACGACATCAGAGTCACCGTAAATCAATTAAAACGCATCACAGTGGGTTTCGGAACGCAAAGTGGATACTGTTAAACAACAACGAATGTCTTGAAGAACAACGATAAGTATAGGTCTGGTGCTGTCCTAGATGATTACAGCAATGTTTCCAGCCCATTCAAGCCCAACACCTGATCTCTACACTACTCCTCCTCCTCCTCCTTCTTCTTCTTCTTCTTCTTCTTCCCTGTGTTGGTATATGACGGACACAAGTTCCTGCAGTCGACGCTGCTTTGGGAGTAAACCCTCTTGTTTGCAACAACAGACTCAGTGCCGTTGATTTCGCCCTTGGCGAACTCCTATTCGGCGATACAAAGCTTGATCTCTTGGGCTGACCCTTCAGGGTGTTTCCCCGACTGGTAGAGATTATTGATATGTATGTAAGACAGGACTGCTAGGGTTCTTTATGCCTCTGATGCTTTTTCTGACGACTCGCTTTGTTTGCCACACCAGCAATTATCCCGATGCCACTGACGCTCAGTGCAGGAATCAGCCAGTTACTTTGACCTGCTAGAGCAGTAGACTTGGATTTTGTTTCAAATTTGCGCTTATCCTGCCAACCTTGGCTAGACCGTCGCACGTGAGTTCAACTGCTACAATGTTTTTATACTAACCGAGCAACTCTATCATTCCAAGCAGGTGCCGAGACCTGAGACAAGAGCAGGAAAGTTGTACAGGATAAGGAGAATTGGCGATGCATCCACAAGATCTTGAAAGTATGCCACAATATTATCTTGGCGCATGCGAAGCCAAGGTATGAAGGCACAAGGGGCAAGGTAGTAAGTACGGCATACTCGGTTCCCTTGCTTCCATAGTCTGGCGAATTCTTGAAAAGCATGGCCCTTGAATTACCTCAACCAAGGCACGTGGAGTTAGGGTGGGAAAGAGCACGACGCAGAGTGAGCGCATGCTGGACGACGCCAACGCCGCGGACCTGTTCGTCACGTCCGTGCCGTGAATGTAGAGATGCGCCTCTGTCGCAGTGATGCGGTTGTATATCCGACAGCAGCTATTCGCCGTTACAGACGATGTAAGTACAACTATTAGTACTCGGCAGCTTTGGGCATCCGCCGACAACCTATCGTGTCTCGGCTGCGCTAGTAAACATGTTGGTCCGCCCGCTCAACCCCACGTGATGAGCATTGCAATTTCAATCATTCTCAGGACTCGGCCGGTTGCGATGTTCACCTTTGTCCCGATCGCGCTACCCGGCCCCGTGTGTTGTCGAGGCGGGTTCCACGGGAAAGCCGGCAAGCTAACCAGGCCATTTACCCCGGGTTTCTACAGACTGTATCTACTGCTACTTCCGCTTGCCTTCTTCCTCGAACATCCCTTGACCTTGACACGAAGTACATTCCAGGAAACCCATGTCTGTGAGAATTTTGCCCGTCCCACTAATGAGCTGCGACTTGGCATAAAGTCCACGAGGTCCTTTCCTAGCCCCTTAGGCTATAGTAATTCCGGTCTTGAGGCCTTCAGCGGGAGTAGAGTTCGATATATGCGGCTCGATCCGTAGTGTTTGATCTTGATGTCATGGGCGATAAATCGGTAAGCTGGACGCTATCGTTCTCAGGGGAACGGATATCGATCGGGTTGGAAACGTGGAACAATTGTTACGATTCACCTTCCTCAGATTCACGTCGGCAGCTACTGATGAGCAACAAATATCATGAGAATGATAATTAAAACGGGATAAAAGTAAGGCACATACATGATTAAGAACTCTTCTCTACCTTCAATATTGTAGCATCGTCATACACGTCATACTCCACGCAATGCTACTATTTCTTTCTGTGGAAAAGACCATTTGTGTCAGTGAAACGGTAACTCAGGAAAAGAACAAAGTACATTCAATCTTGACATATGCATCCAACATGCCCACTAGCTTGAGCTTTATTCTCACTAGATATTTAGACCTCATGGAATGGTGTGAGGAATAGTGTCGTTAGGGTAACCTTAACGTATACATTGTCTCGCAGCAATCACAAGTGTCGTACAAGGAGTCTATCATGTTGTTGAACGATGACAGGAGCAGAAATAAGAGCAGGGGTAGGAGCAGGGGTAGGGAGCAGGGTCAGGGCTAAAGAAGGTTTGCCTCAAAATCAAATTCAGTTGGATTTGCAAACGCAAGGACCGTGGCTATCATGAGTTTTGAGTAGGACATTCAGGTCGAAATGCTCTAGCACTTGACGGCACATGCAGTCTTCATGTTCAGCGTGTAGTAGCAAGGATGAATGAAGCACGCAGGTTTTGATGAACATCCAAAAAGAAGAACGGGTATCAATTTATAGCCAAGAGAAATTCGTCCACTTTGCGCATGTTGTACGATACAACACCATAGCAGAGTTTAGACTAGACGTAGCCAGACTAGGCCTTGGTGTAGGCTGGGAGATGCTCAGAGGAGTGCACCTTGGTGGCAGCCCTTCTGGCCATCCTCCTCTCGCGGCGATCCAACTCCCTCGCCACCGCCTTGGCCAACTTCCTCCTCTCCTCTCTCTCCTTCTGCTTCAAGACGTCGTTCTTTCCCTTGCCTGTCCAGACCTTCCTGAACTCCTTGCGAAACTTTTGGCCAAAGGTGATGTGCTTGTCGGCCTCGTCTTCAGCTTGACGCTGCTTGTGCTCCTCCTCATCCTCGGTGTCGTAAAAGTCCGAGTCATCGTCGTTGTTGCCGTCATCGACCAGGCGATTGGTTTCAGAGGACTCGAGGCTGACGGCACGCTGGTTGCGGGCTTTGTCCCAGACCTTTGTGCGCGAGTATGCAATGCAACCGGTGATGCTGAGGACGGTAAGAAAGGGAAAAGAGAGGAAGAGCAGCATCACGATGCCAAAGGCGATGAGGTCTTCGTCCATGATGAGTGCAGTCTCAGAGAGCGAATAAGTGGTGGATTGTGAGAATGAGGCGGGGATGTTGGAGGAGAGGTCAAGGTCAAGGGATGTTGCAATATGTATGTAATGTGATGGATAGTGTTGGGGTGTTGGGTGTTGGGGAAAGGAGAGGCTTGTTGCCACCTTGGCCCCGTGTGGCGCAGCAGCCGTGGCGACCTTCACATGCAATAAATATGCACGTCATTGCCGTGCATGAGTCATGCGCCGCCACCTTGTTTGTTTGTGTAGTGTACATTACTAGTACGTACTTGCGCATGTACTTGTCTAGTGTATATACATACATATGCAGTACACCACAATTCTTCAGTCGCAATCATTACACATAGTGCATGCCGTCCTATCCAGCGACATGCGGCTGTATCGTGATCTACCGATCAGCGGGCATGGGCCTCCGAGTAATTCTGCGCTAACAACACGGCCTAAGAGGCAAGGTTCGGCCATGTCTCCTCAGGGGTCATGCTAATATGGCATTGTTCGCCCCTTTCTGCTATCTAAACAGTACTCGACTCTGCAGCCGCACAGTTGAGTGAACAAAACCGACCACAACATGGTAGTGTGTGGTGCAAACATGCATGCCACGGCTGCCTCTTGTGTTGTTGCTTGGGCCTTCGTTGTCTGCCGTCTCCGTCCCGCGTCACCACCATCCGGCAATCATATCCTTTTCACGGTTCTAGCGCAGCCCGTCGGGCCGTTCCATCTACTGTGCAACTGGCTCTCGGAATACACGGAGTCAATCGTGGTATTCACTCCTATATGATTGCTCGAGCCGAGCTCAATATACCCTCACATACCTAGCACCGTACACAAAACCATCCATTAACATCACTAATGAATCCTCTTAGTTTCTTTGCGAGTGTTTCAACGCCTCTACACAGCGTGCAAAAGTGGGGGTCAAGAGATTATTCCCCGTCCATACGAAAATGCTAAGCAGGGTTGAGGGTATTAATAACATCACATTAGCCCTTTAATCGATTAGATCCGACCCGCACCGTTCGTATTATAAATAATACGAGGTGCATCGTTGTCCCAAGAGGCCCTCCCTACACAGTCTGCATCTGCGTATATGTAGACTTGTCACGTCCTGGAATTCTATTTCCTATTAGCTTCTCCATTGCCTGGTACTAATAACGCCGTCTTTTTTTTACACCAGCATCCATTATGGTGGGAAGCATCAACAGGTTTCTAGCCATTGCAGGCACTGCCTCGGCAGCCGTCTTCGACCTGCCTGTTGTCATTAAGGGCACATATAGCAGTGTCAAGCTCGACATCGGCACGCCCCCGAAAGAACACCAGTTGCTGTTCGATACCGGCTCATCAACCCTCTGGACTGTTAGCACTGACTGTACACAAGACTCGTGCCCAGAAGGAAACACGGGACGATATAAACGACAATACTACAATGCATCGGCATCGTCCACGGCTGTCGATATTGGCATTCCCGCCACGATCCCTTACTTAGGGGGTAACGTTGAGGGCGAAACTTACTACGACGTCTTCAGCGCTCTCGATGGGTCAGTGAAGTGGAATCAGTCATTCATTGCAGTCAATGAGAGTTCATGGCGTTGGATCACTGCAGACGGGTTTCTGGGCCTTGGCTTCTCCACCATCGCAGAACCCAACACGTCGACGCTGGTCGAAACGCTCCTGTGGGATGGCAAGCTAGACAAACCCCGATTCGGCCTATACTATGGCACGAACCTAGGAGACGAGGGCCCTCAGGACGGTGTGCTCAGCGTCGGTGACAGTCACGAGGACAAGTATGTTGATGGCCAGGTGGTTTATGCTCCTCTGCAGAAGGTCAACAACGAATATGATCTATGGCGCACACCGTTGAAGGCTGTCCACCTACTGGTCGCCAAGAACCCGTCCAACCCAAATCACACAGTCGAGACGCACATTGGCAAACTGCCCACGACGCAATTTTCTGGCAATGCTGTCGAGTCAGTCAATATGACTCTGTCAACGTTCGGCCAGGGTCAGGCTGTTTTCGACACGGGAGCTGGTCGCCTTTCCGTGCCGTACGAAATGATCAATTCCCTATACTACAACCTCGGCTGGGATTACGAAAGTCTGCTCAACGGCAAGCAGCGCTTTACCTGCGAGGCCATGAACGCATCCTGGGCTATTTCTCTGGTCCTTGGTGAGGGTGCGCCCGAGAACGATGTCGTGGTCAGTATTCGCGGCGATGAATTCCTCGAGCCTGGAGCTGAATGCATGCCACCGTTTGACCCTTCCGACTCACCTTCATTTGCTCTTGTTGGTGGCACCCTCCTCCAGAGGTACTACACTATATGGGACTTTGGTGCGGACAAGGTGGCTGAGTATATGCCTCGGCTTGGATTTGGAAGACTGAAGAAGGAGTTTGACTGGAAGTACCAGTCGTGAGGGTTGCGTGGGAGGGGGGATTTTATGGCCGATTGTACATGTATATACGTAATATATCAAGATGACATGCAAACGAGGTACTTGGTGCAGTGACGAATATCGTTGTTGCGGGCGCAAAAGCGTGCTGTGTAATAATAACACGAGCGGTAGGCGGGCCAGCCAGTAATGCCAGCAGAGGTGGGCAATACCTTGCTTGGCTGTCAGAGTGAGTTTGTTGATTGTAAGTGTATTTATGTATGTATGTATGTGTGGTGGGGGTAGTCGTGGTGTCAAGGCCAACACGAGTCTTCCTAGGTTACGTCAAGGACCCTGGCGCTAGTCGCTGACGGACGTGCAACCACTGCTTTCTGTCCTCATCTCGCGTGCTCTGTTGTCTGACAACCAAACCCAACAACCTCTCACTTTGCCATGATCCAGGCTCTTCTCCAGGTACGTCTAGCCCTGCAATTGCTGCCTCTGCTCCTAAACCTACCCCCTCTTTCATTCACCACTAACACACACTACAGCGCCTGGCCCGCTGGCTCGACCGGCCGCAATTCCCATGGAAGCGCCTGGTTGTCGGCTTCTCTCTCGCAGAGTTTGCCCTCGAAAACTGGCTTCTCTTCCGCCAGTACCGTGTTCTCCAACGCACTTCTATCCCCAAGGCTCTCGACAAGGAAATTGAAAAGGAAACGTTTGACAAGTCTCAGGTGCGCCTCCCCTCCCTCCCCCACTGATGCCAGACATGACGCCGGTCGCGGTCGCGATATTGATACTGACAACGGCCGCAGCAATACGGTCGCGCCAAAGCAAAGTTCAGCTTCATCTCCGGTGTCTTCAACCAGCTCAAGCATCTAGCCTCTCTCTACTTCAACCTCTACCCGTTTGTCTGGACTGCCGCCGGCACTGTCCTCGCCCGCTATGCGCCTGCCCGCTTCTCGGGCGAGATATCGCAGTCGCTCTTGTTCATGTACATGCTCGGCTGGATCGACTTGATCGCCGGTCTCGGTTTCTCGTACTACCACAGCTTCGTCCTGGAAGAAAAGTTTGGCTTCAATAAGATGACGGTCAAGCTCTGGCTCACGGACATGGTCAAGGGCCAGGCGCTCGCTATTGCATTTGGTATTCCGATTGGAAGCGCCTTCCTGGCCATCATCAACAAGACGGGGCAGGGCTTCTTCTACTACCTGTGGATGTTCATGCTGGTTGTGCAGATTACCGGCATGACCGTCTACCCGATCCTCATTGTGCCCCTGTTCAACAAGCTGGAGCCGCTCAAGCCTGGCAAGCTCAAGGAGTCAGTCGAGGCACTTGCTTCCAAGCTCAACTTTCCTCTTTCGGAGCTGCAGGTCATTGACGGCAGCAAGCGCAGCGCTCATAGCAACGCCTATTTCACGGGCCTGCCCTGGATTGGCAAGAAGAAGATTGTTATCTACGACACATTGCTGGAAAAGAGCACGGAAAAGGAGGTTGAGGCCGTACTAGCACACGAGCTGGGTCACTGGAAGATGAACCACACGTCACGACTTCTCTTTATTAGCCAGGCGCATCTATTCTACATTTTTGCCCTCTTCTCCGTCTTCATCAACAACCGGTCGCTGTACGCAGACTTTGGCTTCCACCGGGAGCAGCCGACCATTGTTGGCTTCATGCTCTTCAACGAGATTCTGTCGCCCACGGACTCGGTCGTCAAGCTTCTCCTCAACATCTGGACCCGTAGCATGGAGTACGAAGCAGGTATGTGGCTCAAACGCTTGCGTCTTCGTGTTTGTGTGTGTGATCAGGACTAATATGAAGCAGATGCTTTTGCTGTCAAACTTGGCTATGCGCGTGAGCTAGGCGCATCGTTGATCAAGTTGCAGATTCAGAACCTGTCGAGCATGGATGCCGACTGGTTCTACTCGAGCTTCCACCACTCGCACCCCATTCTGACGGAGCGTCTCAAGGCTATGAAGTGGACTGGCGAGAAGAAGATTGTGGTTGACAAGGCGGCCGACGAGGACAAGGCTGTAAAGGCAGCGGATCGGGAGCTATAGGGGTTCGTAGGTGGTGGTGATGGTGGTGCATGTGAGTATGAGATGTGGGACAAAAAAGGCCACGGGCGTGTGAAGGCAAGATTGGGTGCGGGCCGTTAGTGTAGTACTAGCATGTAGCTCCAATGCGACGGCGCAAAAGGTGACAGTGCCCTCTTATCTCGGTCGGTCTGTGGTGCCATGGCAAGATGGCTAATCTGACTTTTTTGCCTTTGCCGCATTGTCCCGTTTCCTCTGCAGGTCTCGCTCCTTCTTAGCCTTCTTCCTGGCATCCTTGTCGACTTGTCCATCTGGGGGCGATTGTTGGGTTTGGCCATGGGCCTGGTCCTTCTTCCTTTTCTTGGTGTCGTTGGTCTGCACTGGTGGTTCCTGCCCACCCTCTTGCACGACGTTGGTCCTGTTACCCACATCGCCAATCTCGATGCCGCCTTGCTCTGCCTGGTAGGTGGCCACGTCTTGCCATTCTTGCTCTACGCCTGTGTTTTTGCTGCCCTCGCCATCAGCAGCAGCAGCGTCCAGGGCCTCGGCCTGGGCCTCGAGAGTCGTGTCTGGCTCAAGGTACTCGCCGCGCAAGCCCGCAGCTACACGACGCAGATGGTGCATGAGCAGATTCCCCACTGCGCCGCCCTTTGCGTTGAATGTCACGCCATCGGGGGTGATGAGGGCGTCGGGGTGCAAGTGCGCATGTGTCTCGGAGTTTTGCAGGTACTTTTCTAGCACGGCGGATGCGGCGCTGAGAGATACGGGCGCGCTGGATACCTGGCGGCGGGGTGGGGGCGCCTCGAGCAGCATGGTTGTGAAATCTTATGGAAGAATGAGACAAGTTGGTTATGGTGCAAATATCAATCTTGGGTTGAGTAGTGCATTCAGAAAAGAGTCTTGGGCATGAGCATCTAAGTACATGGGCAGGCAAAGGCGCAACTTTTTGCGCACGGACGCTCGACCCATGTTTTATTAGTTTTGGGTCTGCGGACTGGGGAACGGGGCGCTGCAACCCACGAACCATATACACACACACGCAAGTCAATTGGGGGAGAAAGGAGGGACTGAGAGAGGCAGAGGGATCAAAAAGAACAACGACAAAGTCTTCCAATTGTACAGAAGAAAAGAAGAGAGAGAAGGCGTGATGAACGCTTTCCGGTGCCTGAGGGTTGTTTCAACCAGCTCTTGTGCGCTTCTCAGACCACGCACATCAGGCACAGCAGCAGTAGCAGCAGCACAACAGTATGCGCACACCCTCTTGTATCGCGACATGAACCAGCATCGCTGACTTTTGTTTCTTCTCTTCTCTGCAGCTTATCCACGCCCTTGCAAGCCCGCCAAATATCTCTTCTCTCACCCCGCCGTCCCCTCGTGCCAGTGACATACTCGTCACCGTCAACCTTGGCTCCGCCTGGCACCTCATCCTCTCTCGCCAGTCCGGAAACACTAGACCTTGTGGGCAGAATATCGGCACATCCCGCTCTGGGCAGCACCCAGATCCGCTGCGGACCCCGCGACACGTACAATCCCAGTCATTTGGTGCGCAAGCGCAGGCATGGGTTTTTGAGCCGTCTGCGAACAAAGAAGGGGCGCAAGATGATTATGAGGCGGTTGAAGAAGGGGAGGTGGAATATCAGCCATTGAGAGAGGGCCGAGGACGAGACGGGTGATCAACGTACCAGTGTGCTGGAACTGCTTCTACGAAGCTCTCTACATGGCAAGTGAGACGCTGACGTCCTGCTGCCATGGCCTGGAAACAACATGTACTCATCACACTTGTAATATAAATGCGGCATAGTTCCCTGCACCGACTGTGCCACCGCAATCTAGGATGCAAGCACAAGCTTGTGTTCGTCGATACAAAGACCGCTGTATAGGCTCTTGGACCATCTAGTAGCGCTGTAGGGCAGCATGGCTGCATTGGAACGACAATCCTCCATCTTAGCTATCAAATGAAGGCGCCATTTGTGTATACATGTCTTCTCATGATGTCGTGGAGGCAGGCCTCCAAACTATTTCGTCATGGCAGACTGCGAATGCACCCACACGACTTGAATGCGTTGCCTAGCTGATGATACCACGTGACATTCATGACCACCGAGATACCACGGCTGTTTTTACAGTAATCAGCCCAAGACGACGCACTTCATTCAGGCGTCGCTAGTGCTTCTTCTTGCTTGTTCCTGTTCTTGTCCGCGTCCTTGAGCACTTCCTCCCCACCACGCCCATCCAATGTCTCTGCAAGCTTCGCCTCGTCCTCGATCTTGTCAATCTGCTTCAGTATAAAGGCAATCGTTGCATCCCGTGCCTTGTCCACCCTTCCCAACGCCTCCATACCCATGCGATCATAATCCATTAGCTTCTGAGGCGTTGGCAGCTCCACCCGCCCCTCGCCTTGCAACCTTGCCTTTTTCTCGCTCAGCAGCTTGCGCAATGCAAAGATGTTGTAATCTCTCTCTTGCAAGTTACTAATGAGCTCTTTGCGCCTAGTCTCCTCTTCTTGCTCTTCCTCCTCTTGTACTTTTCCTTGTACTTTCTGCTTCTTGTGGCTGGCAGAACTCGAGGCTGGCTGCGCACTGTCAGACGACGAAGCGCCTGCGACTTTGGCTTTGCGAATCGCCTCCTTGGCACTCGTTTCAATATGCGTGAAGCGAATAGGGCCAATGTTTTGGCCGCCGTACCAGCGCCCAACTACCACGGTCCCGCAAGTCGATGTGTCGCGCAGTACATTGCTGAGCCGTGTTCCAGCCCATTTCTCACCGTCGTCGTCATGCCCCGTATCGTACAGGGTGTGCGACGCGGGCATCAGTGAGATTTGTCGCGAGGGCTTGCGCCATGCCGCGATTCTGTGTGTTGCGCTGCGGAACTCGGGCAGCGCTTGGAGGGCTCTTGCGCTAAGAGAGGGAGAGAAGGCGGCTGTAAAGGACGACGTCTGCTCATGGATTGGAGCTGAAAAGTAGATTTCCAGTGAGGCTGGGGAAGGCGAGTGTTGTCTTTTCCCAGCCATTGTTTCTATCGTGCTATTGATTCCTCATGACTTTGCGGCCAAGGTTCGACGCGTTGACATGGTAGGTTGAGGTTGGAGATACGACAAGGATTAGCGGATACCAGGAAACGCTAGTAAGTAGTCGTACTACTTAATTAAGTAATGCCGGTGCCCAAGGACCGTGTCGACCTTCTGCCTCTTGATCAGACGTCACCTTATCATGTCCGAATATTTCTGCCCAAGCCATCATGGCAAACTACATTGCGTTTATCGATTCATCAAATGTTGGGCATGTGTTGCAATCTTCTGCAAGCTTTAGAATTTGCTTCTCCTTTCCAGCATTCAGACTTGTTTGTCACTAACTAGTATTTGGCGTTTGACTTTGCATCACAGCAGCTGACCAATTCACACCACCATTTCAGGCATCATGAGCAAGTTTTCTTGACTTCTCTCCTGGCACAGGGAATGCCTCAACATCATTGCAGCCTTGAATCTACAAAAACAATCTACCACTGTCAAAGCTCAATTGGGCTTGACATGCGAAGAGGGACATGCTCCCCGTGTGATTTACACAACGGCGCGAAGCAAGACAAACCTGCCATTCGAGTGACCTTATTTGACCAGTACCCTCTGATACGCTTTTATTGCCAGGACTAGATCAAGGGGATCTCTTCTACATAATCTTTCCAGCTGGTCACATTAGTATGGTACTTCCCTAGCGCTTCTCGAACCCGCTTCCTTGTCTTCCTCACCGTTCATGTCAAAATTTCACAACAAACGATAGTGGTGAAAGCATTCATATTTGCTGCTAGTCCCAGAATGACTGCTAGCCCCCATCCTCTCTCACTTCCCAACCTTATAAATACGTCACGCTAAACTCTTCTGGTCGTCTCTTTTCGTGTAACACCCACGTTTTTCGTTGAATTTGCAGCGCCTGATCCACTGAAAGAAGAGAATTGCCATTTTTGGTGCACTCAAGGGTGAATGCGCTTTGACAATCTTGTTTTCACTACTGGCTTCAATTTGCTCACCTCTTGGACCACGCAGCATATTTAACAGCAACATCTCACGGTAAGTTTACTTGAAAAAATCAGTCGTCACATTCTTCTCTCTGCCCAGGCCGAAACCTTGTGGACTCGAAGCAATTCTCCCGCCTCTAGCGTCGGAGATGGTTTCGCTTTGCTAACGTTGGCGTTGTAGGTAGCTCACTCTGCAACTAAAAGGCTGAAGACCTTACGTGCTGAACGTGGGGAAACACTACACAGTGACTTGGAAATACCCCGACTCTCATCATGCGCAGGTTCGAAACTTTGAACCCAGAGACCAAGGATCTGGTGCTATGTCTTCTACCTGCGCTTGCTACTTCTTTTGGCGTCTCGGACCCTGTAGACATCATCCCGCAGGACATCCGGATGCGCGCGTGGGATTGTGAGCGCCGTGACCACATCAAGGAAGAGACAGAGGACGACCCCCGCAACTGGGGCGTTCAGTTCATCAAGGACCTCATGGCAATTTCGCGTCTCAAGAAGGGCGATTTGGCTACATTTCAAGCGGATCTGTACGCAAAGTGCGCTCTGCATGAGTCCAAGCATCCTTGGTGCCGGTTAAACGACATCCGAGAGCTTAAGGACGAGTACGAGCACCCAGAACGCAAGAATCAAGTGGAGGTGGTGGAGCCATCGTCCAGCTCCTCGACTGATTCTTATTTTGAAGAGTTGGTAGAGCCGGATGAAGTGAAGGGTGCGAAGCGCCGCCGCGGTGGTGCTCACGAGGTCTACGAGGCTCGCATCATGAAGAAACGGCACAAGCGTAAGTGCCAAAGACTGATTCTGAAGGCCATGGATGCTCAAACTTGACAGATAAGCCCGCCCGTCTCCGCCGAGTGGATGCTGGTGGTTTCCAGCGCCACGACCCAGCTGCGAAGAAACGCCAACGTGCAAGTAACACACCCAACGACGCCCGTCGCATGGTCAACCGCAGCAGTCGACCAGTTCTCACCGACGAAGACGACGACGATGACATCAGCTCGGTGCCATCTGCCCGCGCCCCCTCTCTCCTTGCCCATTCGGCGCCCGCCTTTTCCCTCTCCCCTGGCCCACGGGCTGGTTCCACGTGCGAGGTTGATGCTTCGAGCGAGTCTCTGGCTGTGCAAAAGTTGCAGGCGGAGCTAGATGTCGCGGAAGCTGAGCTCAAGGCTGCCCGTCTCAAGTACCAATACATCCAGGCTAAGGAACAGGCCGAGGCGAGGCAGATGCACGGCGATGGTGGTGCTCCGAGAGATGCTCTCTGATTGGACCAGGGACATGACTGTGAGGAGAAAGGCATTGATGCATGTGGGTGAGTTAATTCCGAGCGCCTTGTATACACATGCTTCTAAGTCCTCGTATAGCAAGGAAGTCTAAGTCACCGCACGAGACTCTTGCCGCCGCGGCGGCAAATGGTGCATGTGGTCAGTGAATAGCTAGTTGGTGTGTCACGTGACCAATATATCCCGTTCTCCCATAGATGGATGTTGACACTGGGCATTGAATGACATACGTACATGTGCAATCTCATGGCAACGCCAATGCATTGAACGCATCCCTTTTGCAAGTCAAAGCTAATAGCAGGGAATTGCATGGGGCCGTCTGACGTGTGTACTTGGATACGCATATAGACGTAAGCAAGCCGTTCACTGATGGAGCATGGTTGACAAATGCTCGCCAGCTGAAACGGCTAAACAACGCCTTAACACGAAGGGAGAAGCTGGGAGTAGTACGAGCATGAATGTGCCATGTGTCCTAGCGGCCAGTAGATGAGGGTAATCTCCGAGGGGCGTGCAACATGGACGGGAAACAGGATCTACAGTGAGTATGTACATGGTAGATCTAAGTATACTTACATGGACACTGACAAGCGGGGCATCTGTCCGTCACATGCAAAACGTTCTAGGCTCTGCATGGAAGACTGCGCAGTCGAATGTGATCCCTGGGCTGGCCCGCACGCGGGTCGCCTTGACCTGCACGCTGCCGGCTGGACATGCACGAGGCCACGCCCACGATCCAGGTACAGGTATCCAACGTCTCCGCACCACCAGCAAAACCCCTCAGACCTGCTTGACTCGGTGCCTCGCATGAGCCTACGATGCACGCAGGCTAGTTTGGGATGGAGCTCCGACGTTAGCGCCTCTCCGCACTATGCCCATCCCGCCCCCGGATCTTCTGACCTTTCCGACTCCGAGGTTCGTCCTGGAGAGAAAAAAAAAGAGAGAGAGAGAGGGAGAGAAGGAAAAAGGACGGAGCCCAAGGAGAACAGAGCTATAACCACGCACCATGACCCGCTGCCATGGACCAGTCATCGCAGAAAAGAGTTTCCAAAGCATGCGACGCGTGCAAGCGACGAAAGGTGCGCTGCAACGGCCAGACGCGTTGCCAGCAGTGCGCCCACCTCGGACTGCGATGCATCTACTCGCCATCTAGCAAGCAGAGATCACAGGGCAAGAGAGGCCATATCATTTCAGAATTCAGAACCCAGACGTCCACGTCGCCTGCCACGGCGACGCCCATCTTGCCCGCTCACCCAGGGCAAGCCGCCTACCAGGCCGTATACACTCCGATTTCGCCCACCGTCACGAGCAGCGAAGCCGAAGCCAGTAGGTCTCTTTTCCTTCTTGCCTGAAGCTTGCAGAAACAATGCGGAATGCTGCTGCTGACCCGGAGCAGCATCTCCCGTTTCTTCTCTGACGTCGCAGTACACCAAGTCGTTTTTTCTCGACCTCATTCCCGACTATGTCGAGGGCGTGTACCCCGTGCATCCTGTCATCACCGCACATGAGCTCCGCCAGTACATTGAGGCCATGGACACTGATCCAGATGTTTGCTCCTTTGTGTATGCTTTTGGTGGCTGCACCCTCAATCTCACCCGCTATGGCGACCGCAGGACAGACGAAGTGGTACAGACGATTGAGAAGCTCATGGACCACTCCATCGACACCATGCGCCGCTCCCACAAGCATTGCCACTTTTCTGTCATGCGAGCAGTCCAGTCCATGTTTATCCACAACTGCTTGATGAGCCTGCAGGGCAGTGACGCCGCCTTCTTCTACATGCGCGACGCAATCACCATCATCCAGCTGCTGAGGATAGACAACCCGGAGAATGCCGCACAGCTGTCTGCCCCAGAGCGCTCTCGGAGACAGCGGCTGTACTGGCAAGCCTTCATCCACGAGCGCTTCCTGGCCATCCTCGACTATCGCCGCGCAATCCTGCCCCCGCTCTACACAATGCCCGAAGACGACCCCACGCTGCCTATCCAGGTGCACGAGGGCTTCAGTCATATTATCAAGCTATTCAAGCTACTCGATACGGAATTCCTCAACAGCTGGCTGGATTCGCAGGGCGCCAACGTCACTAGCACCTGGGTCGAAGCCAAGTCGCGCGAGCTCGAGGGCGACCCTGAGGCGGACGCGCGCGAGCTATCCATGTTGTCCATGATGCAGCGCGCCGATCTGTGCATCACACGCGAATGGTTGCGTACCTTGGTGTGGCGCCTCGCCATGAGCCAAACGCTGCTTTCCTCGCGCTCGCCCAAAGAATGCCTATCGCTCCTCTTCCCCGTGCGACTCTCGCAAACGCTGCGTCAACTAGTTTCGAGCATGTCACGGGAGGACATTGAGGTCCACGGCACAAGCATCACACAAAAGCTATTTGAAATCACAGACACCATTGCCGATGTGCTGATCCACGTGCCCGCCGCCACGCTTGACGAGACAGCACTGCGCATCGACGACTTTCTCTTCATCCTCGACTTTGTCCTGCTCATCCCCCATCTCGACCACACCCGCCGTGGCATCTTGCTTGAGAAGCTGGAGCGTCTGCAGACAATGTTCCCAGAAGTCCTGAGTAATGCTAGCTCACCGAATCTGCCCCTCGATGTGCATAGTCCCTCCAGTGGCAGCAACAATAACAACAACACCAGTAACAGCACTGGTCCCGTTGTGCCAAGTGACCCTTGGTACCAGGTCACACAGTCCAAGACGGCCGCGGGACTCGAGCTCATGGCAGACGGGCATGGAGTGCTTCAGGCGCCAGCAGCCCAAGGAGCACTACCCCGAGGCGAGGCAAGGAGCGGCTTGCTGGCTACCTGGAACAACATCTCCAGGCGCCTGACCATGCAGGTGGCAACATTTGGTGATGGATAATAACCAGATATGCACATGTCCACATGTACATGTCATATATTGTTAGAATTTTATATTCTAATGACAACCATGGTCAAACGCGATGAGGATAATGATGACGATGATGATAATGATGATAATGATGATGATGATGACCACCATGTTGATATCAACTCATCCGTCAATCTCTAACAGAATTTCTCGTCATAACATTCATTACACATAAAGATAGACCCTTCCCTCGTACGGCGCTAGCGTCTTCTCCTCAATGCCCTCATCTTGCCGGCTACTTACCAGCAGCTGCATTTTCTGCGCCGCCACGCTCTCTGGCAAAATCAGCTGCTTGCTCTCGTCTGTGAAGTTGCAAATACACAGCGCCCGCCTTCCCTGCCATGTCTTGCTGAAAATGTAAAATTGCTCATTGTCAACATCGAGATCGTCGTACTGGCCAAAGACGAGCAAATCCTTGTGCTCCTTGCGCAGCTGCAGCATATGTTTCCAGAAACCCAGCACAGATGTCTTGTCGTTTTGTTGCGCCTTTGCATTGCAAATGTCTGCGTCTTCTAGCGGCCGCATCCACGGCTTGTCTTTTGCATCCGGCGGGCTGAAGCCATTGTACGGCGCGGTACTCCAGCTCATGGGCACGCGTGCGTGGTCGCGCGCAAGATGCTGCAGCGACTTGTGTGCAGCAGCGAGCGCGTCGACATCGTCATTAGTGCGCCTGGCAACCATCTTGTAGTAATTTGATGACTCGACGTCTTTGTATTCGCTCATGTCCCAGGATTCGGGGAAGTTTGTCATGCCGATTTCCTGGCCCTGGTAAATGAACAGCGTGCCGCTCAGGGCGCTCAGCATGAGGGCAAGCATCTTGCCGCCAGCGACGCGGTGCTCCGGGGCGTCAGAAGTGAAGCGCGTAATTGACCGAGCTTGGTCGTGGTTCTCCAAAAAAGCAGTGGTCCAGCTGTCAGACGGAGGTCGGATCAGATCTTGAGTGCGGGCTATTGCGCGCTTGAGTTGTGGCAGTGTCCAGTTGTTGGGCGTGGTTTGGAATTTGTAGGGGCCTTGGCCAACATCGACTACGTCCTGGGTTGGGTGAGCACTAGGTCATTACAATGAAACCAAGTCCACTTACAAATTGAAACACCATGGAGAGTCGCTTCTCCTTGGCGCTTACGTATTGGTGGACTCTGTTGATATCAAGTGTGTGTGGGCACTCGCCGACTGTCATGGCATCGTACTTTTCCAGAATCTGATTCATCTCGCCCAGAAACTCGTCCATTCGCGGGCCGTTGCAGTACTGGTAGCCGGCAAACTGCCACTCTGATCCCGGATCGGTGATGGGGGCGTCGCGCATGTCGCCCTTGCTGTACATGTTGACGGTGTCAACGCGGAAGCCGTCGACACCACGCTTGAGCCAGAACTCCATGGCCGACTCGTATATGGCTTTACGCGTCTCTGGATTTTCCCAGTTCAGGTCGGGCTGCTCCGGACAGAAAAGATGGAGGTAGTATTCTTGGGTATGCTCGTCCCATTCCCAGACACTGCCGGTGAAGTTGGAGACCCAGTTGTTGGGTGGTTTGCGTATGCCATCGACGTAGCGGGCGGGACGCCAAATGTACCAGTCACGCTTTGGGTTGTCCTTTGACGAGCGTGATTCTTGGAACCATTGGTGCTATAGTGTGGGCAGTGAGCATTGGATGGCCGATGGCATAGCAAAGCACGTGACTAGAGCATACCTGGTCTGAAGTGTGGTTGATAACGAGATCCAGGATGATCTTCATGCCCCGCGAATGGGTCTCGTCAATCAGCCTCTGCATGTCCTGGACGGTGCCATATGGTCTGTAGACGTCCTCGTAGTTGCGGATGTCGTAGCCCATGTCGACCTGAGGCGAGTCGTACATGGGGCAGACCCAGATGACATCGACGCCAATGGAGTGGATGTAGTCGAGTTCTGAGATGATGCCATTGAGGTCACCAATGCCGTCGCCGTTGCTGTCCTTGAACGAGGCGGGGTATATCTGGTAGACGACGGCGTCCTTCCACCAGGGTCGGGGAGTGATTGTCATTGTGGCGGCGGTGTTGGGGGTGGGCACAACTTGGTCAGAGGACAATGCCGTCGTCATGGCTTTCGGTGGTACCGGCGCCTTTCTTATAGGTTTCCCTGGAGGAACCACTAGGAGCAAGAGCAGTAGTTGTGGTGGTTGTGGCCGTCACCCCGCACACGGCATGGACGTGGGATGGAATAGTGTACACTACTCTACACTACACTACATACATCCGGGCCGGGAAGATTCTCGGGATGCCTCGGAATGATTTTCGGGACGGCGGGATGTTTCTCGGCAGGATTTGGATTGGGTGCATGTCGGCCCGGGGCCCAGGAACGCCATCCAGCACCGCCATCCCCCGCAACGACGCAGCCTCGACCCCACAGTCTGCTAACCTTCACCCCACAGATAGCCTCGCATCCCCTCGTGCTCCCCATGCTACTGCCCCAGACTGCTTCCCCGCCGACATGTGTTTCCCCTGCCACTCCAACCGTCGTCTATCCTGGGCCGCCCGTCCAAGGGAATAAGCGAGGCATTATGCGAGTGCGGGGAGATTGCGGCTTCGGCCCTGGTGCACGCACGCTATCGATTTCTGGCACCCGACATGGCGCCAATCACCGCTCGCTCACCTCCCCCTTTGCTCCTCGACGACGACACCACACTCGACACACTTCCCTGGCGAGGACCTGGCGAGGGCATTGTCGCCACACGTGATGCCCTCTATTCGTGCCTTTGGCCTCTGCTTCGGTCCGACAGTGCGCAAACCATTGGCCAAACATTGAGCCTCCGACTTCTTACATGGCGCACCCGCGTCGGCGCCCATGGCCCCCTCCGGCCTAGCCTCAAAGCCATGACCTCAGGCCGAGTCGCGCAAAGACTATGGCCTCGACATGTTCGCTCGTGGCGTCGCTCCCCGCATCCTCTGTCTCACTCCATCCTCCCCAGCTGCTAATTTGGCACGAGCGGACTTTAGACTTTGGATGCGCATGGGTACGGGTTGTCTGGGGTCACAATCCATATGTATAAGTATACCTTGCAGTTTCACCCTTGACATTACCGTTCCACAGGCAGCTCCACCCTTCCCAACAGGCCGGGCTTTGACCCAGACTCCTTGCCGGCATCTTCAGTAATAGAAATCACCAACCCCCCTTTTTGGCCACACAGCCATGTCTCGCCGCAACAGCAGCATCGTCGGCCCCGACCCGGAACAGGCACGCCGCCTCTCAATTGCTGCCCCAGACATGAAGCAGGTTCTCCACGATGCCAGCAAAGGAACCCAGGCCGAGCAGCAGATGAGCCTGGCACAGGGCATCAAGCTGTACCCCAAGGCCATTGCCTGGTCCGTTTTACTCTCTGCAGCCATCATCATGGAGGGCTTCGACAAGGTCCTCATTGCCAACCTCATGGCAGTGCCAGCCTTCAAGCGCAAGTTTGGCCAGCCGCTCCCCGACGGCAAGTACGAGGTCACCGCAGCATGGCAAGCTGGACTAACCAACGGCGCCTATGTTGGCGAGTTTATGGGCCTGATGCTCAACGGCCTGCTCGCAGATCGATTCGGATACAAAAAGACCATGATTGGAGCCTTGTTCGCCACAAACATGTTCATCTTCATCGTCTTCTTCGCACACAACGTTGAAATGCTCCTAGGCGGCCTTATCCTTTGCGGTATTCCATGGGGTGTCTTCCAGACTCTGACTTGCACATATGCTGCCGAAGTCGTGCCTGTCCCCCTCCGTCCGATTCTCACCACCTACGTCAATCTCTGCTGGGTCATTGGCCAATTTCTCGCCTCGGGCGTGCTCAAGGGCGTGGCTGAGAGACCCGATCAGTGGGCCTACCGTATCCCCTACGCCCTACAGTGGATCTGGCCTCTTCCCCTGATGATTGGCATCTCGTTTGCACCAGAGTCACCATGGTGGCTCGTGCGCAAGGATCGCTGTGATGAGGCAAAGAAGATGTTGATGCGCCTGACATCTCCCGAGAGACTCCCCGAGTTCAATCCCGATGAGACTATTGCCATGATGCGCCATACCAATGCCATGGAGATGGCTGTATCTGAAGGCACTTCATACCTTGACTGCTTCAAGGGAACCGACCTCCGACGAACCGAGATTGCTGCCATGGCGTGGTTTACCCAGGCTTTCTGTGGAGCCAGTCTCATAGGGTATAGCACCTACTTCTTCCAGCAAGCCGGTCTCAGCGATGCTGATGCCTTTTCCATGAGTCTTGGTCAATACGCAATCGGTGCCGTGGGTGTTTTTGCCGCCTGGGCCCTCATTCAACGGATAGGACGTCGAACTTTGTACGTCGTTGGTGATTTTGTCATGGTCGTGCTTATGTGCGTCATTGGCGGACTTGGCACCATCCCCAAGGGCAACATTGGAGCACAATGGGCAATTGGTTCCATGCTTCTGCTCTTTGCCGCTGCATACAACTGCACCGTCGGCCCAGTGTGTTACTCGATTGTCGCCGAAATCCCATCTACTCGTCTCCGCCAAAAGACTGTTGTTCTTGCCAGGAACTTTTACAATATCGGATCCATCATCGGCAATGTCCTAACTCCACGCATGCTTAACCCTGGTGCCTGGAACTGGGGTGCCAAGAGCGGCTTCTTCTATGCTGTGACTGCTTTCGGGTGCTTCGTATGGGCCTTTTTCCGCCTACCCGAGCCCAAGGGAAGAACTTACGGAGAACTCGACATTCTCTTCGAGAGGCGCGTGCCTGCACGCAAGTTTGCCACTACCATTGTTGACAGCTTCCTTGTCAGCGATGCCGACAGTGATTATACAGAGAAGAAAGGAGCTTCCACTCATCTTGAGCAGGTTCATTCCAAGGAGGCTACGTGAGACGATCAGGACGGACATGGACAACTTCTACTAAACATGTGTTATGAGCCTTTGTATGCCAGTATATACATTCTTTCGCTTTAGCTGTTTCCCGGACATGCCACTTTCATATAGACTTTTTAGTGATTATAGTAATTCACGGTATTCTTTGCAATGTCTAGATACAGTGGTAGCGATATCTTGTCAACAATTTTATACGATTGCCAAGTACACCGAGGCGGGTTAGCTCAGGAACCACCTACTAGCAAATACCCCCCCTGTGTCGATCTTTGAACGAGAATACGAGAAGTGTGGACAGCGTATTTGCCAACCATGTCTGCACATTATCGTCAAGTTGAACTCTAGTAACAAATTTAGCATGAATTGTCGCTTGTAGTATATATTTGGCATGTTGATGTGCCTGTAGTAAGTTCGGATGCTACAACGATTGCTGGCAGTGGTAAACTAATCCAAGGTAAGAGGATAAGAGACGTGATAGATTGGGATATAGGTAGGTGTATACAAAGGGCAACTTGTACTTCTTCATACGGCTTCAATCAAATCGGCTGTAGATGTCGTGTCTGGCTTGACTTACGAGTACACAGACAGTTCGCCATTGCTGCGACCACGGGTATTCGAACATTCTTGTACTTCAGTTGATCTGTCTCCTGTCATGGTACTTACGACTCATGCCCTAGTGACGTTTCGGCAACCCATCCCTCACATAATCACCTAGCCGCCGTCTTTTGTAGCGGCGGCATTCATGACTCGATTTGCATATGTCACTAGTCCCATGCTAATATTCCGGCAACAAATTCTCCGCTGTACCTGCATGTACGCCCCTTAACAAGCCAGGATCGGCTCACCGGTGAGTCAATTAACTAGACATAACGCAGCTTGTGCTAAGATGTGACACATTCGTCTACAGATCCATTACTACTCCTTTTACTATTACTGTTAATGCTTCTGTGAGGGATCCTCTGAGATGCACTGGAGTTCGCATCGATAGAGTGTGATACGTTCCGGCTGATTGCTGATAAACCCTGTGATCAGGATCATGAACGAGGGGTTGGTAGAAGAGCGCGATGGCTAGTCAGGTCATGTCATCTGCGTGGCATTGCATCGTCCGTGATCTCGGTTCACTGTCTCCCGGTACTAGTACCTTTTTTTTTACAGTTTTGACTCCCATGCGACGAAAGTTAGTGACCGAGTGATCTACCGATTACCAGGCATCACTTGTACATGATAAATGCTACTAAATTTTAGCCCGAGGACATTGAGCAACCAGTGGTACATCCTCATCATGCCTTTCTCAACTTTTTCTTGGTGATCAAGGCGTATGATATACCACAACCATTACTTGGGTTGGCATGTGCTTTTGGTATCTTCAAATCTTGGTTTTAGCCGTGCTCTGAATGTGGCTCTACAATTGATCGGAGGATCCTCCGTTATGATTTGGTTGCGCAAACTGCTTCTTAGCCTTTTTTCGAGTGGTAGCGACGGCAACTGCACCCCTGCTACTGCAAAGACAACCCACTTATGCCATAGCTTTATCGGGCACCTATTCAGTACCGGATGCAGCCGCGCTGAAAGATGAATTTCCCCACGGTCTAGAAACCGTCGTGCGACTGGCATGCATGTTGTGGCGTTAATACTCTACAGCACCATTGCTTCCTCAAAGACAGTGATTTACGCGGTAATGCGTACAAGAGAAGCTGGGGAGTTTTACAGAGGTTTTTGGTATCAAACAAGCAGATCGACTAGAACGTACGATATTGACGTAAAGGACCCGTACAATCGCCAAAATGCCGTCCAGAAAGCGAGTGCTAGGCCTGTTGTATTCCCAACGCGCGATTGAATAGCACGTTACGAACATTTGCGAATCCAAAAAGCCTAGAAAAGCGTAGTCTTCTCCCTGTGAAAAAAGCCAATTCGTCAAAAAGCTCAACTGGCTGAATGGACACAAGTCGTGTAGCAGCCATCTGAAATGTCCACTATGCACAGGTCTGCTTATGGCTCTCTGGCTCGTTCCAGAAATTGATCATCGGGCGCGCTCCGGCAAAGTTTATTCTTCTGCTGAATATCAAAAGCAAGCAATGCCAAGCCGTAATCTACCCAGAAAACCCCGCGATCTTGATCTATGGTCCCACACAGAGGAGCTATAGGCTCGCTGCGTTGCATCGCTATAGGAATGTCCTATTGCCGAGCCGCCAGCTAGAGACAGAACGACACTGACTTGTGTCAGGGAATTCCGGTGCTCTGTAACATTTGCGCGCGTATTCTAGCGTGGCAAAGGAGTGTGGCACACATTCCAAACTTATGTCACATTGCCGTACGTAGACTTGCATACTTTAACTATGGGGTATAAGTGCGTAACGGCAGGCCTTCCGCTCACGACGCTCCACCTTTTGGAAAAACATAAACCACCCCACGTTTTTGTCCACTCGGCCCACAATTCTACGAAGCCATCATGGGCATCGGACCTCGCGCCAGCGAGATGGTCAGGGTATGCTAAGTAAAAAAAACAGTCTGTTTTATACATAATTGACGACTATGAGCAGATCGAGGTGGCGTTTCTAGTCATTTCCTGGATAGCTGTAGTGCTCCGGGTCTACGTGCGGACAAGTATAGTCAAGGCATTCGGCTGGGATGACCGATGGATGTTGTTCGCGCAACTCATGCATACCACAAATGTTGGTTGCGCCACTGGAGGCGCACTCACCGGCACTGGAAGACTGGCAAAGGACCTTACACCAGGAAGCATGATGATAGCCTTACGAGTATGCGAACCCCAGTGAGTGCCTAGTTGGTGTCCATGTACTAACGCTCATTTCATTGTAGTTTTGGTGGATTTGCTATTGGACATACTGTCTGACCATGATCAGCGCCAAAGTATCCCTTGGTCTTTCACTTCTCCGCTACACACCATATACGCATGTGCGATCTCGTCGCATGACGTACTTTGCCATTTGGATTAGTATCGTCATAGGCGCTGCATACGGCCTCATCGCAATGTTCCAATGCAAACCCGTCCGCTTCTTTTGGACCAGAGCCATCGGCGAAACAGGAACATGTATCGACATCCACGTCATCATGTCCTTGACATATGTCATGTCTGCCATTTTTGCCGCTTCTGATTTCAGCTTTGCTATTCTTCCTGTCTTTCTAGTCAGGGGCTTGACAGTGAGTCGCAATCAAAAGCTCGCGCTGATTCCTATCTTGAGTATGGGATGCATGTCCGTCACCCCAATCTTGCACGTGGAACTGCGAATACAAATGGGCTAATGTAGCATCACAGTGCAAGCTCGGCAGTTATTGTGCGCCTGGCTTACGTACAGACCTTCCTCGACCCAGAGTTCCTCTATAGCACGGTACCCATCGCGATTTGGTCAGAAATAGAAATGAGTCTGGCCATTACTGCTGGCTCGCTCTCCACACTACGTCCCTTATATCGCCTCGCTGCGCAAAAGTTCTTGTGGAGAACAAGCCTGTTTAGTAACCGCCGCTCGCTTGCATCTTTAGACATGACCACGAGACCGAGACATAGCGATGCAACAAATGGCAGCTCCAAACATAATAAAAAAACATCCAATACTGACTCTTGCCCCGAGTTGGAGCGCAGTATGGCGAGAGCGGCAAGCGAGGATCTGGAGCTTGAGGTTTGTGAACCACATGCAAAAGCAAACTTGTGGAATATAGTCAAAATAACCGACGTGCAGGCTGACCATAGTCACCGTGCTTCGCAGAAAGAGATGGTCTAATTCCAAGTTAATATCATTGTGATGGCTGTTAGAATCGCAGCTGCATTGCGCACAATGCATGGTTAAGCACCTTGGATTTCACAGTGATACTACACACAGGCAAAGGACACATGTACAATTGATCAGCCATTGACGGTCGCTTGCAGAGATGTAACCCGCAAATTCAAGGATGAGCAAAGTGCTCCATGACCCAGTGCGAGTCTACTGCCTCTTGACGCCCTTGACGCCCTTGACGCCTTCCTCCTTCCCGAACCCCACGCCCATCAAAAATGCGGCACGGACGGCGCCTGCAAAGACTGTGATACCTAGGCTTGCCCAATCCTCTGCCCGCCACGCTCCAGGGCTCAACCGACCCTGACCTCCCAGGACACGCCATGCACTCCAGTAATATGCTAGATCCACTGTCAGACAAGCAACCTGTACAATAGACCAGATGTTGACGTCGTCTGTGTACCGCAGCAGCACAGCAGACACGATGCCAAAGTCTAGCATGCCGCCTCCGCGCTGTGTCAGCACCATGATATGCCCTTGGTCTGGCACGGGGGGCGAGGGAATGTGGGACGAAAGGACGAGAGAGGGGAGGAAAAAGTCCATAGACGCGCCCCAGACGCAGATGAGGGGGTCGAGGTAGGTGAAGAAGAGGCGATAAAAGTTTGGGATGCGTGTGTATGAGGGAGTCATGGATGGCATCTTGGAGTCGACGTGTTTGTGTATCGATCTAGCCTTGTTGTCGAGGGGCTGGATGTCTAGCGACGGCTTGCAACAAGGGCTGGCAGGGTAGAATGATAATGTTAGGGTCGGAAAAAGACGCATGTGTGGATGAGCAGGACCTACTTGACTAAGTGTAGATGGCAGATGCAACGAAGATCTGCCTCTAAATCACAATTGTGGGAGCTGGGGTACAGGGAGTGGGTATCAGCTCTGTAGCCCCACACTACTCCTACTGTGGCGCCAACGTGCACTAGGCCAAGTCATTTGCCGCTATCTTTCTATTGGCGGGTGCAAGGTTCCATCAAAACCAATTCGCTTCCGCTCGCCAGCCATTCGCTTAATGGCCTGCTCAAGCTCTTCTCGGAGAGCACCCCTTTTACTCTCCATATCGGCGAACGCGTGTTTGTAGTCGTCGTCATGTTGGGACAGGAGCGACTCTTGTATATACTCACCATGTGTTGCAAACGTCTCTGCAATTTCGTCGAGGCCCGTCTCGCTATCGACGATATGACGCACGACCCGTTTCGACGTACTGATCAAGACATCATGTAGGCTGCACTGATGAGGCTCAAAGCTCTTCTCCCACCCAATCTCTTCGGCTTCTGACGAAGGTAGCTGGGGTTCGGAGGAGAATAAATACTCGGCAGAGGTCGAACTGTGACTGCTAATAGGCGAGTGCACCCTTGGTGGCGAAGAATCGAGATAAACAGGCAAAATTTCGGCTTCTGAAGTGTGTTGCTGGTCGTTACGGCAGTCACCAGCAAGAGTACTACATTGGTTGCTAAGATCCAGATCAACAACTTTTGATCCGTCCTCTGTCAAACGACGTAAGAACGATGTGGCTTTTCCGCTCTTGGTCCTTCGTGTGAAAGGATCACTTTTTGCAGTTTGCGAATCTCCTGCCCGCTTCTCATGCGCTACATCATCGCAATTTGCGTGGCCGGATATAGCCGTTGATTCTGCGTTTGGTGATGCGGGTATAGGCTTGCTGTTGCTCGACAGTATCGCTGTCACAGCTCGAGTATCCTGTGACCAATCATTCATTTCGTCGGCTTCGTAAGGTATCGGTGGCGACGATGGCATTTGTGAGAAAACGTCATCGAGAAGAGGTCTCCTTGCATCCCTTGGCGTGTGGAGCCGTTTCTGTGTCTCCACAAGTTTCTTCTTCGGCTTCGTCGGGGTCAACGGCGCTTGAGTGATGTGTGAAGGTAACATTGGTTTTTTGAACCTTGTCTGAGAGGCGTCTATTGGCTTCTGTGAACCCTTCAGTCCTGCAATCAGCGAATGTCGCGAAGATACGGCAGATGATGCAGGTTTGATGAATGATTTCGATTGATCTCGTTGCTTTTCTGCACAATCGATTGAACCCTCAGGGTTATTTGCCTGCAGCCGTGGCTTCTTGTTCTGCTTCCCGTCCTCTTTGGTGTCCCTATCCGCTTTGCGCTTTGCGCTAGACTGCTTGTTCTTGTTCTTGTTCCTCTTCTTCTCGATCTGACTTGGAACATAGTCTTCGTCGTCATCAACCTTGTGCTTGATATGTGGTTTACATGTTCTAGTATTGTTTGTGACCTTCTTGCCGGGAACAATCTCAGAACGATGCGATCTTCTCTTTATCAACAATGCTGCAATAGGCGTGTCTGGACCAGACACTCCTTTTTCTCCCGTTTTGGCATATGCGTTTTTGTCATCAGACTGTGGACCAAACTGCTGTAAAGCCTTTTGCTTAGCAACTCGGGAAACACGGACTAGTTTTCCCTTGCCAGAGGTCGGCAGCATGGAAGCTGATGATGATGTTGTTGCGTTTTTGTCTTTAGGTGGTGCTTGTGGACTGGTTGGATCGAAGAAGTATTTTTCGGTCATAGTTGGGAAATCCGGACCCACTGTGGTCGGCGGCAGAAACAAGGGTGCAGAGTTGTGTATGAGGCGCGTCGCTCTGTGGCTGGCTAAGCGCAGCTTCGAACGGACGCAACAGCTATACGATGGAAGAAGAACAAGAAGGTGAAGAGGGGGTATGGGGAAATGCACATGCCCGCGAAGTAGAAGAGAAGATATAAGTGTAGACAAAGGAAAGACATCCGCTTTGGGCGCCAGCGCCAGGGCACGTGGGAGTGAATGGTGGGAGTGGGAGTGGTAGAGGTGGCAGTAGGGGAGGCGCGACTATCGGGCCTTGACGTCAGACACTGACGCGCGAGTTTCGCGACGCGCCCGAAACGGCAGCGTTGATGGATTAACGGGTCCATTGGCGGACAGCGTGCGTTGCACTGTCTATCTGTTTAGCATTCGTTGGCTGGCTTGCAAGATTCAATAGTCTGGAATGCCTGGTTGACAATAGAGCATACACACATACGTAGTGGTTGCACCTGCCCAGCGCATAAGTACTCGCTTCACGGCAGCTGTAGGAGACTGGATGCCATGTCGGCTCAGCAATTGCACATGCTGGGTGGAGGAGTGAAGCAGTACTGGAGACTAGTAGACTTTACTGCTCTGACATTTTGTTTGGACTGTAAGGCTGGATGATGTAATCTGCTCTAACTAACTATCCGAGTCATGTTGATATAAGCGTAGATGCTACCAAGTGGGGGGCTGACCCAGTCACGTGACTGTGCTCCTTGGGCAACAGCATGCACATGGCACAACAGGACAGGATGGCAGCAGGCTGGTTGGTTTGCTATTCTGTTGTCCGTGTATATGTGCCGTAGTCTATACTAGGCAATATAAAGATGGAGAGTATATCATCTTTCTCACGCGTATGCATGATGTTGACAGCAGCCGAGGAGGAGTGTATGGCAGTGTGGTGTAGTAGGGTGAGCCGGGTGTACACACACCCACATATATACATATATACATATATAAGTAGGCAAGTAATATAGTAGTGCTAGTAGTGGTTATAGCAATAATAGAAATAGTAGTAATGGCTGGTGTGGGGTGAGGATGTGTAACATGACTATTATCATGTACCATGTGGTATGCAATACGTGCTATCGATAGTAGTACTTACTTAGCAGCAAACTCCAAAAATGCAACACAAATCTTGGCATCCCACCCACCACTCGACGGGCGCATCCCATTGTCAACCTCGCACCCGCCCCGCCCCCCTCACACACTCCGCACGCCAAATTCACAGCGACAACCACCATGCCTGGCGCAAAGACGACCCTACTCATCGAGGGCTCCTTCGACGAGCTTACCGACGAGTTCGCACAATACATTGACAGCCTCAAAAAATCCCAAGGCGATGACAGCGCCGCCCTCCAGGCCGAGACGGCCGAGCTGCTCAAGGATAACAAAAAGGATGAAGTGCTCAAGAAGCTCGTCGTCGCCAGCCAGGCCCTCAACCAGGCGCCAGAGAAGGGTATGCCGCGCCCCGCACCGCACCGCACTTGACTTGCCTCGCACAAAGCGCCCGTCTAACCATGAGTGCGCAGAGTTCATTGCCGCCTACAACCTGCTCATCCACCTCGTAAATCAGTCGCCCAATGTCTCCATGTTCCTGCCCAAGATGTGCCAGAACCTCAGCGCCCCCATCTCGTCGTCGCCCTACAACGGCGGCGGACTCGCCCTGTCCATCCTAAGCACCATCTTCAACACAACACAGCCCACCAGCGAGGCTCGTTACCAGGTCCTGCTCGCCATCCTCCGTGCCATCCGTGCCACCTCCAACTTTGAGACGCTGCGTCCCCAGCTCAAGCACCTCGACACCTGGCTTCTTGAGTGGAAGACGCCCGACGACGACGCCCGCAAGCTCTACCTGGCCGTCAGCGATGTCGCCGCCGACGCGGGTGAGACGGAGCAGGCATACACATATCTGCTACGCGCACTGCGTACCTTTTCCTCAGACCAGGCCTCGTCGCCCGACGCCCGTGACCTCTCACTCCGCGCGCTCAAGTCGGCACTCACCCACCCCCACCACTTTGACTTCCAGGACCTCACCGACCTCGACTCAATCCAGGCCCTGCGCAACTCGGACCCCGTCTACTTCCAGCTGCTTGAGATCTTCAACTCAGACCTACTCGACGACTTCAACGACTTCAAGGACGAGCATGACGGCTGGGTCGAAGAGTCTGGCCTTGACGGCACTGCCCTCAACCGCAAGATGCGCCTACTCACCCTTGCCTCCATGGCCGCCTCGGCCGGCCAGACACGGTCGCTTCCCTATGATAAGATTGCAAAAGGCCTACAGGTGCCCCTGGAAGACGTGGAGATGTGGGTCATTGACGTGATCCGCGCCGGCCTCGTCGAGGGCAAGCTCAGCCAGCTTAACCAGACGTTCCTCATCCATCGCTCCACATACCGAGTCTTTGGCGACAACCAGTGGCGGGAGGTGGCTTCAAGATTAGATCTGTGGCGCAATAGTCTGCAGGGTGTCTTGCATGTCATCCAGCAGGAGAAGCAGAGGTTCCTCCAGGAAAAGGAGGATGAGGCCAACAAGGCTGACCAAAAGGCTGACATGGCCTCGAGATTTGGCGGCCGGGGCGGCCAGCGGAAGCAGCAGAGGGCTATTGATGAGGATTTGGACTAAGCAAAACATGGTGTCTTAGGTGGGCGTGCGTTTGTTTCTTTGGCAAAAACAGGGGCGTGGGCTAGGGACGGCATTAGATGCATTACAAAGCCAGGCTTTTCCACCTTTATGAATCGCAGCCTTGGAGCTGTGCAGGATAGATATTGCAATTCACATATATTGACTCTCCATCTTGTCTATTTGTCCAATTCCCAAGCTTGTGTCTGCACGATCTAGCGGCTGATAGGCTCCACACCGCGCTCCTTGAGTTTTGCCTGCACATCCCTGTACACGGCATCGGGTTCCTGCTCAGCGTTGACCTTGACGACCCTGCCCTGAGATTCGAACTCGTTTACCACCGGCATGCTCGTCTCGACAAAAGTCCTGAACCGCTTCCTGATGCTCTCTGGGTTGTCGTCTGCCCGGCCCGAAGTCTCGCCCCGGTGCAGCAGTCGCTTCTCCATGACACCCTCGGAGCACTCGAAAAAGAGGGTGAACTTGGACGGGCACACCGCACGCTCAAATGCATGAGCCTGGTCAAGCTTACGTGGGAATCCTATAATCAAAGAAATTTCTTTGTGAGAAACGTGGGCCAACATTGCAGGAGTAGAAGAGCGCAACTTGGGGGCTGGTATGGCACCTACCATCGATCAAAAACAGCTTTTTGTCATTCTCGCCACTCTCCATGCTACTGCGCATGGCATTCTCGAGCAGCTTGACCGTCACCTCCATAGGTACAATAGTACCTTCCTTGATGTACGTCTTGATCATCTCGCCAAACTGGCTGCCTTCTCGATCCTGCTCCTCACGCAGAAGGTCACCAGCAGAAAGATGCTTGAAGCCATAGTCGTTAACAAGCTTCTGGCACTGCGTGCCCTTTCCAGCACCAGGACCGCCAAGGACAAAGAGCACTGTTACATCATCCTTGGACCACAGAGGAGAGGTACGCGCGCCAATGTCGGTCTGTTCAATGGCAGGCATCTTTGTTGTATCGGTCTGACTGGCTAATGCGGATGCGAAGGCCGCACTTGTCCCTTACCACTTGGTGAATGGCCTTGAATGGGTCCTTTTGGCTGGTAACCTTCGCCCTTGCGGTCGTCGACTATCTTCTTGAACAAAAATGTGCCTGTTGCGAAGATGGCGACAATGGGCCAGACCTTGAGGGGCGACTTGGATGACGGGGCAGAGATGTGGGCTGGAGGCTCGTTGGGGCCTGTGGGTTCACCTGGCTGGCGGAGGCGGGATGCGTGCGGTCGGGAGGTGCTTAAGGCACGGCTGGCAAGGAATTGGGGTTGACGGAAGAGGATACGTGGGCGGAAGAGTGACCAAGACATGGTGTTTGACGGGGGCGGTATGATAGCACGGGCGATTGAGGTGCAGCTGTTGTTTTCATTAATCCCGAGCGGGGCTAGCGTCGGTGTGCTATCCAGCTCTCAAGGTGGGGGGGCGTCCAGGCTGGCAACCCTCAACTCCACTTTACCTCACCGTCAATACACCTACCGGCGGCATGTTTGATTGTGCACTCACTCCGACTTGATTGCCTTTGCTGATTTCGACTAACCTACCTTACACAATTAACCTACGTCAAAACAGCTCAATACCTCTCGCTCTCGAAGACACGTCCTCGATGTCGCCAATCACAACAATATCGCCTAGTCTCTTCTCTCGTGCCCACAGACCACCAATCTATTCACAAAAACAGCTGCGGGGTTTCTTGGCCCTACCGGGCGAAATCAGAAACCAAATCTACGAGTACTACTTTGACCGGGAGCATCACTGCGAAGTAGCTGCCAAAGGCGGTCGGTTCAAACAACGGGAACCCCACACGATCAAGTTATGTTCGGGACTCTCTTCTCAGAAATATTGGACTGTTTGCTCTGGTTCCGAGTCCGATGACTCTCTTGCTCCGTGCGTCGTGCGCTTCTCCGTATCACTGGGTAAGTACATTATGGTACATGGCCTACAGACCAACTGGCTCAGCTCGCTGTACGCCCTAAGTCTGGTATGCAAGCAGGTCCACCTGGAGACGACCAAGTTTCTCTACTGCAAGACTGTTTTCATATTCGATGCGCCAAAGCGAATGCACAGCTTCTTCGGCGTCGTGTCAAGCGCCAGTCTGCAAAATATAACAAAGTTGCATCTCCACTACAACACCTATGGACATCCTCAGCGGACCGATCATCAAGTCTGGCAGGACAAGCACACGCAGAGTTGGTGAGTGAAATGCAATGCTGCGATTGCCTCAAGACATGTTCTTTCTTTCTTCCTTTTCCCGTTCTTTTTCTCTCTTTTGAGTGTTTTGGGCGATGACTATACGAAAGAACTTACCAACCATGTTTTTCTGTTGTTCCTCTAGGTCCAAAGCATGCAAGGCAGCCTCGAAGAAACTCTCCAACCTTCAACAGCTACAAATTTGGGTTCGCATTCACGATTGTGCCCCAAAGTTTAGTTTGCGGGAGAAATGGATAAAGCCATTATTGCAGTTTCGCAGATTGACGTGTGGAAAGGCATGTACGAATAACGACGTCGACAATGCCATGCTTCTTGAAACGGTGAGGATTCACGTCCAAACTCGCTGGTCCAAGGACCCGCTGGCGGTGTTTTTGAACAACCAGCGTCTGGCGCGGGCAAGCACGGAGCTGCATGTGCTGTATGGCCAAGCTGTCAGTCTCGCAATCAAGGGGGCCAGGGAAGAGGAAGCCATGGCCGCGTTCAATGCCGCGTGGGAAGGAAAGTATAAGCACTGGAAGCATCATCTTCAATTTGCTCCGACTGGCTGGTAAAGTGGAAAACCCTTCGACAGGAGCTGTAGACAGTCATACAGGGGACCCCAGTGGTTGTCTCAAGGAAAAGGTTCACAAAGTGGAGGGCTGGACTTGTCAGGATTTTGCATAACAGTATCAATACAAACACGGAATACAGGTTCCTGATGCGCAGTCACGTTGTAGATTGGATTGCTGGATGCTGTCTGGAGAAAGGGTATTAGGTGAAGATCTAACACTGACAGACTACGTGTATGATTGTGTATGCTTGAATGTAGCCGGTTAGATTATGCACTCGGCTTCTCTCTTACAGCTTCGTCGTCCACCTTATCTGCCTCCTTTGCCACGTCTTGCTCGTCCACCTCTGGCGGAAAGTCTCCAGGCACGATGCCAAAGACACCAACCTCGCTCCTGCCCATGCCGCCACCACTCTTTTCTGTCTCGTCGCTCTCCTTGAGCACAAAAGTACCGGGCTGCTTCTTCATGGCCTCTTCGTCAAAGTCAAACACACGGTAGTCGGCATTGAAAAACATGCGGTTACATATGGCGGTGCGCAGGAAGCCAGAGTGCGAGACTACGGCAATCACCTTTTCCGGCCGTGAGTACAGATCTTCGAGACATCTTTGGCCGCGCGCCACAATGGCCTTTTCGGTGAAAGCATACGGGTTCTTGGGGCCGTTTGTCGTCTTGTCTGGAAATGAGGGGTCGACGACGGAAAAGTCGTACTGCGGGAACTCCTTGGAAATGACGTCGAGGGGAGTCCCCGTGTCGCAGGGCTTGTCTGCGTTTTCTTGCCAGTTTGCGTCGGGAATGACTGTGATGAGGCTCCATTAGCCACTACTTGCTCTGGTTCACCATGCTCCAACACTCGTCTTACCCTTTATGCCCTTTTTGATGAGCCAGTCGAGTCCAATGGTGGCGGTTTGGAGCGTTCTTCTTTGCGCGCTCACGACAATGAGCTCAATTTGGTTACCAATCTCGGTCTGCTTCAGATGCTCGTGCAGCTCGCGGCATTGCTGCTCACCGAGCTCGGTTAGTGGAGGGTCACGTATCGACCAGTCGTTGGTAGCATTGTGCTGGGCTTGGGCGTGGCGGATGAGGACAAGCTTTGGGGCCATGGCGGGCAGATTGCAGACAAATTGCGAGTATGGGGCCTGAATGCAAGTGGATATGGGCGACGCAGCAACGTTATAAAAAAAGGCCAGGGCGGATTGTTGTTGAGACGAGTTTGCAATGACGCGCTAGTGGGGCCGACGTACCTGCATCTCGATGACGCGGGTGCTGCTAACTGTCACTCCACAAGCGGAAGGGCAAGACGAAGCGAAGCACAGCATGGGAAGCAAGCGAGACGCATGCAAATATGGCCGCAATGCCTTGCTAGTGTGAATCTTGTTCATTGATCGTTAAGGCTTGTGCAAAAGCCGCTCGTTACGCATCGTCAGGGTCTGTACTTTTCTCCACTATGGCTCGACTCGAGCATCCATTCATTTATTCTTCCATCTTCTCCTCCTCGTCGTCATCGTCATCGTCTCCCTCGAGCGCCTTCTTTGCAAGCCTCTCGGCCTCTTCCCGGATATCCTTGGGCACTTCTTCATGTCTACCCTTGGTCGGTCCGTCGAGATTGCTAATCCACGTCATCTCAAGCTCAAATTCCTTGTCCTTGTTGTCATCGTGTGCGACGTAGATGATGCGCGCTGCCTCCTTGACGCCTTCTTCTAATGAAAGCTGGCCCTCGTGCAGGTTCAATTTCTCGAGCTCCGACTTTGCGACCTGGCGGCCTTTGCCTGTAGCTGCACCGTAATATCCCTGGATCGATTAGTCATTGTATACATAGTGTCTAGTCGTTTTGCATACCCAGTAAAGGCCACTCGGCTCAATCATGTAGAGAGATGGACCGCCGTGCTTGGCACCCTCTCTCTTGCCTCCCGAGCCAACAGAAGGACCCGAGCCGACTTGTCCGTCGACGGGCAACTCGGCCTCGGAATCCCAGCCGGCAATAATGGCCGTTATGCCGAATGGCCGTACACTCGAGTAGAGCGTGTATGCCTGAACGTAGCTTCCCATACGGTCGGCGAGGGACGAGGAAGGAATGGGGGCCTTGTAGAGCTGTCGCCATTGCGCCGCCTCGTCACGGGCTCGGGAGACGAAGTGGCGACCGTCGGGGAGGAGACCAGAAGACACGACGCCCATGTTGCGGTCAACGGTTGCTATGCGCTTGTTGGCGCCAGGCTTGATCAGCTTGCTGCTGACGAGCTTCTCGAGAGCGAGCACAACACCATCCTTGCACCTGATGCCCAGAGCTGTGCCGCCGTTCTCTACCGCCTTGACTGCATACTCGACCTGGAAGTTGCGACCGTCGGGCGAGAAGACCGAGTTGGACAGGTCATAGCCTGTGCCTATTGACGTCTGCAGCAATGTCAGTTTGCCCCCGGGGTGCGTGTCGAGCGGGCGGGGGGGCTGTTTACCATGGTGGATGGAGTGGGTGGTTGTGACGGCCGTGCTCAAGTCGTGCTCAAACAGCCTCTCTGCTTGTGCAGTGGGTACAATTCGGGTGCTGGATTGGACGATGTCGGGAGCTGTGCTTGCCCGGTGTTGTTGGTGATGCTTGTAGTACTAGACAATAGGCAATAGGCAATGGTGTATCTGCGCAAGCTCCAGCAGCTCACCACTAGCGTGCCAAGGAGATCCCCGGCCCCGACACGCTACCTACATAGTACTCACTACAAGAGCAGCGCAGCACAGCCAGGGTGAATGTATTGGTGTCTGTGCTGCAACCATTTCTGCGCATATATACGCAGTTGCCCTGGCTGCGTTGGTTGGTGCACATGCCTGTGCCATTGTGCCATGACTGTAGCGACCGGGCACATACTGCATACGGCTGTGCAAAGTCACGTGCAGGCCATGCTTTGATCCCCGGCTTCTTCCGCCGGAACCCCTCCAATGGCGGGCGAGTGGGCGACGTCGAGCGATGCATACGCCTGTAAAGACGTGATGAGTTGTCGCCCCAAACCGACGACTATTCACAGGCTTCAGATGCACTCGATTGGCTGTGCACTGGCTAGCCGAACAGGTTGGGTTTCAACGCGTTGACACTAATTGGACTGTGGGCGACAATTTTCCCAGAATCATCCCGCCTTCACGCATGACCCGACAGCGCGCTACACTCGACGGTATGTACTTAAGGGACCACCACCACCACCAAGTCGCTGTCAACTGTTCTCCTCCCCTTGCACCTTCTCTCCCTCGACTGCGAAATCGACTCGAGCCTGCTGATCTGTGTCTTGTTCCTCTGTTTATTTCCGTTTTCTACACCATTACCCCTCCTCATATCCCGACTTGCTCTCGAAACCCCGGCACAGAGATGCAACCAATGCTCCTCCACCATTGCTCCTGCTCCTACGACACTCCTGTCTCGTTCAGTCCTTTTGCTTTTTCCCAAAACATCTCTTGCTCTCACGTAAGCCACCAACGCCCTGACACTGGCAACCAACATCCACTAACCCTACGTCATAGTGTGGTGCAATTTCCACCGGCATCAACGTGCAGCCCAAGGCTGAACAAGACGCAAACATGCAGCAAGACGAACTCACTAGGCTCTTCTCGGCCAACATGACCCTTTCACAAACCCAAGTGCAAGCACCTCTCCTCCAGCCAGTACAGCAGCCAGAGCCAGAGCCCGCCCCAAAGAACATCGTCTACGCTTCACAGCATTACACACACTCGCATCATGTCCCTCTTCGCAGCGCTTCAGAGCCGAGTCTGAAGACGCAAATCAACGAGTCGGATCTGGAAGCTGTGCTTCTGAGAAACAGCATCGACCCCTCTCTGCTCTTTCCTTCTCAGATTGATCTCTTCAAGAATGCAGACGACGACCAACGCCTGCGTCTCCTCGAGCTATGGCGAATATCGCCTCCCTCAGGACGCCAGGGACACCCAGCAGGCACCGACTACAACATGTCGAGGCAGCTCTACGACTGGCCCCCTACCAGCCTGGCGCAAGAAGAAGCAATGGCCAAGCTGAGATATGAGAGGCAGCAAGCCGAGGATGCTGCTCAGCAGAATTCAATGCAGCAGCAAGAATCAGAGCAGGCCATGGCTGCAGCAAACGCCGAACCATACATGTCTTCAGGTTATGAGATGATGGCAATGCGCGAGTATGAAGAGTCGGCACGAGCTCAGCAGGCTCTCAAGGAGGCCAGTAGATACAACCAAGCCACTGATCCGGTATACAATACTGGAAATGGTCTCTGGCAGAAGCATGTGGGAAGCGTCATCGACATGGAGAACAATTACGGAGCGTATGCATTTGCACGTGAGTATGGTTTACGCGGTGGCTATGGAGACGAAGAGATGGTCATGTGAGGTATAGCAACTTTGATTACATTCTCATGGCGCATGGGCAGTCTGGGTAGATTGGTAGGGCATTATGTCACGCAGGGGATGCACACTTGCACTCACGACATTCTTATGTTAGTTTTTTGGGCATACACATGTACACGCATACAAGCTGTGTATTGGGCGGGTTATGAAAGAGATAGATTTCGTCAGAAGGATACCCAATCAGCAATTGTTTTTTATTCATCTTGATCGTTCTTCAAGCTAGCTTTGGCCCATGTCTTGTTGCGCCAATGGAATGGATTTGATTCATACATTGTACATGTGGGTATTGAAAACACAGAATTGAAGCTGCCCACCAACACTGAAACACGGACAGACTTATTTTGCCTTGCCACTCGGCCATTTCTTCCAGCCCCTGCCGTGTCCCTTTTGCTTCCATTCTTGAATCAAAGCGGGCATGTTCAGCATAGCCTGTCGCCTCATCTCTAGGCGGCCCTTGAGCGTTCGTTCCCACAGCTTTCCCTTGACCTTTTGTCCCTCGCCTGTGCCCTTGACTTGCAGACCCCTCTCCACCCTCTGTCGCTCCTTCTCGCCTGGCTTTTTGATGGTCCATGGTAATAGATCGACAACACCGTGCTCAGAAGCAAGCTTCACTAGGTCAGCTTGCTTGCGCAGTCCATAGGCGGGGCTCTGCCATCGTCCGGTTGTGAAGTTCTTATGGGGGAGGAAAGGGTTTGGGTAAGGAAGTTGGTGCGCTTCTGGAGGTATGTTTGAGTTTTGGGGTGCGCTCGAGGGTATCGGTGTGTCCTTTGGTGCCGAAATCTCGCTAATTGAGGTATTGGAGTCGATGGGCGGGGTGGTTGATATTATGTTGGCCGTTGGTTGTGATGGATTTGAAAGTGGGGATGTGAGATCAGGGAATAGTGCAGGCGGAGGATACTTTTGGAAGAAGCGCAGCAGGCGCGGCGGCAAAGATTTTGCAATTTCGACCGTTTTTGGGGCGCTCATCTTGCGTGGATTGCGTGTTTGCGATCAAGATGCGGGCATGCAGGCGTGGAGATCAAAAGTTCCCAGCGCCAAGACGGGTTTAAGCTGCGAAGTAGCCTTGCCTTGTCCTAGGGTGGAGCTTGCTCGCGCCGCCGCGTACTGAGCTGCTACCTGGGTGCATCACACCCACTGCCAACACCACTTTTGCTCGATTCTAGATCTACAACCGAGTACATCTTCACTGCTCCTGTTGCTGCAGCTGTCTCTACCATCCCGCCAGACATCACACCACTCCTGCAGCCATGGTAAGCTCCCCGCATCCGTCGGCACATGGACACAGCTAATCGTAACAGTCGTCGCCATTCTCCATAAGTACGCTTCTTCTACAACCACAATACCACATGGTCATCTAACAATTCCACTAGACGGCGGCGCCTGCGTGGCAATGGTGGGCAAGGACTGTGTGGCCATCGCCTGCGACCTCCGCCTCGGCATGCAGGCCCTCACCGTGTCCAACAACTTCCCCAAGATCTTCCAATACGGCGACGTTTTCCTTGGCCTCACCGGCCTCGCCACCGATGTTTCGACCGTGTCCGACCTGTTTCGATACAAGGTCAACATGTACCGTCTTCGCGAAGAACGTAACATCAGCCCACAGACCATGGCCAACCTCGTCAGCTCAAGTCTGTACGAGAGGCGCTTTGGCCCATACTTCATCAGCCCAGTGATTGCAGGTATCAACCAGACGAGCGGGAAGCCATTCATCTGCGGTTTCGACAGCATTGGGTGCATCGACTTTGCAAAGGACTTCATCGTAAGCGGAACCGCGAGTGACCAGCTATTTGGAACATGTGAGGGACTGTGGGAGCCGGATCTGGTGGGTTATTGAGCGCCACTCTTGCTCTGAATCATGTACTAATGCTCAGTCTAGGGTCCAGAGGACCTGTTTGAGACTATTTCGCAGGCGCTACTCAACGCTGTCGACCGTGACGCACTTTCAGGTTGGGGCGCACACGTTTACATTATCGAAAAGGACAAGGTAACGAAGCGGTTACTCAAGGGCAGGCAGGATTGAGAGGGTGCATGGCACTTGGTGGCATACAATGATCTTATGAGCTATGACGCACGCCAGAGGAGTACCAGAGGTTGGGCCAAGCACTGTGACCGGACAATGTGAAACTCCTTGCACGGATAGGGATTGAACTATCCGGGTTGCTTTCATATTGTATTAGTGGAAGAACAGAGATAGCTCTGTAATCAACAAGGTGTCTCCAGTAGATGAAGTCACAATGCAGCGTAACTCTACCTATGAGGCTGGAGTATGGACCATGAGCGAATGACACTGGATTTGAACAATCATTCTGTCATGCTCTTCATCACGTCCACATCGCAGGCGGGGCCTTGTGGCTCCCGATGAGGGCGGGTTTATCGATAGCAAGAACACGTGATTGGGCGCTTGGCCTAGTACGCGTAGATAGTAGTTGAGATGGCCGAGCAGGTGCCAACACTACAACAGCAATCAGTAGCAGCAGAAAGCAGCAACCTGACAATTTGAGTCTAACGAAATAGGCTCCAACGAATTGTTCCAGGGCGAGCAAGAGTACCCAGATGTGGTTTCGAAGGATCGAACATACCGTAAGCATCCACGCCCCATGTAACACTATGGCGCAACTCCCATAACTCATGGTCGAACGACTTTACGAGAAGGTGGAGTTCTCAGTATTCTAGAAGTTACCGCCAATGTAACGGTACTTTCCCATATGCATGGTAGCTTAGCGTCAGCAGTACATAAGCTGCATCTCTAAGAGATTCAAACAATCAATCTTACCTCATACTTTTGCAGACTGGATTCCTCCAATCTATGCCGTTTCTGCTATGCCTATTAGACACACCTCTTTTAGGTACGACAACTAAATACAACACAGTTACGACGAAGGCAGCAGAACAGCGAACTACGGTTGCGATAAAACAGCAGCACAACGCACTATGGTTGTAAGGAGGACACTGGCCACTAGTAAGCGGCGAGACAAAACCAAAGTAGATTGGGTATAACTTGCTGCAGTGCAGCAAAGCGCTCGGATGCCTATAAGTTTGCCATATCGTCCGTCAACCTCTCTCATCTCATCACTACCGCGCATCCATTTGAACTCATCTCGACTCCCGTCAACACTTCGCGCGTTTTTGAGCACAAACTAGAGCTTAGTTCTATCAGAGCCCCCATACTAAAACAAGCTATTTCTCGTGGGATTTCGCTCTATATTGTGTTCTCTTGGAGAAAGACAGAGGTACACCTTCTGGATAGAGGCCCAGAAGTCCATCTGGAGCTGACTCTGCTGTACTGCCTACCTCCACCAGATCCAAAGGTTTCCGGTAGGTCCAACCTGTTACATGGCCATCACGTGACCCGGACACTACCAGTACTACAAAACGGAGCTCCAACCGAGCGGCCCCTCCGTTTCCTGTCCGTATCTAGACAAGCACAACCGCAACGCTACTGTCAGCGATCTAAACCCAAAACGTCCCAGGAACGCAGCCACAAAACAAAGCGACCGGACAGGCTCTCAACCTCACACTCCAGTACGCGCAATGACGCCTGCTGCTCCATCACGTAAGCAGCCGCCGAGTATCGATGACATCCTGAGGGCCAAGCGGGAGAAGGAAGCTGCCGCTGCGAAACCCAAATTCATTCCCAAGGCTGAGCGGGAACGGATCGCGCTCGAAAAGCGCAAGAAAGAAGTAGAAGAGGCACAAAAGAGGAGAGACGCCAACAGCAACAGTAACGGCAACGGCAACGGCAACGACCGAGTATGGAAACCTTCGCAGGATGGCGCACCCATACCGGTGGGCCCACGGGCGATGCGAGACGCACCCACTGAGCCATCGTCTATGCGAGATCGCAGACATGGAGGTGACATGGCGCCACCACCACTACCACCACTATCCGAGAACCGAAAGAGCAAGCGACCGGCCGAGGACACGGAAGCCGCCATGATTCGGCAGCGATACATGGGCGCGGAGCAGAACCAGTCGACGTTTTCGGCCAAGAAGAAGCGCAAGAGGACAACGGAGAAGAAGTTTAACTTCGAGTGGAACGAGGAGGAAGACACAAGCCATGACTACAACCCCATCTATCAGCAAAAGGCCGAAGCCAGCTTCTTTGGTCGGGGTAGGCTAGGTGGATTCTCTGAAGAGGTCACGGATAAGGCGATACAGAGGATGATCGAGGCCATTATCGAGCGGGATCCCGAGCACGGTCGAGAGAGGGCACAGCAAATAATAGATATGGAAAGGCGACGGAAAGAAAAGGGCGGCCGCGCGCAACTCGACAAGCACTGGAGCGAGAAGAGGCTGGAGAACATGCGTGAACGCGATTGGCGCATCTTCAAAGAGGACTTCAACATTGCTACCAAAGGAGGCTCAATACCAAATCCCATGCGCAACTGGGACGAGGCGGGGCTGCCAGACAAGCTCATGCGCATTGTCGACCGAGTTGGGTACACGGAGCCCTCGCCTATCCAACGTGCTGCTATACCCATTGCTCTGCAATGCCGCGACCTCATTGGCGTGGCCAGAACAGGTTCAGGTAAAACTGCCGCCTTTGTCCTGCCGCTGCTGGCCTACATCATGGAATTACCTCCTCTGACGGCGGCCAATCGCCACGACGGCCCTTATGCCCTTATCCTGGCTCCGACGCGTGAGTTGGCGCAGCAAATCGAGGTGGAGACGCGCAAGTTTGCAGCGCCACTAGGCTTCAATACTGCAGTCCTTGTTGGTGGTCATTCGATTGAGGAGCAATCGTTCCAGATGCGTGATGGCGCTGAAATCATCATTGCGACGCCCGGTCGTCTGGTAGACTGCATTGAGCGTCGCGTGCTGGTCCTCAGCCAATGCACCTACGTCATCATGGACGAGGCGGACAAGATGATTGACATGGGTTTCGAAGAGCCAGTCAACAAGATTCTCGAGGCGCTGCCCGTCAACAACGAGAAGCCCGACGACGAAAGTGCTGAAGATGCTAGTGTCATGAGGCGGGACATGTACCGTCAGACGATGATGTACACGGCCACTATGCCGCCGGCGCTAGAACGGATTGCGAAGAAGTACCTGCGTCGTCCTGCTATTGTGACGGTGGGCAATCTGGGCGAGGCGACGGAAACGGTGGAGCAGCGGGCAGAGTTTATCCAGGGAGAAGAGAAGCGGAAGAAGCGGCTACAGGAGATTCTCACGTCTGGCGAGTTTGCACCACCGATTATTGTCTTTGTCAACATCAAGCGCAACTGCGATGCCATTGCTCGTGACATCAAGCACATGGGATTCTCGGCGGCGACGCTGCACGGGTCAAAGACGCAGGAACAGCGTGAAGCGGCGCTTGCGTCGCTCAAGTCCGGACAGACGAGTGTGCTGGTTGCGACTGATTTGGCGGGCCGAGGTATTGACATCCAGGACGTATCTCTGGTAGTCAACTTCAACATGCCAAGCAGCATTGAAAGCTACACACACCGCATTGGTCGTACGGGTCGTCTGGGAGCGGACAAGCCTGGTGTTGCGATTACCTTCTGGGGCAACGAGGACGCCGACGTGCTCTACGACCTGAAGCAGATTCTCATGAAGAGCCAGATCAGCAAAGTGCCAGAAGAGCTGAGGAAACACGAGGCAGCGCAGCAAAAGGGCAAGAAGAGGGGCGAGATTATGGGCAAGAACATTACCTAGAGGGGCGTGGATCGGCTGTGCAGGGACGGCGACGCAGGGACAGAGGCAATGACCCCCTTTTCATGCAGTGGAGTATGGAGTATGGAGTGCTGGTGTCTGAGTGTGGACGCATATGGGCAACAAATGGCATGTCGGGTGATGGTGGCACAGGGAAGTGGGGCGGGTGTGAATGGCATGTTTGCATGGCTAGGGCCAAGTTTGCAGTGGTGGGTGAGTGGGTGGTGACAAGCTTTGGATGCATGCACATGTGTGGACATGTGTGGACACGTGCATGGCCGACGGAGCGTGTGCGTGTGCGTGTGCGTAAGTGGATCTACCCCGGACTCGTTCGCGCTAGTCCCCAAGAGGCTAGGCCGAGGGGGTGTCTGGCCTGGTTGGGCAGCTTTGCCCGCGAATCAAGGGCGGATGAGATGCATACTTGTACACACCTCACACAGTGCTACAGTACACGGCCATGTATTTACTAATGATATGTCGTACTGTCTCGTATACTTACTTGCCTTATTACTCGCGTGCATGCACCTACTTACGCATGCCTATGCTCGTGCCTCGGGACACATCCCCGCCTTGTTCACTTCACCACCACCAGCCTTGCTCTTAATCAAGTCCACTTCCAAACGGCCCGTTTTGCCTTGCCCTCGTTCGCGCCCCATCAGCCGTAGCCATGCCGAACGCATTGACGTGGGTCTGTTCTTCGCTCATGGCGTGGCATCCGCTGCCTCTGACTGACTGTCGTCTTGCTGACATTGTTGTTGTTGTTGCCGCCGTCGTCGCCGTCGTCAATGTTGGATTGACCAAGAAGCGTCGGTGTCGGGTGAGTTGAAGCCTCGCCATGGCATCACTCTCCCTCTCCCTTTCCCTCTCGGCCAGTGCAACGTCTGCTGCTCTTGCCGCCGAGACGACACCGGCACAGGGCTCGCTCGAGTCCGCCGGTGCGGGCATAACTGGAGGTCAGTCCCTTCGTTACCAAGCCACAAACTCCAACCTTACCACGGTCCCACAGGCTACACGGGCAATTCGGTTCCTCTCAAGATCATCATTGCTTTCTTCCTCGGCCTCGCCCTCTACAATGCCCTTGAGCTCATCATCCTCGCCTTTGTCACCTTCCAACACTACCACGGACTTTACTTTTGGTCGCTCGTCATCAGTGCCTTCGGTATCATACCCTATTCACTCGGCTTCATCATAAAGTTTTTCCGCCTGCTCGACCCAAACACTAATGTCGGATATGTGGCCATCGTTTTTCTCACCATCGGCTGGTATACCATGGTTACGGGTATGTATGCTGCCGCTTCGCGCAACCACGAGGAAAGCACACAACCTGCATCGAGACTGACACACAACGCTGCATGCAGGTCAATCCGTCGTCCTGTGGTCGCGCCTGCACCTCGTAACCAACTCGCGCCGCACCCTCCGCTGGTCATTGTACATGATCGTCTGCAATGGCCTCCTACTGCACTCGGTCACCACGGTCCTGACCTTTGGCTCAAACGCGAATACCCTCTCGCCCGCTACCTTGGCCCGCTTCGTCCGCGCCTACTCTATCATGGAAAAGACACAGATGTTGGGCTTCTTTTTGCAAGAGACAATCCTGTCCATCATCTATATCAAGGAGACAATCCGGCTGCTTAGGCTCTCCCAATCCATCCAAAGCGATACGCGCAGCTTCGATGACGGTGCCACCATTGGCCAGCTCAGGCAAGCCAGTGTCCGGAAAACAATGTACCAGCTTCTCGCCATCAATGTCTTGATCATCATCCTGGATATCGCTCTGCTAGCCATGGAATTTGCAAATCAATATCTTATTCAAACCACGCTCAAGGGTGTCGTATATTCTGTCAAATTAAAACTAGAATTCGCTGTTCTCGGCAAACTGATCCAGCTTGTGCGCGATCGCACAGAATCCGACCCCAGTCTCAATGCAAATCCCTTCTCCAGCCCTGCAGCATATGCCAACCATCGCAACAACAGCTCCAACTTCCAGAATGCGAACTGTACCGGAGCATGCACCCTCGAGCACCGCAACACCCTCGCCCTCGAAAAATCAAGCAGCGCCAACACAAGTGCCAACCGCCCAGACACTTCGCGCCGCGCCAACGGGCCCACGAGCAGCCCGCTCATGTACGACTTTGGCAGCCAGCAGTACCCTGACTTCGTGGACCCGCGCCGTCTCAATTCTAATCTGACGCATCCTGAGCTGCAGGCATCTAATAGGGCCGATCAGGCCGGGTGGGAGACGCGCGACGAGGCTACAGAGCGGCGCAGTAAGAGGCGCCGGGTCAAGAGGGCGAGTTGGATTGATTTGGAAATGGACAAGTTCAACATTGAATGATTTTTTGTTGTTTTTGCATGCTTTGAACTGGCGTTCATGGGAAGAGATCAAAAGGAAATATATGGATTCATGTATACATATACCCCTAGACACGGTCATCCAAGTTTTCTTGTATTTTTGCTCGATTTGGTTGTATACTCTTATTGTAATTCAAAGTCGGAGCGGAGAAAGGCAGTAAATATGACAACTACGTTGTTCTGATTCATTCTATCGTACATATCTGGTTCTTATGAAGAGCTCGCTGGCAACTAATTAATTTACATACACATCGTCTTACCGCTCCCATGAAACATGCCACTTCGATAAGCTATAGAGCCTAAATGTTCGTTCTGCATCGTAGTCCATGCAGAACATTGCAAACTTGAGTAACTAAGTCGAAAATTGTATGAAACCACCATCCTTTGTCTCCTCCAAGGATTGGGCCCTCTTCTTCCAGTCAACGAGGAAGGCTTCGGGATACTTCTTGGCTCTTGCCTTCTTGGAAAGTGTAGGGTGTATCTTCAACAGCGCGTCGGCAGCTTGAAGGTACGCTGCCTCAAAGGCTGACCAAGTCAGCTCCTCGCTCTCACCCGAAGTGGCTGGGTTTGGAAAGTAGGGATCGTTTGCCGTCACTGCTGTAACCATTTGCTGCCGAGTTTTCTTCCAGTCATTGAAGTCGAGCTTACTGGCTTTGTCAAAGTCCAGCATCCATAGATGAGTTTGACGCCGAGTGAAGTCGCCAGCAGGAATGCTAAAGGGTTGAACACTCTCGAAATGCTCAACGATAGGGGGGAGTTCAGAACCAATGGCGGAACTCCCAAGAACAAATTCCACATCCATACCATCGAGGCCTGCTCTCCAGTGTATAACAGCCAAGCCGATAGCTATTTCTCTGGAGAACAGAGCTATGTCCAATTCGATATCTTCCATCTGGTCGAGATGCAGCGGGAAGTTTTGCAGAGTCTCAGCAGGGTGGTCAAACTCGTGATCGCTACGCCTCATCCCAAGGTACGGTCTGACTAGGCATGCCTTGTTGCTAGGATCTGCCAGAGAGCTTTCATGGAATTCTTTGGGAAAGTAGTTCTTGATGAGCGCGGTGCGAGTGGCTTTCGAAATAGGTAAGATGCGCTGAACCTGAAATAAGTATCCAGTCGCGTTGTCTTGGTCCGGAAATCGAGATCTGTTGACTTCCCACCATTTCTCTAACTCTTCATCGCGCACCCATCCATAGACTTGAGGCACTCGAGGGATCGAAGAACCCGGAAACATACTTTCAAGTAGTGCCTTTGTTTCCACAACAGCCCGACATGCTACGTTTGTGAGATTAGCATCCACCCAGAGCCCTTGCTTGTCTGAGCCTTTCTTAATCGCAGTCTCAGTTCCAGCAATTTCAAAAACCGTACCGCATGTTCCTCTCCCAATGACTGCAAGATGTGAATTGTAGGCAGCTTTCGCCCTTTCCATGCGATGAGCAAAACTGGAAGAGGTTGAGACAACAGTACGAGCGCTAAGGTTGCGGCGCAGGGTCTCATATGTGCTGTTGTTATCGCTTGAGCTCTCGGTTTGCGGTTCAGAGAAAGAGAAAATCTTGGCAGCTTCCTCGTTTTCGGATTCTCCCTCTTCGTCCTTGTTATCCTCGATGTCGCTCAGATGAAGTCTTGCTGCGTCCCAAGCAAGGTGCTCCTCAGCGGCACGAGCAACTCTGGCATCTTGAGATAGTGTTGTGTCATGCGAGGCTGCACTCTCATCGGAGAATTCGCGCGAGTGTGAGGCCATGATTGTGTGGGTGGTTGGGATACAACGGTGAGGGTGAAGCGGATTAAATAGGTGTCGGGTACTAGGCCCGCAATTAGTCCCAAGGCTGCCATTATTACAATTGGAAGGTGCACAAACAATATTTGTTTGCATGACATAATGGCCGGAACACCAGTCTAGTGAAAGGCAACACTAATCAGTCTCACCCGAGATGCACATTGAGTGTTACACTGGCGAAGCCCAGGAGACGCGCACATCACGGTTCGTCGCTTTTGTAGACTGCTTGGCTGCATCAACAAGCTCATGCTCTTTGACGGCAGATGGAGCCGGCTTGCTCTTGCTCTTGCTCTTCCTACGGCCGTTGCCTTGGTCAGCCTCGGTGAAGGCCAGATCGCCAGTCTTGCCAATGACACTGCGCGCCGTTTCCTCTACAAGGATGCCGAGGGCAAGCAGAACAGTTCCATCCAGGTGTCGCCATCGTATGCTCCGGCCACGGGCGTCGACCTGGGCATACATATGGGTTATGTAAGCATGTATCGAAGTTGAAAGTTCTCCCCTAGGCAGTTGCTGATCCGAGAGACGGTTATGTGCTGGGTAATAGTCATCCTCTTCGTACCGGATCGGTGCATTTTTACGCTTGAAGAGGACTTCGTCCGGTCGTAGACGTTTCTTGGCCGCCTTTGGGCCAGTAACATGCCCAATCAAACCAGCTTGCGTGACGTTTCCTATATTTCCAGTCAGAATCCGTTTTTCATGGTCCAGTGATGCGGCTCTTGCCTGCAACGGCATCGTAGACATTGGCTCTTCGCTTGCGTGGCTTTTTTCTACTGATCGCCGCTGAACTTTGACGTGAGGTCATTGCAGATGTCTTGGTTGTTGTGTTTTGTCACGAGGGGTGGTCAGCTATAAAGTGCTGATTGCACGAGCAGTCGTTCGCGAAGCCAACACGGGATCCCTGCAGCAGCTTGGCCACCGCAGTCTGCGCAGGAGCAGGCAGCAACGTCATAGGCACATACTTTCTGTCAGTCTCAACCCGTCCCTCGGCGACTACACTACCCTCATCCACCTTGCTGTAGTTTGCACCCATTGACTCATCACTTACACTTCGCCGCGCACACAAAAGCATGAATCGCATATGCACAACCAACACGTGCTCGACCGCGCGTACGGCTTCATTCCCAACCATGTCCTCAAGCGCGCCTGCACCTCCCGCCTCGTCTACGCGCTGCAGCCGTCGCCCAGCATAAGCTTCAGCCAGCATCTGCCGACTCCCGATGCGCCACACGAGCGCATACCAGCCCACGCATCTGGCATAAGTGTGCTAACAGTTGACAAGTTCGAGGGGAGGTATCTGCTGTCTGCAGGTGCCGACAGTTCGATCGCACTGTGGGATCTTGAGGCGCAGCCAGGCGCGACCGAGGCAGGCGAGACATACACACCTCTGACTGCCGCAAGCAAGACGAGCGAAGAGCACAAGCTCGGCATTACACAGATACACTTCTACCCGTTCGACTCGCTGGCGTTTCTCACGTCGTCGTATGACCACACTGTCAAGCTTTACTCGAGCGAAACGCTCGCCACATCGGCATCCTTTGATTTGGACTCTGTCGTATACAATATCTCGCTGTCTCCCGTGGCATCGCACCTGCTTGTTGCTTGCGCCACACAGAATCCCAACGTGCGTCTTGTAGACTTGCGGTCTGGGGCGACAACGCACAGTCTGGCGGGTCACTCTGGGGCAGTACTGTCCACGGCATGGAGTCCAGTTCGCGAACATATTGTCGTCAGCGGAGCCACCGATGGTACTGTCCGGTTCTGGGATGTGCGTCGCAGTGTGGGCGAACTGGCCATGTTAGATCTCGAAGACCCGGTTGGCCGTCGTGTCAGCCAGTCCATGTCCTTGCCTCGCAATGCAACAGTGAAACAAGCACACCGGGGACCTGTCAATGGGCTGGTATGGACAGAAGATGGAAGGCATCTCGTGACATGTGGCCATGATGCGCGCATCCGGGTCTGGGATACGGACACGGGGTCCAACACACTGGCAAACTTTGGCCCCATGGTCCAAAACACAGGTCTGTCGCCACGGCTGCCTGTACTTGCCCCGGTCGAGAGCGTGCAACCAGGTGGAGAAGTCGTCTTCTATCCCAACGGCTCCGAAGTGCTGGTGTACGAGCTGTGGGAGGGCAAGTTGATACGCCGCCTACGCCGCTCGCAACAGGGCCCACATGGAGGGCTAGCAGCGGGTAATTGGCAACAGCCGGCTAAGGATAGAATCACGAGTCTGGCTTGGCGGGCGCACGAGGTGGAAATGTACTCTGGGCATGGGGATGGTAGTATTAGTGCGTGGAAGCCGCGAACCGAGCAAGATGCTGAAGCAGACGACGAAGAGGCGGCGGAACGAGAGGAGCGTGAGGTGGACAAGAAGAGGAAGAGGGGCGTACTAGATGAGATTTATCAGGGCCTGATCAAGAAGCCTATCGCATTTGGTAACATGGGGCTGTAGTGCGAGCAGATTGACACGAATGCAATTTGAAACGAAAGCAGCATGTAAAGGCAATGGCCAGGATAATGGTAATGATGGTAATGACATTTGCGCCCGTGACTATCATGTCTGCGTACGTGTCGTTTCGTCATCTAGTACTGTGAACAAGGCAGGAGAGAGTATACTATTACAGGGGAAGGGAATAGAGAAAGAGCATATGCAAGTCTACCCCGACCCAAAGTGCGGCAGTCTGGCAGGTACGAATTGGTCTTGTCCATCATGTTGTTGCCCTCTGTTTTCATCAAGAGGAGAACCCAGACCAGTGTCGGGTATTGATTGGGCGTCTACAGTACTAGCAAACGCAAGTTGGTCACGGCTGATTGTGGCGGTCGGGGCGGGGAGCATGGGCGAGGCAGGGTCTGAGGCTAGGCCGCGCTTGACAGCGAGGTGGTGGGCATTGTGGCGCTTGCGGTCGACATCGTCCTCTTGCTGCTGGCGCAGACGCTCTTCTTGCTCGTCAAGATGGGCAAGAGTGGGAGTGCAGTCGGTGGTATCGGCGGGCGAGGAGCGGTGGGTAGTGCGTGTCGAGAGGCGCGAGGCAGAGGGGCGGTTGCTGGCTGCGGAGAGCGTCTTGTTGCTGCTGGCGCTGTCTTGAGTCCATTGGCCGGTGGTGCGCCGTTCGAGGGCAATGGTGAACTCGTCGTCGAGGGGTACGGCGTCTTCGAGCTCGTCTTCGCTGGGGAAGATGTCGCCTCTGGAGCTGAGCGAGTCGGTCGTGTGGCCCGAGGCATGTGTGTCGCTTCGCTGCCTGCGGTGGCCCTTGTGCTCCGAGTTCCTCAGGCGGGCGGCATCGTCGTCATCGTCATGGTCGCTGTCGTCGATCAAGGGCTGGTCCTCGTCGAGGCTTCTGCGTGCTGCGCCCGGGTGGTCGATGAGGTCGGCGGCTGAGGGCTTGTAGCGCAGGCCGCGGGCGCCGATGTTGAAGGGGAGGCGGCCGAGGAAGCCAAAGTACGAGGAGCTGGGGATGAGGGTGGGGTCGTGAGTGGTGTCGCGGGCGAGGGGCCCCGTCCTGGGCTTGGTCTTGCTGTTGCGGCGCGGCGTGTTGTAGCGCGCATCGCGGCTGCGCTGGCCGTAGCTCATGGCGGGCTGGCGGGCGGGCTGCGAGGTTGCTCCATAGCCAGCCGACGTGCTCAGGAAGCGATCGAGGCTGTCGCTGCCCCAACCCAGCAGGCCGTCGGTTTCGTCGTCGTGGTCCCAGTCGTCGTAGAAGTCGAAGCTCGACTCGGCCCGCCCGCGCGACCGCCCCCGGTGACGGCGCCGGTCATGGCCAGAGGGGAGGCAGGGCGCGGTGCATGCGCTGACGCAGCGGGTGACGGACGCAAAGCACGGGTCGATGTAGCGCTGGGTGAAGCCGTAGATGTTTTCCTGCGCCGTGTCGTTTGCGTGCTCCAGGTTCTCCGTGATCTGCTGCAGCGTCCGGTTCCAGCGCGGGTCACTGCGGCGGTACATGGCGACGTCGATGGCCGATGGCGATGGCGATGACGATGACGACTCCTCCTCTTCTTCCTCTTCTTCTTCTTCTTCTCTCCAGGTAGGCTGCTCTGCGTCTGGATATGCACTGCACTGCACTCGACGCGACGTTGGGTGTCGCCGACACAAATGCGCCGGGGCGAGACGCCGTCCATCGACTCCAGACTGCAGTGTGTGCTAGTCCCTCTGCGTCGCCCTCCAACCCCACACGCTGGCCGCCTTGGTCTTGGTGCACACCCAACCTTTTCCTCAGTGCACAGTGCACAGTGCCCATGCAGCCATGCGCTACCTCCGCTTCCTCAAGCCCCCCCGCATCCTCCGCGACAAGACCACCAACACCGCCAGCGTCGCCTGTCTCGTCACCCTCGTCTCGGACCTGGGCGACTCGTTTCTTCCCCACCCTGTCCATCTCGCCGCCGAGCTCCTGCTGTGCACCCACGACGCAGAGCATGTCCTCGTCTGGACCTCTGTGCGCTGGGCAAGTGGCATGCGCTCCTTGCCCATAGCTGTCCCATTGCCCAAGCCCCACGCACTGCCGTCTTCGCTGTTGCGCCTCAGAGTCGGCATTGGCCCCGGAAACTCGCCCGACGAGTATCCTGCTCTCGCAGGCCAGGATGCGCGAGGTCTTGTATCCGCCTGGAGCGCGCACTTTACCCTGGATGACGACGCCCCCAAGTTGGTCCAGCGCCGCTTCAGCCTGGCACCACACTCCGATATGGCCATCTGGGAGGAGACCGGAGAAAGCATTGCAAGGCATCTGTGGTAAATCTGCCTTCTCCAACACCTCTTCTCAACCATTGCCCACTGAGGTTGCCTTTGTAGGGACGCGGGCATAACCCTGGCCTGCCATATACCAGACTTGGCAGACACAAAGTCGACATTAGCAAAGGCTCTGTTGCCCTCTACAAAAGCATCTCCCTTGACTGTCCTCGAACTGGGCACCGGCTGTGGCATTGTCGGCATCGCCCTCGCCCAGACAATATCCAATGCCAACGTCCTCTTGACTGATCTTCCCGAAGCCAGGGAGATTGTCCAGCGCAACATTGACCAGGCATCCAGAGCACCTGGCGCCAAGCTCAGCTTCCTCGAGCTCGACTGGAATGCCCAACTGCCTAGTGAACTGCAATCAAATTCGACCTCCGTCAATCTCGTCGTCGCGGCTGATTGTACATACAATCCAGATAGCAGGTAGGACCTCTTGCTCACCCCTCTAAATCAACCACCTGACCATCTTGACACCACAGCCCGGCGCTAGTCAGTACCCTCTCCCGCCTAGCCATTTCCAACCCAGCCATTGTCGTGGCCATCGCAATGAAGATGCGCCATTCGAGCGAGCAAGTCTTCTTCCATCTCATGGCCCATGCTGGTTTCATCGAGACTGCTAAACTCGACTTTTTGCTGCCGGGCGATATCGATGCGGGTGAGGAGATTGTATATTTGCACGTATATAGCACCAGCATGGTAAGCTGATGAAGGCGATCTTGCTCCCGAAATTACGTACTCTTGGAGTAAGCAGGGAAGCACCCACTACACCATGTTCACTCCAACAAAATCTGGTTATGCAGCATTGGGCAAATCGTTGGAGCCGACTGCATGTATGTGTTTGCTTGGGACAAGGGAAAATCATGGTTCAAGCACCATGTCGCCAGGGCACATTGTGCCTGTGGCCTCAATCATGCAAGTCCCTGTCCATCACATCCTGTCCACAAACCCCCCCACACCCCCATCACAGCACACTACACCACGTGCCAAGCCGCTTACTCCCCATACTTAGCCGCGACGCCCCCAGTCTGAGTCCTCGCCCCACACCACCCGGCAACCAGAAACATCCCGACACCCTCCTAGCCCCTGCACCCACCATTCAGCCTCTGTTAGCACAAACATTGCCGCGTTAGTCGTCGAACCTATTCCAAGTTGGTCTTACCCAAAGTACAACTTGGCTTAGTGGCAACTAGTGCTGCTTTCAACGGAATTTCCTTCCCTCGCCCTGGCATGAGTTACTCGAAGTGGTAGTTTCGAGGGCTGCACCACACATGTCAATACCACTACTTATATCCACATATGCCACGCCGTCCACGCATGAATGGATCTGTGTCGTATGTACAGATTGCATTAACGCTATTTACAGTGTATTTCGGATTATACATTGTTCATCATCCCATTCGTAATGAATGCTCAATATTATCGTGGCCTTCTTCCTGAGTTGCCCATCTTTTAAGGAGATATTTTGTACGTCAATCGTCGAGATTTTGCAATAAACGAATTAATCGCATCATGGAGGCGTGCTCCAGGTGCTGTGATATGGACCTAAAGAGGGAAAAGAAGATGGTGTTAGTCTACTTTTTCGACAAGATATCCAAACGCACAACACACAACACACTTACCTCTGGTTGTCCATCTTGGGTAGCCGCGCGACGTACAATGTTTCTCTCACTGTCCGTCAGTACCGTTGGACCATTGTCTGTTCGTTCTCCCGAGATGTGCGTCGTGTTTCCGTACCCAAGCACACCGCTCTTTTTCTCCTCAAACGAGGCGTTTTCTTCAATGTATCGCTCCGCGAGTTGCTGCTGCTTCTTGTTCCTTCTTGCCATGAAGAATATCGCCAATGCAATGAGCATCGTAATGGCCCCTGTCGGTGCATGTCAGCCGCCATTCATTCAGTGACAACAAACTTTGCGCTAAAAGCCGCTTACCCAAAACGCCAAAAAGAACAAACAAGGATCTTGACAACGGCGTTAGTCCCCTACCCGATCCACCCGTAGCAGAGCTGGCGACAGCCGAAGATGAAGGCTGGAGCGTTGGTACCGAGACCGCAGTCAGTGCCGAAGACGCGGTTATGGCTAGTGGTGTGTTAATACTTTTTGGAGATGCCGTCACCTGCTCCCGAATCTCTTCTGATTGCGAAAAGAGGATAAACGTGCTAAACGACGGTAGTAGGGGGAAGCCGGTAGCTGAAGATGCCACGGACGAAATGCTTGTAATGGCAGGCGTGGGCCACGAAAACCCAGTACCCATGCCAGATTCCGATGTAGTCAATGCTGGATCCGTCCGTGTCTTTGTCAAGGTGGTGTATGTTGTAAGCGTCGTGCACAATACCGAAACCGGCATGTCCCCGAGAAGTTGAGCTGCCGGCGCATCACCTATCGATGGCGGTGGTTGGTTCTTGCCTGGCATCAGCCCATCCGTACGGCCAGGATCGGCTTGATTGACTCCTGGCATAGGTCTACTCAAAGTACCAGGATCGGCTTGGTTGACTCCTGGGAGAGCTACTGCATCTACCGACCCAGCTGCCCGTGGAGTACCACTGTCCCCGGTCGATGTGGTATCTACCTGCCCGGCTGAGGACAATGGCGGATTCAATGATCGGGTTTGTACCCCTTCCATCACCAGTGACGGATCCGTGAGGCGAGGCGATGGTGTGGATTGTACGCTCCTCCGTTGAATTGAATCTGTATTGCCATAACCCAGGTTAGTGTCCCGCTGCCGTTTGTTCTCCATCTTGTTGACGGTGGTCCTTTGATGGCGTTTGATCCGGGCAGCCGTATTCGCTGTCGTGCCTAGATGATGACGGTGTGCCAGCACCAGTAACATATCATTGTGTCCGCCAACGGCAGCCATGACATTCCATAGAAGCAGTCTAAAAGGTGACAGTTTGAGAGGTGGGGAAACGGAAAGTATCCAATTACCAGACCATGACCGGATAATACACTTCCCATGTATAAGAGCATAAGGCCAAGCAACAAGAGACGTGCTTCCATGGACGCTCGTTTCGGCGTTGCACCCACCCACAAACGGTGGTTGGTCCATCAAGTGCTTAACACGTCTTTTTGTAACCAAACATAGCACACATGGCCCATGTTGCACGACGATTCCAAAGTCACTTCAGACTACGCAGCGCCAGCATTGGTGCTTTTTGGTGACAAAATCAACTCCGTGCACTCTTTCCAAACGTGCAATTGTTTCATAGAACAAGCGAAACTTTGCACCGACACTCGAAACGTAGCGCAGTTGGCGGAACCTTGAACCACCGGTCGGAACCATTCCTACCAAGAGCACGCATTGCGTTTGGGAAGAGACATACGCGTGCGATTCTTGTGCTGGTCAACATGGACGAGCTGCTCCTGGACTTGGTCGTCCTGGTGGCAGCTCTGTGAACTGCCGATGCGAAATCCACGAATTCTATTGCAAAGCCTGGCAGATGCAAGGTTTCGACTTCCTAGGAGAGGTCGACCCAAAGCAATACGATCGGCGCAGGGGTTGGTGATGATCCGAGGCCTTGAGGTAGCTCGACCAGCGACACTGCATCTGCTGCTCCGTGCCGCCCCAGATCAACGAACGCTAAGCCCTTGCCGTGTGTGTCCGTGCGCCACATCATCTTCGTCATACTCACTAGCCACACTAGAGCCCATCCATCTCATTGTCCCGATCCCACAAAAGAAATACTCATGTCTACTGGGATTCCGTCGAGTGGGTTTCATGTACGTGTTCAGCGAAGCACAAGTGCGACAAGCGTCCACCACCTTGTGCTGCCGATCGGCTCCGAGAGCCTTTGTTCCTTTTTGATGATAGGTTATCACCAATTTTTACCACCTTCTCCACGCAAGAATAGCCATCTCTCCAGATAATGCACCATCAAATGTACCTTGAATATATCAGTCTGTCGCGGAAGATTTCGCATCTACTTTCACCGAGAAATTGCCAGGGATGTTCTCATCTGTCCTCTGACAGATGCACACCTACCTTGGCATGGAAGATGGCCCCTCTTCGAAGAACTTTTCTGCTGACCTGGTGGACATCGCCCGTTGTCAGCTATGATCAGCATTGGCAAGTAGATATGGAGAAGAAACCCATGCGCCTCTCAAATCCACACCATCTTTGCCGATCCATTTTCAGCGATTGACCAACTTCGCTTTGACCTTCGCTTTGACACTCTCTTTGACGCGACAGTTCCCCTCAAAGTCATCCAAGCATAGTCGTCGGCTGCAAGCATCATTCCCAATGTGCTTAGACTACAGCCTGTAAAGTACTACGGACATTCAAGACGCAAGTTTACTTTCATACGCAGGATCTATATGTGGCCTTGCAAATTCGACTTTGTTGAACTGATGTGTTGCAAATACCTAACATCATTTTGTAATTCCACTAAAATATGTTGTTGGAGTACGCATAGGTTTCGCTTTGCCTTACCAAAGGATTGCGAGGTTCTAGAAATCACCGTCAGTGTTTTGCCAAGCCATTGCCAGCTCCGGTGTCACAACTGTTTGCAGCCTTTAGCTTCTCCAACATAGCTACACCGCCGCTATCGCAATCACACAGCATCTTATAGCCTTTCAGCATTGGATATAGTCATCTACGGGGCAGCACGCCTGACGACCACTAGCTGATCGGGCATGCTCCTGGACACATCGACAAACACAGCAAGTTACCAGCACAGGGGTACTCCTCATTCGCCAAGCAGCCAAGCAAAGCCAAATTGTATTCCAAAAGTGGTGTCAAAGGCTACTCGCTTACTGTGTGTCACTGCTAGAACTTGTTCAATCCAGCGGATCGACTGTGGGTCAAGCAGCTCAGAAGCATTCTTGGAACAGGAGAAGGAATGTAAGATCAGATTCCTAGTCATTACCGAAGTAAATCTGTCAATCGTGTGATGCAGTTCATACTCCACGGGTAAATTGCCCCGATCTACTCCTTGGAAACCAACTGCGTAGCTTGGACACCGTCTCGCCACCAAGATGCGACTGGCTGACTCTACCACGACGGAGCTTCATTCTAGGGTGCTTCGTAACTTTCATGAGCTTTCTCAGCTACACAAAGAACGGTTTGGTAGAAATCACAGCTAAGCAAAACGCCAGCTCCACAGCACTGAGCCGCCATCAATCTTTGGTAGTCACACTCTCGAAGCAACGTGCCTGATACCATGGCTGTTAAATAAATTATTAGATGAGAATTTAAACAGGCATTGTATTCAGCGGAATACGAAGCCCAAAGGTCTCTAGCTCGATCTGAGTGGCACAAAAAGATGCTATAACAAGAGGTTCGATAATCTCCTGCTCAATCATTACAGCAGTAGCTTCTTTTGTCTGACCCAGTTGCAATAGTCTTGATCAACTCAAAATGCTCGGTCTTACCACGACTACCCTCTATGGGCTGATCGTTCTTGTCTCCTCTCGGCTGATTGATCTCGATTATGTTGAGTCCGTTCCCGACCCAACCTACACTATTATTGCTGATCAGAGGGCACAGGTGGTCTCGTACGATCAGGACGCTGCAATTGCTTCAGATGTCGCTGAGGTCTTGCAGTCTCTGATTCTGGACTCAGGAGAGGACGCTCTCAAAATACACTACTTCGACATTCAAACGCGTTGGAAGCCATGCCAGGATCTGGATCATCTGGACGACAATGCAAATGCTTATAACGTAGTACTCAACCTGGCAGAGAACTTCGTTGCGGACGAGAATCTGGCCAGTCAAGCCTTGCACGCTTGTAGACCTGATGGATGTACTCGGACGTACCAAAACCTGAAATCCTGTGCTCAAGCCAACGGATACAAGGGGTCATTTTTTACCCGTCTTCCATAGCGCCCCTGTCTGGCTTTAAATAGATACACAAATATGTCTAGCTACAATGTCTAGGGGTGTGCCGATAGATGCTCTCGCACAATTGGCTGCCAAGGCTTCAACACCTACTTTGAACGCAGTCCAAACAAGGTTTCTCAATTAAGGCTGTCAATGCCTACCACCATTGAGGCATGTAGCGTTCTAACTGCCCCTGTCAAGCATGGTGAGAAATCAGGTGCTATTCTTGAGGCTGCTGCCGCTGTCTACCGTCAGAAGGTAGATAATGCTACGGTTACTGGAAGCACGCCTGCCATGATAATCATCCCAGCTGAGCAATTGGATGCCTTAGCTTCTTCTGCAGGGATTTCTCAGCTTATAGGATCAGAATCCGACCCCACCACTCCGGTATCCCCTACAGATTCTTCCGCTGCCGTTACACCCACCAGCATACCCAGCTCTACTACCCCGGCATCTACTACTGGTCTTGTCAAGTGTACAGTAGCAACACCCCAAACCTCTGCTGAACGTGGCTCCCAAGAGATTTCTAGCGCTTGCTCTAGCATAATCAGCACAGTCACACCAACTGTCACAGTGCGGGCACAAGCCACCGAGATGGCCTACAACAACTGTGCCCAATACCCTACTACCTGCTAAAATGGTTCACCACATCGAATAATTGCTGGATCTTTGAGCAGATATCCTCAAAAAATCGGCGTCAGTTACTTCACTGCTGACCTGCTATTCCAGATTTGTATCTATGGGACGTGCAGTACAAAGGTCAACCCCAGTAGCAACGGGCTCATCACGCTCGGAGACTATGGTGTAGCAGACTACTTCAATTACACTATCCCTAATCATATGAGTGAGACAGTCCTTATGGCCTTCTAGGATAATCTCTTCATTGTTTAGGGCAAGTAACACTAGATAGACTATAGCATTTGCGGAGATGCAGGTCACTGCACAGTGATTTTCGATTGGAGAGTGACTTACTGTTGCGATTCCAGAACCAATGCTACATACAGCTTCTCTGCAACATTTTTCGAGTATCATCCTGGTCGTGTGCATTTGAATTACTTTGGTACACCGAACCAGGGTCGGTCAGCTACCATCTGTATGCAAGGCTTCATTAATGGGCGACGTAAGTGCAAGACAGCTCTTGCTTGACATGAAATAGCGAATGTTTCCAAAACCCTTCTACAAGTATTCATACAAGCAGCCTTCAGTCAGCAATGGCCTCAAACTAATCTTTGGCCCTGCTGATAACTATTTAGGAGAGGCTTAAATCGGCGCTTAGTAGATATGGGAGAATTACAGGGCTTTCATTAACGCACCCACCGGCCGGACCTGTGAGTTTTGAACCAGCCATACTTTACTTGAGACTATACAATCAATGATATTGAACTCAATATTGCCTCGTGCTCTATGGCCAAGAGGTGCATTTATGATCAGTGTTAGTTCATAATACCTTTTCTTGCATGAATAACGAATGGGCCATTTGCTTTATTTCCTTTTGACACTCAATTAAGCGGAGAGTGAGTGTTAGAGCGTGGGTATCTTTACAATGATTGCCGACCCTCTGATGCTCCAACACCGTCCAGCAGAACAAGCAGCCTCTTTTCATACGTCCAATATGATCATTATGGAACTAAAAGAGGGCCTGGGTTGTACAATACAGGAATTTTAAATTTCTTCACTTGGTCCGTAGCACTGTCACATACTCGCTCTTACTAGCTATGTTCTTTGAGCTCGAAAACATGAATGTGCTGTAACTTTTGTCTAGAAAGTGACGAGGTCAGCTGCAGGATCTAGTTTCAATTGGAGACATGGTCCGCTCCAGACTCTAGGCTGCTCCTCAGTATATTGTATCGAACATTTGGTTTTGGATTAATGGTGATAATCACGCCGCACTTCCTATCACATGTTGGTTGTTATACAACTTGACGTCTTCGCAGCTCTGCGCTGAATATGAGCTTAGTCGCCCGTTATTCATTCCTGGAGCTTCCTCGGACAAACCATGATTAGTGGTGATAAATTCACAGTTCATTAGTCGTGGTGTATGTACGACTAAACAGACCTCATCTGGCGTTTGCGCGTTCTTGTCACTACTTACCCACGTAAAAACACAGATATGCAGACGTCATCGGCCACACGATTGTCCTCGCTGCGTGGGATGCTGCAAATGGTTCATCTCTATTGGGATTCACAATAATTACCAACGTGGTCATGGCTATTAGCCCAGACCCCTATTGACTGCAGAGAGGCTGTCGTACCGGGATCAGTCGCGTACTTGCCGAAATCAACATCATTGGCATCTTGCCTACCTTCAGCTGTATCGGAAACAGGTGCATACAATATCCTCTGTCTTCTTTATATAGAAGAATAACTAATTTCCCACGTGATTGCGCCTACCATCTCTGCTCAAGCGAGCTTAGCGTGCCTTCCTTGTGTGGGTATGCTCATGTCTTCCCACTCCATGCTCAACTACGTCGAGTATCGAATGCCTCAGATCTATCTCTAGGGAAGGATTCAGCATGGTGAGTTCAATAACAACTACGGCATCTGCAGCCCTGACATAGTCAAGGCACCTAAAATTCAACCCAACCCACAGAAAGCAGCTTCCATCTTGGCATGGTTTCACAAGACAGCACAGGCGCACAGTATCAAGGATCTTGAGAAGACGCTGCCTCAAGTGTCTTCCATCAACGGCATGCAAGTCAAAGACTATCTGCAGGCACTTTCGGATGACAGCAAAATCCGTGTCGAGAAGATTGGCAGCGGCAACTGGTACTGGAGCTTCCCGGCAGACGAAAAAAAGGCCAAGAATGCCATTCTCAAGAAAGCTCAAGAAGAGTACGGCAAGGCCAGCGTAGCTGTTTCTGAGTTACAGGCAAGAGTAGAAGGTGCAGAAGCAGCCCGCGCAGAAGACGAAGACATGCTCATGGAGCCTGGTCAGTGCAAACGCGTCCGGCGTACACCCTTTACTGACGGACTCTAGGCGGCAATCGCCAAACTCTCATCGCAAAGCACGCCGACCTCACGAAGGAGCTGGAACAACTTCGCACAGACTTAGTCGCATACAGCGAGCAAGACCCAGACGAGCTAGAGAAGAAAGAGAGTGAAGCACACAAGGCTCGCCTCGATGCCGAAAAATACACTGATCACATCTTGGCCATGCAGGGATGGTTCAAGACTAATGTAGGCGGTGGTGAAGGAGGAGAGGATTTTCTCAATTTGTTAAAGATGCTATATGGCGATGAGTATGACAGTGAGGAGCAAGGCTTGCGTGAGCTTTGATGCCATAGGGGAAGGTGGTGGAATTCATGACCATGTCAGATACATACTATACACCAGACAGTTATCAGTCTCTGCAAGTACCAGGATCAAGATGTACTATGTAAGTATCGGGTTGGGGTGCATTGTGCAGGCCAGGTCAGGGTAGTTTGACTTGCGGAATCACCATCATTTTGACTCATTCACTGCGCCACAGTCGGGAGATTTGCTTGAGTCATGTCGGTGGCGCATGGGCCACTGTTAAGCTGTCATTCGCTTGCAGGAGCGTCATCGTAATACTTACCTTCAGTCCAAGAACACGAAACGCCCTGCTGTGAATAAGAGGCCTCGCCGGCCTGCCCTGTACTCATCGAGTTGTCGCTGCTCTTCAACACTCTACTACGGCCTTATACATCGGGAATCTTCCAAAGACGCAGGCCGCACGGCTCCTACGATACCCCGCCATGGCTTCAACAGGTGCCCAAGAAACCTCACAAGTTCCTGCAAGCGCACAACGGCGCGGTGGCAGAGGGCGCGGACGCGCAAGAGGTGCACATGGCGGCCCTGAAGAGAGACAGGAGAATTTTGAGGCAAGAGGGCGTGGACGGGGCGGCAACCAAGGGCGAGGGCGAGGTCGAGGCAACAGGGACGGCCCTGGTGGTCGCGGCGCATCTGCACAGGACAAGGGCAAAGCACCAGCAGTAGAAACACCAGAAAATGGTCCTGCGCTCAGCAAACCTGCACCTGCCCCGGCCCCCGTACAGTCAGACGACGAAGATGCAGATGGCGAGGTGTGCTTCATTTGCGCATCGCCCGTTCAGCATTTGGCCATTGCTCCCTGCAATCACCGGACATGTCACATTTGCTCAATCCGCATGCGAGCGCTATACAAGACAAAAGCTTGTGCCCATTGCAGGACCGAATCCGACCATGTCATCCTTAGCGACGACGCTGAAAAGACATATGAAGAATTTTCGAAGGCCGACTTTTTCAAGTCGGATGATACCCTAGGCATACACTTTGAGAATGCGGCAGTCCTTGAGGACACGCGATTGTTGCTGCAGTACAACTGCCCAGATAGCGAGTGCGACGTGGCCTGCCTTGGATGGCCTGACCTACACCGTCATGTCAAGACGGCACACGCCAAGATGATGTGGTATGTACTAGATGCTTAGTCCTCGCTTTGCACGACTTATGCTTGGACTAACATGACGTAGTGATCTGTGTACACGAAACAAAAAGGTGTTCACGCATGAGCACGAGCTCTTCACCCCGCAAGATTTGAAAAAGCACCAAAAGTTCGGCGACGACAATCCCGGCGCAATCGACCAGAGTGGCTTCAAAGGCCATCCGGAGTGCGGCTTCTGCAGACAGCGCTTCTATGGAGACGATGAGCTGTATGCACATTGCAGAGACAAGCATGAGCGCTGCCACATTTGCGATCGACGCGAAGGAGGAAGCAGGAAACAGCAATACTATGTCAATTACGATTCTCTCGAGATGCATTTTCGGAAAGATCACTTTTTATGTCCAGAACGCGAGTGCTTGGACAAGAAGTTTGTCGTGTTCGATTCGGAGATGGATCTCAAGGCACACCAGCTCGAGGTGCATCCCAACGGCTTATCTAAGGACGCGTTGCGAGATGCGCGGAGGGTGGACATGTCTGGGTTCCATTTTCGAGCCCCACATGAGCAAAGTGCAGGTAATAGCAGACGAGATGAGCGAAGGCGGGAAGGAGGCAGAGGACGTGGCAGGGGACGAGATCCGAATGCAGAGCCGGTTCCTGCCTCTTCTGCGCAGCCGCTGAGCAGAGCCGAACTCGCCTACCAGCGACAGATGGAGGCGCAGAATGCCCACTCGATTACGGGAAGAGCTTTTGGTGGTCAGCTCTCGACTCCCACTCCTGGTGAGGCGTTTGCGGCCAGATCACCCCCAAGCGCTTCTGGGCCTGCGGTAGTGACAGCTTCGCGTCCAACTCCAGGGGCTACCAGCAACATTTCAAACGGTATGAGCCAACTCAGCGTCGATGCGCAACCAGCCAGTTCGATTCCGCAAACCCCACAAGAGCAAGCCCGGTTGCTGCGTCACAACGCGGTCACTGAACGAGCTGCGAACATGGTCGGACACAACGAAATCAAGCTACAAGAGTTCAGAGCGGCGGTATCAGCTTACCGCAATTCAAAAACATCGGCAGCACAGCTGATTGAGGGCTTCTTTGGGCTGTTCGATGCCGATTCGAAAGAGATGGGAAAGCTCATCAAGGAGCTAGCCGACATCTTCGAGATTGCAGCGAAGCGAGAGGGACTACTCAAGGCATGGAACGATTGGAAGGCCATCAATGAGGACTACCCTTCGCTGCCTGGCTCTGCTACTGAACATGCTTTGAGCGGCGGGTCGGCGGCTAGAGGAGGGTCACGTGTGCTGAAATTGAAGAGCTCAACAGCGCAGTCATCGCGCTCAACAGCCAACCAGCAAGCTAGCTGGTCGTCTGCATCCTCGAGCAATCCATTTCCTGCATTGCCCACCCCTGCAAGTCGCATTGGTGCCAAGCCTGGACAAACGCCATGGGCATCATCTTCGTCTGCTGCAGGTAGTGCCCGCCCCTCGCCTTCATCTACGCCCTCTCGCGGCGCAGCACCATCGTCATCATCATCATCATCATCCATGAGCAAGAAGGCCAGCCTGGCAGATGCATTCCCGGCGCTTCCAGCAGCGGCGAAACCTACGAGTACCATTTTCAGCCCAGGATATACTGGTAACGGGTTACGGCGAGACAATAGTGGGCGCAACACTCCAGTGGTGAATGCTTGGGGGTCAGGGTCAGGTGCGAACAGTGGAACGACGACACCAGCAGTTGAGGATGGCAGCGCAGCTGGAAAGAAGAAAGGCAACAAGGGTAAGAAACAGACGCTGTTCCAATGGGGCTAGAGGGTTAGTGGCCAAAAGCGGGGGCCTTGGGCATGCGGGGACGCTCGGTACATGGATAATCGAGGGGATGCATAAGGGATGGTGCGCATACAAGTGCCGTAGTCATGGTAACATGCAAGAAAAGCAATCAAGAAGAAAAAGAACAAGCAGCGACAATGACGGCATGGTAGCAGTGTGCCGAGGATGATGATGATGATGTGTGTGTGTGTGCACGCCTGTGAAGAGCGGTGAAAGAGGCGACGGGTGATGTGGAGAGAAGGTTGTGAAGAAGAGAGTGAAGAGGAATGGATGTGAGGGCTGTAGCTCGGCGTGCAAGACAATGCAGAGTGAGGTGAGCAAGGAGTCGAGTTTGTAGGGAACAAGCACATGAACCAAGCAAGCTGGAATGACCTGATGGGGGACGATGTTGGTTTGCACGATTTTGTTTTCGCAGACGCGACTCTTTGAGCAAGGAAAACCTGTTTTTATTTGGTGCGATTGGAGTTTGTTTGAAAAGGCAGTACACGTAGGCGTGATGATGGCAAACAGGAGCGATAGCAGTAGTCTGAGGTGGATGATTAGGTATCGAGCTATTTTTTAGCGTGCTTCATGTGTTGACGACATTTGTAGATGAAGGCGAGTCATGCGTTGCGGAGAAATACTTGTCGCGTACATGGTGTCTGCGTGAATATCAAGTTCCTTGTACATGCTGGCACTTGGACGTGATTTGGAAGAGCGTTGAGGAAAGCATGTCGACATGCAGCAAGGATCTTTGGCTAGTGCGAGCAAATGCATAAGTGTGTGATGGGCATAGATGATGCAGGCACAGGCACAGGCACAAGCACAGGCACAGGCACGAGGGTGTGGGTATAGGCCAAGTATGGTGTGGTTGATGCGATAGGCGGGCAGGCCATGATTATAGACGTACTGCCTGCTATTACTACTACTACTACTACTACTGCATGTAAGCGAGGGCATCGAGGGAATTGGGATTGCAGGCCGGCACGGGCAAGACGATGGCCACCTGTGTCCCGCAAAGACCATGAGCTAGTGGCAGCAATGGTATTGCAATTGGATTTGGGCACGATTAGGGAGGCCTTGTAGTTGGTGGGTACGCCGCACCTGGACCATGGTTCATGTGGTGACGAGCATGGACATGAGTCATGTACTACGGACAAGTCAACGCTTGGTTGGAGCCGCTTGCTATAAAACAAAACCCCCAGAGCGGTGTCGCCCTTTTGCTCTCTCGAATCTGCCAACCAGCCTGCCAACCAGCCCGCCTGCCAGCCCGCCAGCCATTGAGCCCAAAACCCGGACCTGACCATCCTCGGCATCGCCAGTGTAGTGTAGTGCAGTGCAGTGCAGTCGTCGTCATTGTTGTTGTCGTCGTTTGAACCGTCCCCGCTTGCTTTCAGCGCGCGACACCAGCTACCATGGCCGCCAGCATGGCTCACTATCCAGGCCACCTTAGCAACCGCATGACGACTGGACGCGCCGAGACGGTTGGACAGGCACAGTATCCGCCGCGGCGAGCAGAGCGAAAGTACAAGCTTGAGGTGGAGCAGCAACCCATCCGAGCGCGCATGTGTGGCTTTGGCGACAAGGACCGGCGGCCCATCACGCCTCCACCATGCATCCGGCTCGTAGTGCTGGACGAGATGGATCGCGAGCTCGACTTCAACGAGATCGACAGCACCTACTTTGTCCTCATGGTGGACCTGTGGAACGAGTCGGGCCAGTCGGCCGTCAACCTGGTGCGCCATAGCAGCGCCGCGCCCACCGTGTCCATCAGCAGCAGCACAACGACGTCGTACCCGCCACCGCCCGAGCGCAGCCACTATGTCGCCACGACGATTCCAGGCTACGATGCACACTCGCAGGCCTACCGCCACCAGCACCAACACCAGCACCAACACCAGCACCAGCACCAGCACCAACACATGCAGCCCCAGCCCATGGCCCCGGCGGGCTACGGCCCCGGCGGCCACACGGGCGTGTCGGTGCCCGTGCCGCCCTACTACCC